TTTCATAATGAACTATTCCAACCTTTGAATTGGAAGAGTTCAAATGTGTCTTCAGGGGTGAATGAGTTAACCAAGAAAGTTTTTCTTCTAACTAGTCTCTTGATTTAGTGTAGAAAATATGAATTGAAAAATATCTTTGAAAAATATAGGAACTTAAATAGAAAACCTTTTTGTTAACTACAATATTTATCATTTAATCCTACTTACTAATCATTAGAATTCCATAGATCTACAATTTTTCTTGGTGGTTGGCTATCGGTCTAGTCCGTTTAATTTGAAGACTGGACTTTTTCAGTTTTGTACGGTGAAGTTGACTAGACCACAGTTGTATAGAACTGTATAATTACCAAGAAGGCATAATATTGATTGACTAAAAACTACACAATTAGAGATAAACATTTCCGCATGTTATGAGACGAAAGCAAATTAAGCGATCCCGCGAAAAAGCGGTAGTACAATCTGTTCATCAGTTTAAAAGCCATCACACACACAAAAAAAGCACAGTGAATTGTCTCTTTGGGTATTTCGTTATTGGAAAGAGTTGAGGAAAATTTCACAGAAAAAAATATTTGAAGATTTCTCGAAGGTTGTTATCATATTGTTGTTCTATGAACCAAATTTTGTTTGAGTTTGTCATAATTTAAAAATAAAAACAAAAAATAGCAACAAGTTCATGAGAACCATTTCATGTCATACGCGTGAAAGACTTTTTGAACATTTCTGTTAAATGCTTAATGAAAAGATTTGTGTTTCAAATTTTTCCTTCAGTGTTTTAAAGAATTTTTCTGCTTTAAAATGGAAAATTTAATCGCTGATTTTGGCCAATAAACAAGATAGATTAAAATCTTGTTAATTTTGCTGGCAACACAATTCTCATACACAAATTCTCGGGAAAGCAGGGGAAACTGGATCTAGGAAAATTTTCACTGTATTAATTAATAGGATAGAATCTATCTGTCCCAATTATTCCCCTGATTTATCCTCATTTCCCCTGATGAGCCCCACGGAACAGCGGAAATGGATCAACTGTTTCCACTGTGTAGAGAGCAGAAGGATAGATTGAAATTTGGTCATACAATACTTATGTCATTTACTTCTGGCAGTGTTGCGTTTTGTATAGGGGGTTCTAGATCTATTATTGAATCAGTTTGATGGTTCTCTGTGTACTTTCTTTCTTGGTCAATACTGGCAATTCAGGCGAAATATTATGCAGAAAAAAATTCAGCAGGAAGACTCGGCTTTCCTGCAAGCCTTGTAAGCCTCAGATTCAATTCACACAAAAAAATACAAAAAAATGAGCTGTTAATTATATGTTAAATTGATTATTATGAATTGAATACTGTTTTGATAAAGACTTTTTTCCCAGAAATGATGTTAATCTAGCAAATATGTTACCAACAAGGCTACGAAAGCTGTAATAATCTTGACAGATCTGGGTAGACAGTACTCCGAGTTGATGGATTTTGCTGAAAAACAATTACAAGCTGTATTTCTGTACTTACTAGTGTACAACTTAGGTACTAACAGTACTCAATCTATCTTGTAGTGGTTCGATAAGGTTGAGGACAGTACAAAGTTTGAATATACTACAGGATATTAGTTGAATACCGTTCTTATACAGAAAGTTCAATATATTGGTGTATTGTGAGAATGGTACAGTGGGCAGTGAGCATGAGTGTTATATACAAATGTAAATGTTGAATAAATTGCACAATTGAATTTGAATATTTTTTGGTTTGATTATCGCAAATATTAAATTCAGATGAATTCAATTTTGTTTGAATTTTGTAAGTATCACACAATAATGTTGAATTTAATTTGGTATGAATATTACGTATAAGAGTTCACTATAATACCAAAATATTGAATGTATCGTACAGAAAAGTTTATTACAATGCACAACAAAAATTGAATATAGAAGGGAAAGAGCGTAAAATGGAAAACAAAGTTAAGAGATGAATATGATACAAAGTTATAAGAGTTGAATATATTGCAAAGTCAAGAGTTGAATATGGTACAAAGTGAAAAGTTGAATATGATACAAAGTGGAGAGTTGAATATGATACAAAGTGAAGAGTTGAATATATTACAAAGTGAAGAGTTGAATATGGTACAAAGTGAAGAGTTGAATATGACACAGAGTTGCGGATGGAATGTGGCACAATCATCTTTTATGCTTAACTTGAATATAGAAATTCACAGCATGTAATGGTTTAATGGTGACATACGGTAATACAATGGTTGAGAGGATAAATAAAGGTTATTTTTTTATAAAGATAACAGTACATATATCGTCCATGCTTATAACCAACCTAAAGAAAACACTTAGAAATAATGAACATAGCCTGTAATGTTTTAAAGTGAAATATGGTATAAAGCATGTTGCGTTTACTGGTTATCTACAGAAATAATGAACATAGCCTGTACTGTTTTAAAGTTAAATACAGTATAAAGCATGTTGCGTTTACTGGTTATCTACGGTTCACGGTAAACAGAGGAATATTTGGTTATGAATTCTATCCTGATGGATCGTGGTGGATCGTTCTCAATTGGACGTTATTAATGACCGACATCCATTGATTATATCCTCGTCCCAGTACAGATCTGATGGCCGTCCAGGTTTCAAATTGATTTCTTTTAAGAGCGATGGTGGACGTCACTGGTCAGATATGACATAATGGAAGAATGCCATTATAGTATAAACATAGGATACTGCAGATTTTTTTTTTTATTCCGTTGATATAATTCTTTTTTTAAGAACAGTTGTTAAGACGTTCTCTTATAACTTCATTATTATTGTTTTTATACCGAAATTTTACAACATGCAACAGCCTCTGCCAACATGAATTGGAGAAAAACAGTATATATCTATCGGAATTTGGAAGAAATTCCTAATTTTGTCTTGATTTTGGGAAAGTAAAGTTGTGTTTGCTAGCGTTAGAGCCTTGGGTTGTTAAACTAGGAAAAGAAACTTCACTGATTAATTATATTTCACACAAATTCTATTTTCTAATTTCATTAATTTGGCACTGACATTAGCAATATTTGTATAATTATTTTAAGACCCTGTTTTAAAGATCCGACACATGTTGCCCCAAACCCCGGGGATCAAACTGGCACCTACGAGGCACTTTGGGGTTAAGACACTGACAATCTTTCTAGACCTTTCGGCTACCTGGTCTGGTTTTACAAACAATACAAATTCTTGTATGAGAATATCAACACCTTTTTATTGGAAATTAACGATGTTCAGAATCAAAATTAGCTCGTTCACCCCTGAAGACACATTTGAACTCTTCCAATTCAAAGGTTGGAGTAGTTCATTATAAAATTGCAGGGGTGAATGAGTTAATTGGTTTGTTTGTATTAATTTCACACAGCTTAGCCAATTTTCCATTATAGCAATAATATTTATAACAATTTTCATATCTTCTGGAAAAATATTGACAAATTAATCCAATGCAAACCTTAATTTTCAGTTTTATTGTAAAATTGCGTTGTCAGCAATTCTAAAATTTCTGTTTCGTCTGAAAAAAATAAAAAAATGTTTAGATTATCAGAAATTGTATCTGTAGCAATTTGTTTTCCCCTACACCATGTCGATAAAGAAAATCTTGATTACAACAAAAATTGAAAAAGAAAAACCCAACATTTGTTCGGTATATCTCCAAGACGAAGGGTTTCTGTTTAGAAAATGTATTAGTATCAACGCCAGGCATTGATTTTCATATTTTTGGTTCAGACAGCAATGAATGATTCAATCATTTCATATTTCAATAAATATTCCTGTCTATGACAATAATGATGGAGAATGTTGAGGGGAAATGCTGCACGAAGGTCAAAGGTTGAGTACGGGCCTATCACCTTTTGAGTAAAAATGAAATTGTCCGTTTTGTACTTTTATGATAAATTGGTTCATTTAGTGAAACAAGTCTTTGGGGTTTCTCAAAAAGGTGGAATCTTAACTTATTCACCCCAAAATTTTTATAATGAGCTATTCCAACCTTTGAGTTGTAAGAGTTCAAATGTGTCTTCAGTTCAATGGGTGGTTTTCCAAAAGTCCTGGTTTCACGTAAGGGTGTGTCTCAAAATATGGTTTTTCGAAAGGGGTGACCTCAAATATATCTGTCTCTCAAATGGATTATCTTCAAAGGGATTTTATGTATCTTGAACAAGGATCTGAAATTGTTCTATCCAAAGGGAAGTAATTAAAATCTAAAAGAGAGGTCATGGTGGCTAAATGATTCGGGCACCCAACTGTATACGATCACTAGCCCTCTATCAATGGGTCGCAGGTTCGAGGTTTACGGGGGTGGGGTTAGGTTTACAGTTTTACACTGGGTACACCAGTTTTCCTCCACCAATGAAACCTAGACAAGCTTTTCCAGCGGTAGCAGCAGCAACATAAGTATTTGCGTTTGACTTATATAGTTTCACTAAAAGCATAAGAGCTAGACCAACCAAACTTGGACCATAGCTTGACGCATCTTTGGTAGAACATCTCAACCCATGCATCTAATGCTGGATGCTGCCTACCTTTCATGGTCCATTGACTTTGTCAGCATCTCCATCAATATTAAGTTTTTGCGTTTAGATCAGTTTCTTACGTGGTGCAGTCGTCAGGTACTGGCCGTAGGTCCGTGGGTTTTTTCCAGGTACTCCGGTTTTCCTCCACCACAAAACCTGGTACGTCCTGAAATGACCATAGCCGTTAATAGGACGTAAAAACACAAACCAAACCAAATTTAGTTTCTCTGATATGTGCGCATGCATTGATGATCAAAGTGTGGCACAGGCGAGACATATCAACCCAAATGGTTTGTTTTGTGAATTGAACCTGTATAAAGAGATCACCTGCATTAATTGACCTTGATTTGAAATAAAAACCACTTTTTGGAGTTTCCAACGTAGGTCTCGTAATACAGGTTTGATCATCATTCCACAAAAATCTTGGATTATAATCTCAAACATTCACGAACCCTTTTCATTATATTTTGCAGGTATGCCAACATCAGAGGCAGAAGAACGAGAGAAAACTTGAATCTACAAACGAGAAAGCAACAAAACTGGACGAGAACGAGAATACAATTAACAGCAACATAATAAACAACAACAGATAGAGGCGGGCAATCAATCCAAGATGGCTACCCTATCGCTGAAGATCAGCGTGGTGGGCAATAATGTGGTGAAGACCATGCAGTTTGAACCCTCGACCCTCGTGTACGACGCCTGTAAAATCATACGAGACAAACTTGTGGAAATACAACAAGGAAACAGTAAGTCAGATCTATACAACAAGGAAACAGTAAGTCAGATCTATACAACAAGGAAACAGTAAGTCAGATCTATACAACAAGGAAACAGTAAGTCAGATCTTAATTTTAGTGACGAAATTCAGTCCCGCCAGGTTTGCTTTTCTTTTCAAAAATGATATATTAAAGCTATATTCATGCTGGAAAAAAACAGTTTCCAGTATGTAGTTACAATTTTACGGTAATACGATGATCCTTAAGTATTAAATATGATGTCTAACTCTAGAGCTTCCCCACACACCCCACATCCCCCCCCCCCCCCCCCCCCCCCCCCCCCCCCTCCTCTCCACTCCAATCTCCCCACAATAATTGTCCTTTCTATATATACAGAGCTTCACATCGTAGTAACATCCTTCCCACATTTCCAGGTGCAAAGCATTCTGACGTAACGTTTACCATATTCCCAATGGGTCCTATTATCATTCTAATCAAAATTAACCATTTCTTTTATGTTTGCACATGTTTACCATAGTCTCAAAGGGACTGACAATTCGAATAGAAGCAGGGAATAAAGACAATTATCTGGTGAGTGGGGCAGCAAGATTGGTGGGAATGAGAGGCTAATTTGACCCCAGATGGCTATAGCTGTTGACCTTGTGTTAATGGGATTTTCTGATGAATTGGAACAATGTTTGGCCCCCAAAGTGTTTGTAGAAATCTACTCGGATCCAGTGAACAACACATGATATCATGTACACACTACACAGCATTAGTACATTTAGTGTTTGTAAGAGAGGAGCCGACCAGCTTAATGTAGTCATGACCGTCATAGGTTTACAATCTTTATGCCCCCTGCTGCATTAAGGCAGGGAGAACATTAACTCATTCACCCCTGAGGACACATTTGAACTCTTCCAATTCAAAGGTTGGAATAGTTCATTATGAAATTTCAGGGGTGAATGAGTTCAGTGTTTATTTTTTCCTTCCGTCCATCCCTTCAAAATGTTGCATGAACTTTGGGCTTATCTGACTTATTTATATAACTTACATTAGTTCAACATCTATTAACCCATTCACCCCTGGAGACATATTTGAACTCTTCCGATTCAAAGTTTGGAATAGTTCATTATGAAATTTCAGGGGTGAATGAGTTAAACCTCATATTTGGATACATCCTGAGTCACCAATGCAGTAAAACCTCTTTATACTGCCAACGTTTGTCCAGAGAAATTCGGCATTTTAAAGGGGTTTGATATTTAAGTGAGGGAAATGTATAAGGAAATCGTAAGAAAACACGAAAAAGGGACATTTGGCGGTAAAAGAGGTGGCAGATGGAACAAGGGGCATTATATCGACTTAACTATCGTTTTACTATATGTCAATTGTAGGTCACTGAGTGTGACCTATATTTTTGCTTTTAATTGACTTTGGTTAGACTCTGTATTTAGCTCCATTTCCATTTAAACCATGTAGCTCTATAGACATTTTACAAGTTATATATTTTAGGCACACACAAAAAAATATACAAGTGTTAATTTTATGTCAAATCAGGAAATTGATAAAAAAACAAAACAGTTTGTATCAAATCTTGTTAATGTTAAATTCAAATTTTGTTTATTTAATTTAATCCCCAAAATTGTAGGCCTGTGAGCAAAGAGCATGGAATCCCTCAATAAATCTTAATATCACTGATTGTGGCTTGAAAGCAGCACTATCCCTTTAGTATTTGGATTTAATATATGGTTCAGAAGTTTTTTTATCCAAGTTAGGATGATTGCTCATGAGCAGCTGACATTTAAACTAAAAAAATAAAAAAAATTATGTAGCCCTTTGAAGCACTGTCTGAACTCTTTGATAGTATCAGTGTAGGTCCTTCTATTGTTCAGGGCAAGTTTTGTTACATAGTCATGAGAATTCATTCAAGACCACTACAGAGAGGGAATATGATATTTCGAGCTCAGAAATTCATAGGCTCTATTTGGCCAAAATTGCTTTGAACTTTTATGTCAATAAGAATAAGGGTATTTTCTGCACCGTTTCTGTTTTCCATTTTGCTGTTCGGTCCGCCGCAAATGTCACATGGCCTACTCCTATCCCGCCCGATCAATTTGACATTATCAAAACTATGAGAAAATAGTTATATAATTGACTTAATGGTTGTAATATGACATATCTCTAATGGGTCTTATATCGACCAATCGAACGTCGGATCTGCTGATGCATAAGGGTGGGCTTAGTGCCTATTCTGGCCGGCCTGGTATGCATAACGGTTTTTCGTTTCATTCTGACATTTTTGCGAAAAGGTCACTGTTGCTTGACAACCAATTTAGGAAATTACGAATATTTATCTCCCGACTCATAACAATAGCTATTATAGCTGATTATAATTTCCTTTTCGGAACTTAATGCATTTCGTTATAATCATTTCTATTTCCTACATATTTCACCATATTTATAATTATACGATTTACATTTATTGCCGTTTCTGAAATCGTAATCCAAAGTGATTTGAATCTCTGTGGTATTTTTATGGGATGTTGAATTCAACTTTTCCATGTAATTCTCATTTTTGTCTCCTTCGTTGGTTGAAATGAATTTTATTTGGGGTTTGAAAAACATCAGACAACTTAAACGAGTGTCGGTCTGGGTTCATCTGTCGGTACAGTAGACAATTTGTTTACGATGAAGTCCTGAGCATGCTTTTAGTACAGTGACGCCATTGCACCAAAACTATTTAGTTAATTACATACATTTATATCTTTGTGTCTCAGGAATTATCTGTCTCTAGACCTGGCTGTTTGTCTCACGTTTTATCTGTAGGAACCAATGAAATTGCTGTCTGTCTCTCGTTTTGTCTGTAGGAACCAGTGAAATGGCTGTCTGTCTCTTGTTTTGTCAATTTAAACCAATGAAATGGCTGTCTTTCTCTTGTTCTGTCTCTTTGAACCAATGAAATTGCTCTCTCTCTTCCTCTTTCTCTTTATTTGAACCTGCACATTGGTTGTCTCTCTGTCTATCATTGTTTGTTGGAGCCAATGAAAGAACTCCCTTCAAATCAAGTCATTTCACAACAATTGTGAGACAACTTCTATCAACTTAAATTCAATATCACTCTTGTTAGTCTAAATGGAAGTATGCAGGGGGTCTCATTGATGGAGGAAGCCAGAAATATCCAGAGAAAACCCTTGTGGTCAGGCAGGTGACCCCAATACCTTTTCATGTCCAATCGAGGAGTCAAACCGCAGCCATCTTTGTGAAAGAAAATTGTGTTTTCCACTGCACCACCCGACCACCAAGTAGAGTGGCTTTATCTCTTCCACTTGTTCTCGTCTTAGGAACCAAAGATCTATTATCTGTCATTCTTTTTATTTGAACTAGTGGAATGGTTGACTGTCTGTCTCTCATTCTCTCCGTAGGAAGCAATGAAATGGCTCTGTCATTCAGTCTATGATGAATGGGTGACTGTGGTCTCTGAAAAAACCCAATGACGTGGATCTCTCCATCTCTCCATCTCTCCCTCTCCATCTCTCCATCTCTCCCTCTCCATCACTCCATCTCCATCTCTCCATCTCTCCATTTCTTCATCTCTCCATCTCTCCATCTCTTCATCTTTTGTTCTTTCCATCTCTCGTTCTCTCCATCTCTCCATCTCTCCATCTCTCCATCTCTCATTCTCTCCATCTCTCCATCTCTCTTTCTCTCCATCTCTCCATCTCTCATCTCTCCATCTCTACATCTGTCGTTCTCTCCATCTCTACATCTCTCGTTCTCTTTAAAAGGCCAATAGAATAGTTTCTGTGGGCTGTTCTGTCCATAGAACCCAATGAAATGGCTGTTGCTGTGGATCCCGTGAAATGGCTGTATCTCTGTCTCGTTGTGTACATTGAGGACTCGATGAAATGGCTGTATCTCTGTCTCGTACTGTACAATGAGGACCCAGTGAAATGGGTGTATCTCTGTCTCGTTGTGTACATTGAGGACTCAATGAAATGGCTGTATCTCTGTCTCGTTGTGTACATTGAGGACCCAGTAAAATGGCTGTATCTCTGTCTCGTTGTGTTACATTGAGGACTCAGTGAAATGGCTGTATCTCTGTCTCGTTGTGTACATTGAGGACCCAGTGATATGGCTGTATCTGTGTCGTTGTGTACATTGAGGACCCAGTGAAATGGCTGTATCTATGTCTCCTTGTGTACATTGAGGATTCAATGAAATGGCTGTATCTCTGTCTCGTTGTGTACATTGAGGACTCAATGAAATGGCTGTATCTCTGTCTCGTTGTGTACATTGATGACTCAATGAAATGGCTGTATCTCTGTCTCGTTATGTACATTGAGGACCCAGTGAAATAGCTGTATCTCTGTCTCGTTGTGTACATTGAGGACTCAGTGAAATGGCTGTATCTCTGTCTCGTTGTGTACATTGAGGATCCAGTGATATGGTTGTATCTGTCTCGTTGTGTACATTGAGGACCCAGTGAAATGGCTGTATCTCTGTCTCGTTGTGTACATTGAGGACTCAATGAAATGGCTGTATCTATGTCTTGTTGTGTACATTGAGTACTCAATGAAATGGCTGTATCTCTGTCTCGTTGTGTACATTGAGCACTCAACGAAATGGCTGTATCTCTGTCTCGTTGTGTACATTGAGTACTCAATGAAATGGCTGTATCTCTGTTTTTCATTTTCTCTATATGAGCCAGAGAGATGTCCAATAGTTCAGTTTCTTAATCTCATGGTATTGAGCAATTAAATGCTGTAGTCACCCGTCTGTTTCTTGATCTCTGCGCTGAAAAAATTGTAATAACTGCTAGCTAGCACTGTTTGTCCTCTAAACTTATGATATTGAATCTTATAGCATTGTTAATGTTAAATAAAAATTGTGAAATGAGAAGAAAAAATTACCATACTGTAATGTCAATGTTAAGAAAGATAACAGAATCTTTTTTTTTTATAACTATCCACAGAACAATTCAATGACAAAGTGACAACATTTTAATTTTATCTCCGTGGATTTTTATCAATTTAAAAAATCGTCTGGGAATTCTCCAGCTTCTTAAGTCCTTTCAGTTATTAGGAACCTGTTTTCCTTGAAAATCAATGTTTGTTCATTTAGAATTTTGACATGAATATTGAATATTTTTATTTTACGTTATGAGTTGGTATTTACTCTGTGGATGAGTTAGAATCCCTCCAGTATCCACACAAAGTTATCACTGCCTGGGACAGCTTACACTGACTTCAGAGAGTACAGGCCTCCCTCCAGTAGTCACACAGAGTTATCACTGCCCGGGACAGCACACACTGACTTCACAGAGTACAGGCGTCCCTCCAGGAGCCACACAGAGGCATCACTGCCTGGGACAGAACAAACTGGCTTCAGAGAGAGCAGGCGTCCCTTCAGGAGCCACACAGACTTATCACTGCCTGGGACAACTTACACTGACTTCAGAGAGAGCAGGCGTCCCTTCAGGAGCCACACAGACTTATCACTGCCTGGGACAGCACACACTGGCTTCAGAGAGTACAGGCCTCCCTCCAGGAGCCACACAGACTTATCACTGCCCGGGACAGCACACACTGACTTCTGAGAGTACAGGCCTCCCTCCAGGAGCCACACAGAGTTCTCACTGCCCGCCCCCGCACACACTGGCTTCAGAGAGTACAGGCCTCCCTCCAGGAGCCACACAGACTTATCACTGCCTGGGACAACTTACACTGACTTCAGAGAGAGCAGGCGTCCCTTCAGGAGCCACACAGTCTTATCACTGCGTGGGACAGCACACACTGTCTTCAGAGAGTACAGGCCTCCCTCCAGGAGCCACACAGAGTTATCACTGCCTGGGACAGCACACACTGACTTCAGAGAGTTCAGGCCTCCCTCCAGGAGCCACACAGAGTTATCACTGCCCGGGACAGCACACACTGACTTCTGAGAGTACAGGCCTCCCTCCAGGAGCCACACAGACTTATAACTGCCCGGGACAGCACACACTGACTTCAGAGAGTACATGCCTCCCTCCAGGTGCCACACAGAGGTATCACTGCCTGGGACAGCACACACTGGCTTCAGTCAGAGAGCAGGCATCCTTCCAGGAGCCACACAGACTTATCACTGCCTGGAACAGCTCACACTGACTTCAGAGAGTACAGGCCTCCCTCCAGGAGCCACACAGAGGTATCACTGCCCGGGACAGCACACACTGACTTCAGAGAGTACATGCCTCCATCCAGTAGCCACACAGAGTTACCACTGCCCAGGACAGCACACACTGACTTCAGAGAGTACAGGCCTCCCTCCATGAGCCACACAGAGGTATCGCTGCCCGGGACAGCACACACTGACTTCAGAGAGTACATGCCTCCATCCAGTAGCCACACAGAGTTATCACTGCCCAGGACAGCACACACTGACTTCAGAGAGTACAGGCCTCCCTCCAGGAGCCACACAGAGGTATCACTGCCCGGCACCGCTTACACTGACTTCAGATAGTACATGCCTCCCTCCAGGAGCCACACAGAGGTATCACTGCCCGGGACAGCTTACACTGACTTCAGAGAGTACAGGCCTCCCTCCAGGAGCCACACAGAGGTATCACTGCCCGGTACAGCTTACACTGACTTCAGACAGTACATGCCTCCCTCCAGGAGCCACACAGAGGTATCACTGCCTGGGACAGCACACACTGACTTCAGAGAGTACAGGCCTCCATCCAGTAGCCACACAGAGTTATCACTGCCCGGGACAGCACACACTGACTTCAGAGATTACAGGCCTCCCTCCAGGAGCCACAGAGGTATCACTGCCTGGGACAGCTTACACTGACTTCAGCGAGTATACAGGCGTGAGGATAATATGAACTGATCTCAAATTAAAATTTGTCTTCCGTTTCGACTTAGCCAATTACTAAAAAAGTTACGAATTAAAAAATAGCTATATGTATAGATATTCAAAAGGACCATGCACCTCGTGCAAAAGATAGAAAAAAAATTGGGCTTATTACCAGGCATGGGCTTACTGACGAACACATACAATAGTAACAATGAGGTAGGGCGAGTGAATATTTCTTCACAGCTAGTTGTCCGGGACTATGGAGGAGGATCCCTGTACCACTGCCAAAATTCTGTATTATATTCCTTATATCCATACGAAAAAAGACCCAGAACAGTGGGACAAGGATCCTTAACCCTTTCACCCTTATGCAACTTTAGTAGACTCTACCATACATTGATCTGGATGAGTCTATTATGGTCCACAGTGGTGAAAGGGTTAAGTAAAAATGATATCCAGTGACTTTTCTACTGTCATACTCTACCATGCATTGATCTGGATGAGTCCATTATCAGGTCCACAGTGGTGAAAGGGTCAAGTAAAAATGATATCCAGTGACTTTTCTACTCATTCCACATAGGCCTTTGACTTTAATTTTGTGTCAGGAAAATGTGCAGCTTTTTCATAAAACTTGGAAAATGTATCTGTTTTCATAAAAAAAGAAATACCAAACTAGTAAGAACATTTGCCAGCTCATTAATTCGCAGCGATTTTATAAAATTTGGAAAATATACATATTTAAAAAAAATTAAAAAAAATGATACCAGACTAGTCAGAACATTTTGTCAGCTCATTAATTATAAAAGTTTGATTATATATATATTATAGATGATCATAAGACTTTGAATTTTCGATATAATACAGGAAAATTTTGGAAATATGCTGTGATTGGGGAAAAGAACAGCTTAATTTCTGTATGGAAATGGGCCGAATATCAGTCTCAAATCTACCAAGCAGAAAAACACTGGTATCTAACCCTGAAAATCCTCGCTCGTGTCAAAATCTGACAGAACAAGATGGACTCAACTTTTTTGATGACATTGCAATTTTTTAACCGCCTCATGAATATTTTGTGCGATGGTCATGCATAAGTTTTAACCGTGATGTGATGAAGTCTCCCAATATTGACAACGTTAAACCACAGCTAAGATGTAGACTCAGAGTTTTGGTTGGGTTTTGTAATTTCTGTTAATCATGAATATTCATGATTGGCGTTGCATAATTTGTACAGCTTACCAAGGATGTCTGCCATGTGATAAATAACGGAAAGCTAATGTTTTATAAAAATAAAAAATCGTAAAATAGCAAAGATCTGCATTATAGATAGTAGATTCAATATACATGGCCTTTAGATTTGATTCCTCAGAAAAGGCTTCTTACGAGAATCAAATTATCGTCCCAGCTGTATAGGAGGTGAGCTGGAGCCGCGTTATAATCATGACCCAATACAGGAAAACAGGGTCAGAAAGGTATATAGAGGTTTAGGAGCTGAGACACACTGACCCAATATTGAAACTATATTTATCCGGAAATAAGCCCATGCCTGGTAATAAGCCCACCCGTATTAATTGTAGAGGAAATGCAAACAAATGCTATTTCATTGTCCTATAATAACCCCACCCCTTGGTTTAAGTCAGTGATTATGTGTTGGGTCCCTGGGCTTAATACAGGGCAAATAGGGTATGTATTTCCTTTTCATGAAGACCAGTAAGTGAAAGTTGAAAATATTATTTCAAGATTTGATTCCTCCCCATAGTTGACAAAAAAAAATGTTGCTCTTCAACAGCGTGGAACTAATATCCCTCGTGACTTCATCAGTTGATGTTAAAGGTACAAGTTTGATAATTTCAACAAGTCGTATGAAATACGTATGAATTATGTATGAGAGAGTAGTGTAAGTGGACCGAAGCCCCGGTACATTAAAACAAAGTGCTTCACGGGGGAAAAAAATAAATATTGAATGAATTCTGGAAGAGAGAATGTGTGCCGAGAAATATTGTACACATCGGAATTAGAAGGAATAGGCAGGAAATTCCGTTAGTATTGATGTGGACAATAAAGTGTATTCTACCCTGTATTGATGGCCTTTATTCTCCCCGTATTGTGTAATAGGACCATCCCCCGAGATGGCCATCTTGGTAGTGTTTAACTTCTTGGGAGATGTGCAAGGGAAATGGCATTTATGAGAGACAAGTTCTGACTGTGTAAAAGATTTGAAATGAGACGTCAACTATTAATCTAATACATTTTTATAGCTGCTTGCATTTTTTTTCTTTTTTTTTTCTGATGATTTTTATTCTTAAAACTTCTTTGTTTTTCTATTTTTTTCCCCGTTTTTACAACCACCATGCCATTAGAATTCAGCAATTGAATGTCAAGCTTGCCAACCCTATGAAATTTCCATGTTGGAGGGAGATTCTGTGTGTTCAAAATTAAAACCATAAATAAAGTGGGTGTATATAACCCTGAGAAAGAACACTTTAAAAATGCTACCACTGGATTTGTTCTTTCATATGAAATCTTAGGTCTTAGAATATAAGAATAGTTTAGAAATATAAGAATAGTTTAGAAAATTCACTGAATAGAAAAGATCAATTTTAGGGTTTAAGGATCGTGTCCAAAATCGGAAATCTCCTTCCAAAATAGGGAGAGTTTACAATTATGATATGTCTCAATGAATTTCCCACAAAACTCTGTAACTTTTACATCATTGTGATGGATGCAAATTTAATTTCTGCCAGACCAGACCGGGATTCAAACCCAGGACTTCACAGTTTGTTATTCCGTCTTTGCGTATTTCAGAGTTATCTTCTCTTGGGAGCAGGTATTGAGTGTTACGTTTACTTGTTTGTGAAAATAACGTCATCAATTTTTGAGAAAACGACGTAATTTTCTCGCACAGACCAATGACATAACAATCATCACCTGCTCCCAAGAGAAGATAACTCTGCAATACACAAAGACGGAATACCATTGCTGAAACTGATTCAGCTACCTGGTCGATGGAAGTGTACAGGCCCAAATGTGCTACAGTTACATCCAAACGGGAGTTAAGGGGAGGTAACTGTTAATATAGGAAAAATGGCAGTGCAGTAAGACAGGGATCCTTAAATTAATTGATATCATTTTCTCTTACAGCTGGTGACTACGGATTATTTCTCAAGGATGACGACCCAAAGAAAGGGGTGTGGCTAGAGTCTGGACGAGCACTTGATTACTACTTACTGAGAAACGGGGTAAGTTATCTCCCTTGTAAATACAGTCCTATTGTTTTGTGATAAAATCACTGAAGAATTGATTGGTTACCTCCCTTGCAGGAATGCCGTTTTATATAAAAGAAAAAAATCACTAATGAAATTTGTAATTAGCTGCCTTGTAAATATGCCTGTTTTGTCGAAAAGACAATTTGACACAGGAATTTGTTTGTTATCTCCCTTTAGTCAGGCATGATCTGCCATTGGTAGATCGTAAGATCGGCACAATTAATATTTACAACCCAGAGCTTGCAAAGAGTGAAAGGACCAATTTTCTGAAGAATTTGGCTTGTTACCTCCCGTGTATATAATGGCCAGGTTGGCTTTAACTCATTCACCCCTGAAATTTCATAATGACCTATTTCCACCTTTGAATTGGAGGAGTTTAAATGTGTCTTCAGGGGTGAATGAGTTAAGATAAATATACCGAATAATGGGTATGGTCATCTCCCTTTAAATAAGGTCCCTCAGCTTTTTTTCGTAAGTTGAGTTTTGACAGTGTACTGACACCATCACATCAATATTTCTATTAGGAAACATAATATTGTACAACTATTTCCCTTGCTGTAGGGAAACAAAGAATCATGTTTCCCTGCCACAAGGATAAATGATATATTATCATACCAAGATAAAACATTAACACAACAGTGTCTGTGTCCAAAAATACTGTGATAAAGTGCTAATACTGAACAGGTTGTGTCGCTCAACTATGTATAAATACTGAAATCAGTTGTATCTTATTACATGAGGGAGGCGTGTAATGTTGACAAGAAAAATGTCTTTTAGATTTAAAGTGGGGTAGAGCGATCAAGTTTCGGTGAAAGAGACATCCATACCTTTTCAATTTCTTACTCTGGTAAAAATACGAATTCATCCATTTGTAAATGTATGTCTGTCTGTGTCGGTGTTACGGCAAGTGTAATTAGTGGATTATAGCCCAAAATTGTATCATTCTTAAGGTTATAGTTTTGTGTGCGAATTGTAAGGATCACATTTTTGCGCAGGAATGTACTTTAGTAGAAGAACTTCAAGTTTTGTGATTCTTGACTTAATTATTAGCTGAATTGCAAGAATGCTAGTTTATATTATAAGTGGAATTTTATTACGACAAACATTTGAAGTGTTCATGTCAAAATTATTTCGAAAATAAATTGTTAGTCATATTTGACTTGTGTGAACAATTTTGATCTGCGTGATATTTTATTCAGGTTATTTTATATATTAGTTATTTAAAACATTTTTGCCATATTTGATTGTGGGAGTCCTAACATTTGATATTCAAAACTTGACCTTTGATCCTAGTAATCATAGACCTTTAATCCTTGTGACCTCTTGACCTTTGACATAAGGATAAAGGTCATTAACGAAGGTCATACTGGTGTACAAATTTTGATGAGGCATGTGATTTTTTTCTGTCAAGATCAATTTTCAAAAGCCCTTACGGTAGTCTCAAGTGCCGCGACACCAGCCCAGTAATGTTAGCCGTATAGTCGCAATTTAACCCTTACACCCCTATGTAACTTAAGTAGACTCGGCCATGCATTGATATGGATGAGTCCATTATGGTCTACAGTGGTGAAAGGGTTAAACACCAAAATGAGTATTCATGTAAATATTCCAAATATCCATTCACAGCCTTGATTATTGTATCTTAAAATATTTTGCATCTGAAATCTTCTGAGATTACAGCAGTAAGTATGAAAGGATAACTTTGTCAGTATATCGGCATTTCTAAAGTTAACGTTGAGAGACCTCTTCAATCCAAGTGCACACTATGTTCTACGGAATTTTTCATACAACAGTTGTATTGTGTATACTATAGATACTTCTCTATCATGTAAAATTACAAGTATTATGGCGAGTCTGATCCCGTTTTCTCTAATTTTAGTAATATTTCATTTATCTTGCCTATACAATCTTCCGTCATACATGTCCATGGAATTTCCATGGGAGAGGTTACACTTGTTCAGAATTAAAACCATAAATAAAATATGTTTATGTACACCCTGGGAGGAAACTGGAGAACCTGGAGAAAACCCACGTGATCAGGCAGGTGACCAAAAACCCTTTTTCACGTCTGATCGGGGAATCAAACCTCGGTTGCCTTGGTGAAAGGCAAGTGTGCTATCCATTGCGCCATCCGACCACCCGAATAATATTTTGTCGTGTTTTGCAACATCCCCCGTCTTGCACCTCCGTTATGATTCATCTTGACAATGAAAAATATTTTGTACCGGTTACCTTTATGTCCTCCCCCCTGTCAGGGTCCTCAGGACTTTCCCTTTAGTCACCAAGGCTAGTTAAAACTTCAAAGTTCGAGGATGCTAAGATCAAGAAACAGAAGGGTGTGGGGCAATGTTTAATTCAGAGTATGTTCACTTCCTGTGAATCAGGAAGAGCTCTTCAGTTGAAGGAGGTACAAATAGCCACATTAATGGGAACCACTTTGAACGTACATTTTTGAAATTGATGCTCCAAAGATAATTTAAAACTAAATATCTGAAAGCTCAATATATAATTATACAGATTTTTAACAATATATATTTATCTAGCGGAATTCAGCTACAGAGGTGTTGCGACAAAGTTTTCGTATATTAACTCATTCACCACTGATATTTCATAATGAGCTATTCCAACCTTTGAATTGGAAGAGTTCAATTGTGTCTTCAGGGGTGAATGAGTTGATATGTAACTCTTACCAGGCCTCCTTGTGTTCTCAACTTAACAAGATAGTGACATCTTCTTCCTCATGGACTTACAAACTTGTCACTCATCACGGGAATAAGGAAATAAACCTGTTCTGTTTTCAAGTAAAAGTAGTAAATTTCTGGGCGTAAATACTGAGATTCATGAGTTAAAATATAAAACATATTTAACCCGAACATTTTGCAATACCTAATTAAATAGCTTATTCATCAGGAAATAAAGAATATTCTGTTCATTATTTTTTTGATCTATAAATTAAAGACAATGCCGCCTCCGTGAAAAGACAATTCATCTTCCCCTAAACATGTTTAGGAAAGGATTGCTGCATTGTGACATCACAATAAGAAAATGTATTACCTGTGGTGATAGGTCTATTTCAATTGTTTAATTTAAAGTGCCAAATCCAAATCATGTGATTTATGTCTTACAAATATTTGTATCATTTGATGATTTTCTGACAGATATCTTGTGTAATATTTAACATGTTTGTTAGAGATGTCCGTGTCATGTGATGTCTCTGTCATAGAAAGTCTTACATCTTTGTCATAGAAAGTCTTAAATCTCTGTCATAGAAAGTCTTACATCTCTGTCATAGAAAGTCTTACATCTCTGTCATATCTCTGTCATAGAAAGTCTTACATCTCTGTCATAGAAGTCTTACATTTCTGTCATAGAAAGTCTTACATCTCTGTCATAGAAAGTCTTACGTCTCTGTTAAAAAATATCCTTCTTTTTATGGACATCTCTTTTATAAAAAAATATTTCTGAAATATGTACAATCTGTGTTACACAAGGGGGCCCCAATGGCGGAGTGGTTAAGGCATCTGACTGCCTTACGATCACTAGCCTTCCACCAGTAGGTCATGGGTTCAAGGCCTACGTGGGGCTGTCACCTGGTACTGTGTACTGGCCGCAGGTTTTGCTCTGGGTACTCCGGTTTTTCTCCAATGTAATCTGACATGTCCTTATCTTATTCACCCCTGAAGACACATTTGAACTCTTCCAATTCAGAGGTTGGAACAGTTCATTGTGAAGTTTCAGGGATGAATGAGTTAAATGACCATAGCTGTTAAAAGGACATAAAAACACAAACAAACCGAATGGAACCAAGTATCACACAAAGTCTTTCCAACTACACACAACATATTTGTCATAGAAAAGTTTTCTGTTGACAAATACCTGAATTAACCAGTAGCAAACCTGTTACAGAGAATAAAAATTGGTACTGGACTCAATGAAGGTTTTTGTTTCCAGGGATAAGGACTATTCTCCGTAAAATCTGTTTAAAAGGGACTATAGCTTTAATGAGGCCGCGGCTTATTACTGGTACAGTACGGTAACTGTTATAATGTCCTTCAAACCCTCAGGTTTCAGAACGGAAACTACTTCAATTTTACCAGGCAAAGTTCAAAAATCTCGTTGGCTTAGAATAGGCGCTAATATTGTTATACACTCCTTTATAACGAACAAGTTTTAGGAAGATTTTTAAAAATGTGATTTTGTTTCTAAATTTAATATTCCTATGTCACAAGTTTTTTGTAGCCTTATAAATATATATATGGAGCACTCATTCATGTTTATATTTGTTTGAGTGATGTTGGAAAAACATATTTTGTTTCTGAATTACTCCTGCCATGTAAAATCAAATATTTGATGTAAATCTGTGTTAATATGACCCTGGCAGTTGTGAGATGTTATACTTCAGTAAAGTTAAGTTTTTGTGAAAAACCCTGCCTGAATATGACCCTGGCAGTTAAATTTCAAGGATGTTATACTTCAATAAAAGAGATATAAGTTATGTTTTTTTTTAATGGAAGAATATAAATTATATTTAACGTTATCCTTTGTATTTATTTTTGTGACGGCTGATTTGTTTAGAAAATTAAACAGTTTTTATTTGAGATGGAATTTTAAAAAGAAACATACTTAGGTCTGTTACGATGATGTTTTAAATCAATCAGGCTCAAATTTGGTTAACACTGCACTTTTTTTTTTAATTATCTCAATCTACTAAAGTTTGTGTATGTATCCATATTTAGAAAAGTCAGTTACGTTTATTTGAAACAATTAAGACAAAATGTATTAAACTGTTGAGATTTTATTGATTGCAGCTGATCAGGTTCAGCTTAGGTTAACCCAGTACTTTGTCAATGTCTGAAATATAATTGGATTATTTGTACGCCAGCCAAACCTTTGTTAAGTGTGTATTTTGTATGCGGTGAAATATTGGCATTAAAAAATCGGAATAAAGATAAGTTATATGTGCAATCGTACTACCACCGTTCTATGAAGAGTTAACTCCCTTGTTTTGCACAGTAGCTGGGATAATTAATTGCACCATTTAGATATTTCATGCTTTTTCCCCCATTTTTCAAAGACAACAGGGAATTTTTTTCTTTTTCCTTTCTTTTGGTCACATTTTTTTATATCTGGGCAAATAAGTTAGATAAATATAAGTCGCAATAACTTGTTTCATAATTGTTGTAATATTCCGTCTTTTCGTATTGCAGAGTTACCTTTCCTTGTGAGCAGGTATTGAATGTTACGTCATTTGTTTGTAAGAGTAACGTCATACATTTTTGAGAAAACGACGTAGTTTTCTCACACAAACTAATGACGTAACAAACAATACCTGCTCACAAGAGCAGATAACTTTGCAATACGAAAAGACGGAATAAACAAACTAAAAAGTCACTCTTTTTCCAAGCTTTCGGGCTGAGAGGCCTTCGTCAGAGATTAAATGTCACCATACTACTATATACAGAATTTCAACAATAACATATTATGTTATGTTGTAGAATAGTTAAGTTTATATTTATAACAAGAAAAGATTGTCAATGATATGCGTACAAATCTTAAAAGTTGGGGACTGTTTAAGCATTTACCACATTTCATGAAGATTTTTTTTCTTTCAGGATTTACTGGAATACAGAAAGAAGTTGAGGATATTACAAATAAAAACTCTAGAAGGCAACCAGAAAAAATTACAGGTGGACGACAGCCACACTGTCGGTCAGCTTATGGTAACCATCTGTACCCGAATAGGTCAGTATCAGCCCTGGAATCTATCATTAAACTGTAAATTACTTTATTTTTGTGAATAGTTATTTTCGGACTTGTGCATGAAAAGACAAAATTATTTAAAAAAAAATGAAGATGCCATATTCCTTTGCTTAAATGTGTGTCAATAACTATGTTTGGTCTAAACCTGTTTAAAGTGACACTTTATAATCTGTAAACCTGTTTTATCTGACTATGTAAAGTAAAATCTGTTTAAATATCTGTCTATATAATCTATAAACTTGAAGAAAACTAAAAATAGCTGATTCCTTAAACATCTGTTAAATGCATATCAAGTTGTGCTATATGTATTCAAAAGTTATGAAAAGCTGTCGGAAAAATACCTTCAGGAATTAAGTCTCAAATGTTCTTTTAAAAAATAAAAATAAATGAGTTTCTACTGGTCCAGTATATTTACGTACTAAACATTGACCACTACTGTAATTATCTTTAACTCCAGGAATTGCCAACCATGAAGAATACTCCCTTGTACGTGACCTCGCCGATGATGAGAAAGAAAAAACTATGACGATCAAACGTGACAAATCTATCGCTAAGGACCAGAAAAAATTGGAGGAAATGAGGAAAAAACTACACACAGATGATGAATGTAAGAAAAGCTAAACCATCGGTGTGCTTTGATCAGAGAAAATTCTTGGTTGCTTTAATATCTTTACATTTTTCTACCAAGAATAATGAAGTTTTACAAGTACGTAATTGTAACTACTACATAAAGCATCATCAAGATTTGGAAAATCATGGCAGAAATTTTATTGAGAATTTTGAAATTTCTTTTTGATTCTGTCTGGGAGCAGACATTTTCACCGAGGAAGAAATTGTCCTCAGAATCATTAGAATTGTTTACTTGGGTGCTTACAGACAGTATGTGCTTAAAACCCTTTCACCACCGGAGACCATAATGGACACATCCATATCAATGCATGGTAGAGTCTACTTCAGTTACATAGGATTGAAAGGACTAATAAGAGGACAATCCTACTGTATTTTGAGATTTGGGGAAGTATATCGTGAATATACTATTTAAAATTTGGTTTTACTGGCGAAATGGAGCGGAGAAGTTTTGCCAATGATATATCATGGATATAAAATAAAAATTAAATATTCAACATTTGATAAAGCGCCCTTTCTAGCTAACATAAGCCACTCTAAAGCGCTTTATATATACTGTCACAAATTATTTTGATTGACCAATCAAATGCTGTGTTACTTTTCAAATAAATTATAGTTAAAGCTATTCTTTAAAGGATTTCAGATATTCACCTGTAAAGACGGAATAATTTACGTGTATTTTGTTAAATTTTTGTTATCCTCAGTGGAATGGTTAGATCACTCAAAGACTTTACGAGAACAGGGAGTAAACGATGAAGACACTCTGCTATTACGACGTAAATACTTCTACTCCGACCAAAACGTTGACCAGAGGGATCCAATTCAACTGAACTTACTCTTTGTCCAGGTAAGGAAGATGTGCACAAGAAAGTTATAAGGGGAGGTAATAAGAAATGTAAGGGGAGGTAATCAGTAATGTAAGGGGAAATAATCTGATTACATCCTCTTATAACATTTATTAATAGTCTCTTGTCTTTCACTGGGTAGTGATAAAAATCCCTATTTTTAATGTTTCAATACACACTTGAGGTTCAAAATCAGTGATAGAAAATTTCATGTCACTATTTTTTCTACTTATAACTTCAACTTGTGTGGCTGGTTTTAACTGTTCGCAGGTGCTTTGTAGCTTTGTGTTAGTGGAAACTTCCCTTTAGCTCTGTGGTAGCGTGGCAGACTGGGAAGCTGGATGTGACTAGTCAAATTGTGATAATAAGTGCAGTAGACACTTGATTTATTTAACCCATTCACCCCTAAAGTCACAGTTGAGCCTTACCAAATCACAGAATGGGCAAGTCTAGTTTAAATATGTAGGGGTGAATGAGTTAGGTTGTATGAGTAGTGTCTTTTAGAGAAAATTATCACTGTCTCTTTCTCTTCTTTTTTAAAACAAGATATGTTAAAATGAGGAGAAACCCTGTAATTATTTCCCACTATTATTTTTTTATTTCAGTCTCGCGACGCCATTTTGGACGGTACCCATCCAGTGGCCCAGGAAGAGGCGATACAGTTTGCGGGATTACAATGTCAGATTCAGTTTGGAAACCATATAGAAAACAAACACAAATCCGGCTTTTTTGAGTAAGTATTAGGAGAAGTTGATTCTGTTTCTCTACATGAAAAATAAACATAAATCAGGCTTTTTCAAATAAAGGAGTATGATATTACTTTTTCATATTTTCATCACTTCATGATTAAATCATATAATCCTAAGAGCAGAACTAGCAGAAAACAGTTTATTTCCTGGACAAATGTTGGAAGACTTAAAAATTTTCAAAGAGGCACTTTCAGTGAAACAATGGTGTAAACTATTTTTTTTACTTCAAACCAAAATGTAACTTCATGTTTAACATAATGTTTGAAACACATGTCTGTATTCATGTTACTTTCAAGCGTTTAGATGACACGGATATACTATAATTAAAAAGTCAGACCTTAAACAATTTCATACATTTGATCTGAAACGAGATACAAAAATTGATGTACCAATTAGGAGTGTTCTCCAGAAAGGGGGTTAGAGAAATTGATTTCCAAGTTGTCATGGGAACTGGACAAGTAGATTTTACTGAACCTGATTTTCATACATTGTATAGGTAAAAGCATTGCAATAAATTTGTTTCTCTTTATTTTTCAGGTTGAGAGAATTTTTACCCAAGGAATATTGTAAAATAAAAGGCATAGAGAAAAAGATTTTCGCAGTAAGTATAGTAGTTTATTGTCAGCTGCTTATATAAATATACTGTGAAAACTCATTTTACCAACAAGACGAGGGGTCAGATAAGACAGTGTTAGTAAACTTGTCCATTACAACATCTGGAGAGAGTCATTTTGATCAGGTAAGACGGTGTATAATTAAACCTGTCCATACCGACATGTGGTAAGAATAATTTTGGTCAGATAAGACAGTGTGTCTGTAAACCTGTCCATACTGACATCTCAATAGAATTGTTTTGGTCAGATCAGACAGTGTGTCAGTTTACCTGTCATCAGGAGAGAATCTAGTTTGCGAGGTCAGAAATAACAGGATGTTGTAATAGGCAGGTATCCTTTTAAGTCAGGTTCACAGATACAAGGGTTTCTGTCAAAGGTCTGCGAAAACGGCTTTTGATGGGCTGCAGTAACTTGTTGTTTACCTGTGTGAAAATTTACCTGTCATACACTTTGAACTTACCTGTGTATTAATTACCTGTCGTACGATTCACCTGTACTAACTAATGACAATTTACCTGTAGGAACACAAGAAATGGACTGGTCTGTCGGAATACGAAGCCAAAGCCAAGTATACACAACAGTGTCGTGCCCTGAAGACTTACGGCATCACGTTCTTCCTCGTCAAGGTAACGTAGTCATTAGTACGACCTGTATTAACGACCTTGGCTTCCGTATGCAACACACCATTTCATTCATTTCAGTAATAATTACCATAACTTTAGTATGCATAAACAATACATACACCTAATTTTTTTAGCCCAAAAACAAAAGATTCAAATATCCCGACCTCCCTACCATCACGTAACCCATATCTCGACGACGACATACCAATTCACACAGGATTGATTCATTCGTCTTCTTCAGATTGAATTATCTGTCTTTAAAATTGATTGGTGCTGACATTTCCTATTTGAGGGATCGGATCCAAAGGTGTTTTATTTGAAAGTGATATGACACTTGGAAAATGATAAAGAATGACTAAAAAATAATATGCTTTACTCTGATGCCAAAAAAATCCCCTTCTCATACTTGACAAATGTCCCTGTTCCGACAGAGACTTCCGATTTTGGACCCAAACATTGAACATTGTCAACCAGTGAATTTGCTAAACTACTTCGATTTTCTAAGATCTGATGATTTCATCCGAAAGAACAACCCAGAAGTTGGCTTTAAATGTGATATTTTTTCCCTTTGGGTGTGAATAGACACATTTAATTGATGTTTTTAATATAGAGCGTGTAAAATTGCCCATGCAAAAAAGTTGACAGCAAAATTTTCAGTTACGAAGGGCTAAGAAATATTTTTTTCCGGAACAGCACAAAAAAGCCTCTGTCACAAATAAATAAGCAGAAACTCAAGCCATGTTGTATTTTAGCTTAGAAAATGTAAACCTGGTGTTGATTGTGCGTTTGAAATATACATGTATGTATGTTTTCCACAGGAGAAAATGCCGGGGAAGAATAAACTTGCTCCGCGTTTGTTGGGAATCACCAAGGAAAGCGTGGTCCGAATGGATGAAAAGACGAAAGAGGTAAGTGTGAGGAAAATGAGGGAAAACAGTGTCACAGTAGTTCTCATTACACTGCCAAAACTTGTCATAGTAAAGAAATTGGCAGATTGGCTGAGTGGTTAACACTTCGGGCCTTCCATGCAGGCGAAGTTGTCGTATGCATGGAATATTCTAGCTAGATAGGATGCTATATCAAATTTTGTTGTATAATATTTATATGGCATTATAAAGGGGTTTGGTGATATATCAAGAAAAACTTAAACCAGGATTGGGAGAAATGGACCCATACAATTGTTGGCAATGTGCAGGATGAAAAAAGAGGAACTGCTTTTTTGTGAGGAAATTGAGGGAAATCAGTGTTGGGCACAGTCGTTCTCATTACAATGCCAAAACTTCATAGTAAAGAAATTGGCAGATTGGCTGAGTGGTTAACACTCGGGCCTTCCATGCAGGCTGCCCAGGTTCGATCCCCGAATATTCTAGCTAGATATGGTGCTATATCAAATGTTGTTGTATAATATTTGTATGGCATTATAAAGGGGTTTGGTGATACATCGAGAACAATTTGTACAGGGATTGGCAGAAATGGACCCATAAAATTGTTGGCAATGTGCAGGATGAAATAAGTTTTGAGATGTGTTGGGCTGCTGATCGATTATAATCGAAAATTGATTGGTTTGCCCTTTCTGATTCCAATTTTCGATTACAAATTCCATTACTGATGCAATCGGTTCATGATTGAAATCAAAGCATCAAATGTATACAATATAAAAATTGCATTGAAAGTCCTTTATTCTTATGAACTAAATGATTGACAAAAATGCATAAAAGTTGCTTGAAATCTATCATTATTAAAAAACGAAACCTTTGATGATAATCCTATTGCCCATCACTAGTTTGAGATTGGTGATATAAATTCAGAAAAAATGCAATGAAGCCATGTTCAGAAACTAGAAACATTTTAACTCATTCACCCCTGAAGACACATTTGAACTCCTCCAATTCAAAGGTTGGGATAGTTCATTATGAAATTTCAGGGGTGACCGAGTTAATATCAAAGCTTCTTCCTCTTGCCTTGTTTTCAATTCATTTACTATGAAAATAGTGTAGATGTCTGTAACTTTTCTTAGCTTACAAGATATTCTTAGCCTTACTGTATAATTGTTTAATTTTGTGGGGCTAATATTTCACGGTTGTACCAATCATGAGTTTTGGGCGGATTACATTTCACGCAACTTTACAAGGTAAAAACAGTGCGCTCAAGTTGGTACTGTTGTATTTTGGTGATTGGATTTATTTTACAAGTGCATTATCAAAATATGGTGATGGGATTTATTTTACAACTGTATAATCAAAATAACATAAAATACAATACTAAATTGGTGTTTAATGGTCATTTTTCGGCTTAAAAGGGTAAAAAGGTGTTTTCTTTTATCTGTGTATATTCATGGTACTGATATTCACTGGGCATTTAATTTCACGCTTTCTTTAGTGACCGTGATATTACGAAGTTAAACCCCCCACAAAATTAAGCAGCTATACAGTATATGCTATAGAGCTAACACTCTCTTATAAGCTGTGTGGGAAAAAAACGGTTAATGTTCATAATTTCTGTTTTTGTTTTTACAGGTCATGAAAACATGGCCCCTGACGACAGTGAGGCGCTGGGCCGCATCTCCTAACAGCTTCACACTAGTGAGTAGAATTACTTTTGTCGTTCTTCGGAAATGTTTCATCATTTGTGCTCCGGTTAGGTGGTAGACACTGAGTAAAGATTTTCACATCTACAGTAGTTCAGGAACAGAAGAGTTCTCATTGTGCTCTCAGCTGTGTGCTTTGTTTCAACTCATTCACCCCTGCAATTTCGTAATGAACTATTCAAACCTTTACATTGGAAGAGTTCAAATGTGTCTTCAGGGGTGAATGAGTTATTTGACTTACTAAATCATCAATGACATTTTCAGGAGAAAAATAAATTATCTGAGTATAAGTGAATTTGTGATCAATTTCAAATATGTCTTGCTCGAAATACTAAGAACATTTCCAGGATTTCGAGGAATTTCTTTCAAAGATGAATTTCAAATATTTAGTTAAAATCTTTCTTTGAAATTCTGTATGTCTGTAAAAAAATTCAACTTCAGTTTAACTTTAGCTTTTCTGTGCACTGTAAAAAAGATGGCTTAAAATTTTAATGACTTCAAAAATTATAACTCGGAATACAATGTTTAGTAATTATGCATGAAGACCAAATTAACACATGACATATACAGACCAGTGAAAGGCAAATACTTGACTAGAAAAAAAAATTGAAATGAAATTCTTACTAAAGTTATTTCCCTTTATTTACAGGATTTCGGTGATTATTCTGATGCCTACTACTCTGTTCAGACACAGGAAGGGGAACAAATTTCGCGACTTATCGCTGGATACATTGATATCATTCTTAAACGAGTAAGTGGCACCTTTTCAAACTGACATCTTATGAAACCAGATTAGTCTGTGGGATTAGTTGGCAGCTTGCAGGTTGAATGAAACGAACAGGTTGTGAGTGTTCAGAAGAAGATTAGCAATGCCAATATTCTCATTAAGCGGTTCATAAAAAGTTAAGCGGTCAATATTCTCATGAAGTATGTTCATTAAAATGTTAAGGAATGCCAATATTCTTTTTTATACAATGACCTTTATACACAGGTGATTCCTATAGGCAGTTGAACTTACAACATTGAGTTGTTAATAAAAAAGTAACTGTGTAGTAATATCAATTCTGTATTGAAATTTTCACAAACCAAAAAAAATTCAAGGGGTAACATCGGTACATTTCTTTTCATTTAAATGTTAGATTTGATTGATAATCAAAATACTGTGTCTATCCTACAGAAAAAAGCCAAGGAACACCTTGGGATTGATGGGACAGATGAGGCTCCAATGTACGAGGATAACGTCGCACCTGGACAGTAAGATCTGTTAGATTGTGTATTTTCACGGAAATTATATGACAAGTCCATTCAGGAAATATAATACATTTGTTACTCTTGGTGTGGAGAAACACAATTCTTTGTTTCTCCTAGATAAATTGTGTCACACGAGGGAAAAGCCCAAGTTAAACATGATTGATTAAAAGGAAACAAATTTTCATGTTTCCTACCACAAGGAAAAGCAATGTTTTATTATACAAATAATCCAACGGTAAAGATGATGAGGTTGACTGACAAATGTTGTCGTCATCTGCTTCAATCTTTCATAAATCTGTTGTGTTGGCTTTTATCCATTGCGTTGGAGAGGCCCTGAATAAGGGAAATATGATCGGGAAGGACCATGCATGTGAGGGCGACATGATGTTTTATTTCCCCATAATGTGATCAATATCATCCAATCAGGAATGCTGTTATAAAGATGAAGTATAATAATAATGACAATCATTAAGGAGTTTTGGAATACATTGAGGGAGATTGTTAAGAAACTGTTAGGAAATCGGGAACTGAAATTGTTAAGCCTGTTGTAACTGAGGTTGCAACTTAAATGGCAAGTTTTTTTATATGAAGCTTTTACTATCATAATGAACATTGACAGGAAAGCATTCTTCTTTTGAACAGATAACCCTTTTCTTAAGTAACTCTTAACCCTTTCGCCCCTATGTAACTGTAGTAGACTCTACCATGCATTGATCTTGATAAGTCTATTATGGTCTACAGTGGTGAAAGGATTAATGTAAACTTCAATTTTAAAACACCTCAGCGTACTGCATTAGTACAAAAACGGTTGATTATTTTTTCATTTTATTTTTTTGAAAAACGTATCCTAAACTGCTATGATACTTATAACATTGACTAGAAAATCATAGACATTGCAGGTGATTTAATCCATTTCTTGTTTTCAAGGGCTACGATTATCAAACAAAACCAGGCAAAGGTCAGCCATGCTGATCACATGTCCGTTTCCATGCCAGGGGTCATGAGGTCAGGAGTCGGGCCCTCAAATTTCTCTGCAGGATCAATGGACTCCATGCAGTCGAGTCAGGTGTCAAACTCAATGCATGTGCGGCATGAAAACAACCAGGTGTGTCTTGAGTTTCTATACCTTACTAAGCATGTAGATTATGGGGGTAGACCTTTGTCAGGGGGGCAGAGATTTTCAAAAAGGGGGCAGACCTTGGTGAAGGCAGCAGATTTGAAAGAGGGGCAGATTTTTGCAAATGGACCAGACCTGGGTGAGAGAGACAGAACTTGGGAGAGATGGGAGTGGACCCGTGTGAGGGAGGCAGAGCTTGGGAGAGATGGGAGTGGACCCGTGTGAGGAAGGCAGAGCTTGGGAGAGATGGGAGTGGACCCGTGTGAGGAAGGCAGATCTTCAGAGAGGGAGCTTTGGGAGAGAGCAATGGTTACTGACCTTGGTGAGAGCGATGAAGTTTGGGGGAGTGAGAAAGGTAGGGGGGCACGGCTTGGAGAACAGGGGGGGGACGAAGTGAAGGGAGGAGGGATGATGGGCTGGCCAGTGGGGTAGGGGGTGGTAGATCTTGGTGAGGGAACAAATCATACGGAGGGAACAAATCATACAGATTTTGGGTAGACCTTGGGGAAAATGAGGGGGCGATGAGAAAAATTGAAGGAATGTTGGAGGAAATTGAAAGAGCTATGAGAAGTGAGCGTATGAGGTATATGAAAAACTGAAAGGAATTGTAGGAAAAAACTGAAGGAGATGTTGTAAGAAAGAAGGGACTGTTGTAAAATTGAGGGAGCTTTGGAAACTATTCGAATGAGTTCTATAGGGAAAATTTAATTAAGATATCAAGAAAGCTGAAGAAAAGTAAAATAATTGGGGAAAACTACATAAAAAATATTCAGGGTCAGAGTTCAGTAAAACAATAATAATATCCAGTATGGCGTTAATGATACATGATCTGTTTCTGAGTTTGATTGACAGGCGGTCCTAGGTAGGTAACCTGTGTTTGACCCCCCCCCCCCAATGTACCTCTACTAACCCTAAACTGACTAGACCCGGTTTGCTTGATAGAGACTAATTAGTACTTGATTGCCCAACATTGATTTAATTTTATTTCATTTTAGTTGTATCCATTTTCTTTTGTTTTGTAGCGCAAGGGAACTAGGTATTAACCTGATACAAATTTAGTGAAAATATTTATTTGCATTTTGTATGTTTTTGTGTGTTATTTCAGTTATTCGCTAGAAATTAAAATTATCGGTTTCTTGAATGACTATTTGATGGGGCAAGTGTGATGCATTCAGGCTTTTAGTTGAATGTAACTTAAAAGAAAACGATCTACTTGCATTTTATTCCCTTATTGAAGGGGTTGGAGGAATTTAGAAATTGCTTTGTCAGTCTGTCCGTGTGTCCTTAGCTTGTGTACAAGATCTCCTCAGCTGATTCAGTTTGTATAATAATACTGTAACAAGAGAGGAAAAATGCACAGCCAGACCGGGGTTCGAACTGGGGACCCTCTGAACTCTAAACGGACGCTCTACCAATTGAGCTTCCTGGTCGCCGACGATCGACCCTGTCCAGTTCCGCTACAATACTATATCAGCTTGTATAATAATATCAAATTCAACCAATTATTAGATTTTGGTGGTCATCGGTCAAGATTAAAGTGTCAAAAGTCATACTTTACCACTTTGAAGTTAAAAGCTTGCGTACAAGATATCCCACAAACACCTCAACACATTTAGTTTCTGTTAACACAATAGTATGTTAATTTCAAATTCTACATCTCAGTAGATTTTGGTGGGCATTGGTCAAGATTAAACGGTCAAAGGTCACACTTGAATACTTTCAAAGCAAAATAACAACTTGAATACTATGGCAACATCAAGTTATTAGAGTTTGTCTAGGAAGGTTAATTAAAAGGTCAAAGGTCACATTTAACTATTTTTAAGCTCACTTTGTTCTTAATGTGTAAAATATTTTGAGCATCCTTGTAAGTGCCCATTCACCCTTAAAGTCACATTTGAACCTTACTAAATCAAAGACTGGGCAAGTCCACTGTAAATATGTAAGGGTGAATGAGTTAACCCTTTCACCCCTATGTAACTTTAGTAGACTCTACCATGCATTGATCTGGATGGTCCATTATGGTCTACAGTGGTGAAAGGGTTAATAAGGATATTAAAGAACCAGAAAACAGTATCATGGGAATAAGAAATCAAATATTTGTTTTACCTGTGACAGAGGGGGTACCCCTTGATTTCTAAAGGAAGCAGATTATTTGCCTGCATGACTGCATGTTGGAGTTCTTGATTGTATAAATTAAAGAGAGTCTTTTACAACATGCTATGTTACATGTTTTCAATATTTATCCTCTTGAGAAGGAAATGGATGATTATTAATGATATTCTCTGAAATGTAAATATCTGTTATGTCAAAGTTTTTTTTTTTTTATCTATTCATATTTCATCCATAATTCACCAATCCTACCAACATTTTAGTGATTTTCTTGTTATAAAATATGTTGATGTAAACAGTTTGCTTAGTTTATGTTGATTTACTGATTTTATAATATTAAAAAGAAATCAATATTCTTTTATTATATTTAGAAGAGAAAAAAAATCTGTTATTTACAATTTCGTTTTCTGACATACTTAGAGATACTGATATCCGACATGATATACTTTTCCTTCGATAGACACAGCGAGAAACAGGGAAACTTAGAGACACTGATATCCGATATGATATACTTTTCCTTCGATAGACACAGCGAGAAACATCCCTGTATCAGAAATGTAAACATAGAATTTCCCTTGTTTCCGTGTTAATACTTGTTTTCGTGTTAATACTTGTTTTTGTCACACATAGAGCCAGGGCGTCCATGAATTCTCCCTAACCTCCTCTCAACGTGCCCTCATTTCTTCGATCGATGAGGGCGTTTCGTCCATCAGACGTGACCAGTCGACACTGGACAGCAGAATGACCCTCCCCCACTTAGGAGACGACGCTGTAAGTATATATACACCGTTCTAATAACCATGTAAATATGGGGTCTGTCCGAAAAAACTAAATTTGGACACTACAGTACAATAGTAGGAAAATTATTGCAAGTGTAAGTTTGTTTTCAGCAGCAAAAGTATGTCTTTGTATAGTTTTAAGGGCTGGTATTATACATTTTCTGATTGGAGCCACTTTTTTTAGTGATAACTGGATAAGTAGAAACGGGATTAGTGGTGACTGGATTAATGGTGACTTGATTAGTAACAGTGTCTGATCAATTAATAATGACTGAATTATTAGTGACTGAATTAACGGTGACTGGATTAATGGTGACTGCATTAGTGGTGACTGGATTAGTAACAGTGTCTGATCAATTAATAATGACGGAATTATCAGTGACTGAATTAACGGTGACTGGATTAATGGTGACTGCATTAGTGGTGACTGGATATACTTTGACTAGATTTGTGACTGGATTAGTAGTGACTGGATATATTTTGACCAGATTTGTGACTGGATTAGATTAGATGTGATTGATCTGTAGTATTGGCTGTTATGAGTATGGAAGCCAGTTCCTCTTGTGGAAATTCAAATAGTTTTTACACTATGTTGAAAATGGCATTTATAGAACTACTGAAATTTGACTTATGTCTTGTGGGTGTTTTAGGCGTCCAACAAATGGCGCCAGAACCAGCTGGACTTGTCGCGCCAAAAAGTGAGCGCCCAACTTGCTGCCATGAACGCAGCCACAGCGCAACTGGTGACACTTTCTGCCGGGGATGACGAACCAGACACAGACAATGTTGGAGCAGCCGTCGCTCAAATGTAAGTCTGACAAACACAGGTCAGTGGTTTTTCTCCAGGTACTCTGGTGTTCCTCCACCACCAAAACCTGGCTCACCCTTAAATGATCATAGTTGTTAATAGGATCTAAAACACTAACCAAACTTCGAAGTATCTGAAACAATCGTCGAGAATTTGGAGGTATTATGAAGTGGAAAGTTTCAAAGAAATACAAATTTCTTTACCTCATTATATTAAATGTTCTAAAAAGGTTTTCAGATGGTTGAAAACTTTTATAAAGAAATTGGAGCTTAGTGTTGAATTTGCCTGACGTCAATTTCTTTGTTTTTGCCCGAATAGCACCTCCAACATGGGAGATTTCAGTCACGATGTTCGCATGGTGGCCGCCCTACAGGATGACGATGATTCGAGGAGCCGACTCCTCGGTGCCGCTAAGCAGCTGGCCGGGGCATTCACAGACCTTCTCAATGCTGCACAGCCAGGGCCTAATGCTAAAGATGTAAGATCAAAGTTCAGGCTTTCTCTACCTAGTTCTGATGATAAAACTGTCCATTGATTTAAGTTGGATGTTTTTCTACTAGAAATAGTTGAAAAAATACATGAACTAACCTTCTTTTATGGTTATCATTGCATAGTTGCCACATTTTTGAAATTTCCATAGGGGAAATTCTGTGCTCAGAATAAAAGCATAAATAAAATGTGTGTTTGTACACCCTAGGGCAAAAAACACTTTAAGATGGCATCTTTCAGATGAAATTATCATTTCTGTGAAATAGGAATAGGTAACCAAATGCACTAGTTGAAAATGCACAATTTTAGGGTCCAGAATTGGGTGTCTCCATCCAAGACAGGGGCATCAATATTGTACTGTGTGTATTCTGGTCAAAGGTTACTGTCCTTTACAAATATTGCAGAGGGATCATTTAATGTTTTGAGCTTAATGATGTACGTACTTTCCGATACTAATCTGGTGTCATATTTAACATCAATAATATAAATGTAACGATTTCCACGTAATCACGGACAAAATTTCTGCACATTTATCTCAAAGTTTTTGATGTACAGAGAATGACCTTAACTCTTTTCTCCTACTTCACATGTGGTATTTCAGGTTTTGCTAGGGAGAAAAATAAACCTGTCATTGCCTACATAGGTAAATACAGATCCCAATGGTTTTGTTCTGAAAATGTCATCATTGCATCATCACTTTATGCCCTGTTACCAGGGTTACCACCCCATGTCATCATTTTGTGTGTCCTTTAGGATGGTGCTGTGCATTCAGTTCACCATTGCAGCCTGCTTTTTTTATGATAGGTAAATTTAGGTGCGGGAGAAAAATAAGGAATAATTCCTGATTGATGCAAACTGAAAATTCCCAACCCTCGGGATAAGTTAACTTAAGTGTAGCATTTGGTAATGCTAAACTTTAACTCATTCACCCCTACATTTTTAAAATGGACTTGCCCAGTCTTTGATATGGTAAGGTCTAAATGTGACTATAGGGATGAAAGGGTTAAAGATATTATCCTTAGTTTGAGATTTCTCACATGAGTGAGTTTCTTTATCTTCGTGTTATTCCTTGGACCCAACAACTTTGAGCTAGAAGGGTTTATCATTATTATTTCTTTGTTTTTGATTCTTTTTTTTCTAGTCGAGACAGAACCTGATCATGGCGGCCAAGACGGTGGGCGAGGCGAGTCAGGAGGTGATGCATGGTGTCGGCGAGTCGGCCCTGGACATGGACAGACAGTACCAGGTAACATTTCAACCTCAGCCTCAGTGTGACCTAACGGTAGTGACACAATTTACCTTGAATACAAAAATCAAGCTGCGATATTACAGCCATCACCACACTAAGGCTGTAAACTCCATTGATCTGGCACTATAGGAATGTTTTATTGTCAGATTAAAACTCTTGTTACTGAATAAGAATATTTTTCGTCAATTAAAATTTAAAAAGAACGTTGTAACTTTTTATATCCATTGCAGAAATCTTCAGAAAGAAAGATATTTAATAGATAGAGACTAAAAACACACACACAAAATTAAAAAATGGATATTTTAAATTTAAGAACAATTCACACAATTGGATCTTTCACGTCGTTGATGTAAAATGATCAGAAACCTTATTAAAGTACTGATTGATGTGATGCTTTCACAAAATGTTCATGTTAGCGATTATGATAGAACCTTGGATAATATATTACTGCAAATAAGTGTACAGTCTAACAAGTAAAATACAAATATTACAGATATTTCAGCAGGGCAAAAGCTAGTATAACATCAACTATACGAAATGTCGGTTTTCCCTCGGGCACATCAACACAGCAGTAGCATGTAAAGTAATCACTGTATACCGGCCGGAAAACTTTCTCCTCGTTAAACTTTCGTCATTCACTGATCATCCCATGTTTGCCAAATGTGTATTTCGCTCTTCCCACGTAATGGCTATATAAAGTATGTTATAAACTGAAATTTGCTGAAGTGATAAATTTGCCCACATTGCGGGGGGCGGAAAATGGAAAAATTAAACTGCAGCAAAAATTTACTGGTATACAATACGCAAACCTGTTATGTGTAACACAGCGTTGGTATGTCAATTTTTACGTCATCAGAGATTTTCTCTTGAATCGTAAAACAGGTTTAACACATATAGAACATTGTGACAAATGTTTGTCTGTATTTCTAAATATTTTCATCAGGTTGGTAAAGCTTACTGGCTGTGCTACATGAATCTTTTTACAATTCGTTTGTTGTCTATGTTGCCAGGAAACACTACTAGCCCTGGCCAAGGCTGTTGCCAACGCCACTGCCCAGCTGGTGCTCAAGGCAAAGAACGTGGCCAGTACAACGGAGGACCAAGCTCAGCGTGACAAGGTCATCAGCTCGGCGACAAGCTGTGCCCTGGCCACGTCTCAACTGGTGTCCTGTACCAAGGTAAGGATAGCTTATGGGAAAGATCGGGTGGCACAGTGGATTGTGTAGTCGCCTTTCAAGAAGACGGCTGGGGCTCAACCATGAGGGCTATCTCTGAGTACTCAGGTTTTGTCTCATATTGAGACGCCCTTCACGCCACCATTCATGCCACCATTCGTGAAGAATAAGAATATAAGTTATTAGAACTTATTTCATACTTTTTGTAAAATAAATAAAGTATATCTTAACTAATTGAAATAATTCTGTCAGTTTATCGTCCTGCAGCAGTGTGATTTTCATTTTTCCCTGTGTATCTGTGTATTGCTGTCAGTAAGCCATGTGGTTCAAAGTCTGGTTGTGAAAGCTTCCATCATTTTTCATCTGGAATAATCTTTTGAAATTGTATCTTTTCAAAGCTGGGGAAGGTAGGCAAATATTAACTCCATCTAGCTGCTGTAAAGGTATTTTTGCATTTTTACTGTGAAATATACAGCAAAAGCAAATTCAATTAATTGAAATAAATTTTAAAAAATTAATAGCAAATTCATCCTTACTTACCAGAGTTCTTTCTGGAATGGTTGCTAGACATGAAACCCATGAAAAGTTAAATTGTCGAAATGGACCATTTAATGAAATCCACAAAAATTTGTGACTGTTCAAAAAATGTATAAAAAAAGGCTTTTATAGTATTCCAAGATACTAAGAAAAAAATGATTTTGTGAATTAACTCATTCACCCCAAAGGTTGGAATAGTTCATTATGAAATTTCATGGGTGAATTGGTCAGTAAAAAATGTTTATTGATAAAGTTTATGAATATTTTCAATGTTTTCGTCTCAAATAACTGTCTGGAAGTCAACATAGTCTACCTCACTTGTTCTCTGGACTGGGAGAGAGATATAAAAGTATAAAGCCATTTCCTGTACCACTTCCTTTTCCATCCCCTATAGGTGGTAGCCCCGACCATAAGCAGCCCAGCCTGTCAGGAACAGCTGATTGACGCGGCCAAACAGGTGGCTCGCTCCGTGGAGGGGATCGTGGAGGCTGCCCAGCAAGCCTGCAAAGAAGACAAACTGCTACAGGACCTCGGGGCCGCGGCCACTGCCGTCACTCAGGCTCTCACGGACATGCTGGAGCACATCAAAAAGGGGGCAGGACCAACACAGGTAATTTAGGACTGGGTCATAAATGTGGGCATGGCAAGTTCAGGTAATTAGTGGGTGGGGTTAGCCAGGTTCCTAAAGGTGGGTGTGACTAGCTCATGTAATTAGTGGGTGGGGTTAGCATGGTTCATAAATGTGGGCGTGGCAAGCTCTGGTAATTAGTGGGTGGGGTTAGCATGGTTCCTAAAGGTGGGTGTGGCAAGCTCAGGTAATTAGTGGGTGGGGTTAGCAAGGTTCCTAAAGGTGGGTGTGGCTAGCTCAGGTAATAAATGGTTGAGGTTAACAAGGTTCGGAAAAGGAAGGCAGGCCCCACGTCAATAATACTGCTGAAATGATACATCTACGGTAGGGTAATATGATACATATTGCGATACATTTCTTATGACACAATACCTGTCTTGATACATTTTCTTTCTATAAAAATCAATGTCAGGGTTCCTTATCGATGTAATTAAAGAGCTTTTCTTTCCATGGTAAAATTTCTACCATAATGTCTATGTGGTTCAAGCTTGTTTTGGGGAATTTTGGAATGTTATTTGCAGAACTTATCAGGATATATGACAAGAATGGTGATGATAAATAGAAATTCTAAATGACACTTTCATTAAGGCGTCAGATTGTCTACAATCACTAGTCCTCCACCACTGGGTCAAGAGTTCAAGGCCTACATGGGGCCACAAGTCGGTGTTCTTTTTCTAGGTACTTCGGTTTTCCTCCATCACCAAACCCTGCCACGTCCTGAAATGACCATAGCTGTTAAAAGGACGTAAAAACCCCAAGAAACAAAACTCTATCTAGTAAATAGAGGCAGAAATGGACAAAAGACACGGCGAGGTTAATAATCGAAGGGAGACAATCCAATAGATATTAAGTGATTCACAGCAGCATTTGAAATGTTGACTGATTCAGAAGATTTCCAGCTTTATATCAAAGATAGGTTAGACAACTCTCACCATATGTAACAAAAAGACTCTCCCTCATTGTAATTCCAAGTGTAAGAAGTGCCACACCTTGTGAGTTTTATAGAAGTAGGTAACTCTGGGATAGGGTTCAAAACTATCATACATTTTGAGTACAACATTTAAAATTACAATTTCTATTGCTCTTGAATCAAACATGTTTGTGATTTTTTATTCTTTAACACAACTATTTGTTTGCGTGTTTCAGGCGTCTGATTCCCACGAGGTTGCTGTGGATACCATACTGACTGTGACCGACCGCCTGTTCAGTTCTGTCGGCGACGCCCACGAGATGGTCAAACAAGCGCGACAGCTAGCTCAGGTAGGTCTACCAGGCCTGAAAACTGTGTACCAGTCTGGAGACAGTGTACCAGGTTGAAGACACAGTGTATCTTTAGATTACACAGTAAAACCTATGCTGCCATCATTTCTTTAGCAAATTTTGACATTATAAGGGGGTTTGGCGCTATATCGAAAGACATATAATTGCTGAGGAAAATCAAATAAAAATCTACCCTTGAATAATTTATCCGTAAGCGAGTTTGGAATTGAAACAAGGTTTTACTGTATATGTTTATTGGGGTCTGTATTTGTGAAACCATTTTCATGGATTCTGTTATGCGCTTCCATCATACGACACAGTCAAAAGATCAAGTGTAAATATTGAAAGAATTTGGATTTATGACTCTCCAAAGACGTTACTGTAATATGTAAATCTGTTGACAGGCGACATCTAATCTGGTGAACGCCATACGGGAACAGGCGGAGGACAACTCCGACACCGACACACAGAAGCGACTCCTGGCCGCGGCCAAAGCCCTGGCTGATGCTACAGCTAAGATGGTGGAGGCAGCCAAGGTAAACGATCAATTCATCTGTTAAACTTAAATATTTTCCATTTTTAATGCAGCCTTTTTACATGAAAAGTTCTGAATTTACAAGAATTTTACATGTGAACTTTGGAAAGTTGTGAAAATTCTTTGAGAGAATAGCATGGAAAGAAATATATTGAACTAACCCTTTCACCCCTATGTAACTTTAATAGACTCTGCCATTAATTGATATGGATGGGTTCATTATGGTGAAAGGGTTAAAGCAATGAAAATATTACTTTGTGATAACACAGATAATTTTATTTTATGACGGGGATGTGCCAGTTGTAAAAATTCTTTGAGAGAATAGCATGGAAAGGAATATTTTGAACTAACCCTTTCACCCCTATGTAACTTATATAGATTCTGCCATGAATTGATCTGGATGGGTTCATTATGGTGAAAGGGTTAAAAAAATTAAAATATTACTTTGTGATAACACAGATAATTTTATTTTATGACGGGGATGTGCCAGTTGTAAAAATTCTTTGAGAGAATAGCATGGAAAGGAATATTTTGAACTAACCCTTTCACCCCTATGTAACTTTAATAGATTCTGTCATAAATTGATCTGGGGTCGGTTCATAATGGTAAAAGGGTTGAAGGAACAATAAAGATATATTTGTGATAACACATATAATTTTTTTATGACAGGGATGTGCCAGTTGTGAAAATTCTTTGAGAGAATAGCATGAAAAGGAATATATTGAACTAACCCTTTCACCCCTATGTAACTTATATAGATTCTGCCATGAATTGATCTGGATGGGTTCATTATGGTGAAAGGGATAAAGCAATGAAAATAATACTCTGTGATAACACAGATAATTGTTTTTTTTTGACAGGGATGTGCCACCAACCCTAACGATGCCATGCAACAGCACGGCCTAAAGACGGCCGCCGAGGATCTGAGGGCTGCCACCAACGTGGCCGCCAGCAACGCACTAAAGAAGAGGATTGTGATGAAACTAGAGGTGAGCAGAATGTTTGTTTTTATTTCGTACCACATTTTGTACTCAATATTAACTGTATATTGTTTATTATTACATCACATAATGTACTGTGTTATCCAGTGAATAACCCCATGTCATATTTTTTGCGTATTAACCCGTAATATGACCTATCAGCCCTGTGATTGGTTGTAAGTTTCAATTGTTTCAATTGTGACATCACGCCTAGGACAAATACATGACGTCACAGACTTATGCACTGGAGTCAAAATGGTGGCTTTTTACATTTCAAGGTTGCCTGGAAATTGTCGTTTTACACAAATTAAATGCCACATATCTTGATTATGTGATAAAAAGGATCTTACACTCGTTTTCATTTCATATGAAATTTATGAAAGTCGTCACAAATTTTTCATTTTAGCTTGCCTATATATTTTTCTTAAGTTGGTCAATTTAAACATCTTCGATGTATACCAGGAAATTTTCACCGCAGTTTAACTTCAAGTTTTTTGCCCCGTGTTGTAAGAGCAAATTTATCATGACAGTGAAAGTTAGTACACATCATGCCGTGTATAGTAAGTAAATGTGAATGCAAAGTAAATGCAAAACTAACACAAGGTGAATATGGATTTTACCGGTAAAGGGCGAATATTTGACTGATCAGGCACACTCTGTTATAATTTATCAACACCATCTCCACACATACAATACAATGTAGGAATCAAATGAGCAAGGTCGGACTTACAGTACTACTTTCATTCACTCCTGTGTTTCTACAATGGACTAGGATGTTCTTTGATTTTGATTTGGAGCAGTCCAAATACATCATCAGGTGTCAGTGGGTTTTGATATGTGAAAAGAAATAATTGTGAATCCAAGAATCTCACAAGTATTTTTTTGAGAAAATATAATAATTTTCTAATGTGACCAATTTCAGTGTTTTAAAATTTTAAAATAAATTTTACAAAAAGGTTGCAATTCATATATATATTGATATTTGCTAAGAAAGATAAATGTTTAAGTGAGGTAATTCAGAAAGTATTTGATTTGTTCTCCGCAGCATGCAGCTCGACAGGCAGCTACTGCGGCTACACAACTGATCAACGCATCCTCATCTGCCAACAAAACCAACACGAATACCATGTCCCAGCAACAGCTCAGCCAGTACTGTAAGGTAAGGTCAGAGGTCAGAGGTCAATGGTACACCGTTTCCAGGCAGCAAGGTCAAAGATCATTGCTACAAAATGTTCAATATCAGTGTTTAATTTCTCCTCATAATTATCTGTGATTAAATGCTAATGCTGATGGAATCCTCGTGACTAAATATGTGTTGACCCAGTCGCCAATTAAACATTACAAGGCGTGATCCTGTACATTTCCTTCAGAAGTTGATGGATTGCTAGTACTGGCGTAATATTTGTAAGTCCTCTGTCGGTACTATGGAACAGACTATAGGTTTGCAGTCCTCTGTCGGTACTATGGAACAGACTATAGGTTTGCACTCTGTCCGTCCGTATGTTTGTGCATCATATTGTCAAGGCCATCTTTTGGCACATTTTCATGCGAGTAATTCTTTTGAAACCAGAGTTTCACATGCTAAATCTAGGTTGCAATCGCGTAGCACGGTTGAAACGGCTAGGTGGCGCAGGAATGTTTTATGATCATCGAACACACTTGGCCCGAACTGAAGGCAGAGGGGGGAAAAATGCACAGTTATGGAGAATAAATTACATAATATCAAGAATAACATATCCTTCTTTCGCGAGTCCTCTACATTATATAATGTATCATAAAACATGCATGTGGATTGACCTTGTTTTATAAAGAAACAAGGAAAACTAGCGACAGTCAGCATTTTAGTTTCGGTCAGCCTCGGTTCAGCTCCGAGCCAGTGGTTTTCTCTCAGGTTAAACCGTTTCAGCTGGTTGAACCGGATACACAAAATGGGCTCGCATCTTTATCCATTTTTATACAGAGTAATGACCCTTTGTTCATTTTTTAAAGCAGAGTTAACCTGGAGGTAGGATACTAGGGATTGCTAGCAATTATTTGCCTTGTTGATATCACTGTAATGTTGTTGTAATATCTGTTGATGTTTTTTTGCTGATGTTTCGTGTTTGTAGGAGGTAAATGAACAGCTACCTAAACTGGTTCAGGGATTCCACGGCTCGATGAACAACACAGACAGCGCATCAGCCCAACTCAACCTCATCAACGCTAGTCAGGACTTTATACAGGTAACATTTTATACAGGTCACAAACATGGTTGTAACTAACAACCATTCACAGAGCATCAGATGTTCAAAGGTCAAGCACATACTATCAACAATAAATTCTGTATAAGCAATGCCACCCATGCAGGTTGTATCAAAATTGTTTAGGTCTTTTATAAAAACACATGTATTAAATTATCTGGAAGGGTTTGTATAGATAATACATTAATACATATATAGGTCTAAACCTTCAGATACAGTTTATGTTTGGAAGCGAATTTAAAGGTCATTGAAATGTTTGACATTTATAGCAAATGGTGTTAACCTGGATCTGGGAGGTTCTTGTATAATCAGTAGATACAAATGAAAAAGTACATAAAGTATATTAAGTACTAGAATCTGTGTCTTGAGCTATTGACCAACTGGACTGTATCTTGAACTATTGAACAACAGGACTGTGTCTTGAGCTATTGACCAACATGACTGAGTCTTCAGCTATTGACCAACGGGACTGTGTCTTGAGCTATTGACCAACAGGACTGGGTCTTGAGCTATTGACCAACTGGACGGTGTCTTGAGCTATTGACCAACTGGACTGTGTCTTGAGCTATTGACCAACTTGACTGAGTCTTCAGCTATTGACCAACTGGACTGTGTCTTGAGCTATTGACCAACTGGACTGTGTCTTGAGCTATTGACCATCTGGACTGTATCTTGAGCTATTGACCAACTGGACTGTGTCTTGAGCTATTGACCAACTGGACTGTGTCTTGAGCTATTGACCATCTGGACTGTGTCTTGAGCTATTGACCAACTGGACTGTGTCTTGAGCTATTGACCAACTGGACTGTGTCTTGAGCTATTGACCATCTGGACTGTGTCTTGAGCTATTGACCAACTGGACTGTGTCTTGAGCTATTGACCAACTGGACTGTGTCTTGAGCTATTGACCATCTGGACTGTGTCTTGAGCTATTGACCAACTGGACTGTGTCTTGAGCTATTGACCATCTGGACTGTGTCTTGAGCTATTGACCAACTGGACTGTGTCTTGAGCTATTGACCAACTGGACTGTGTCTGGAGCTATTGACCATCTGATCTGTCTTGAGTTATTGACCAATTGGACTGTCTTGAGCTATTGACCATCTGGACTGTGTCTTGAGCTATTGACCAACTGGACTGTGTCAACTGGCTTGAGCTATTGACCATCTTGACAGTTTTCGGTAGGATATGTCAGATTTGGCTGTATGTGAAGATGTGTCATTTTTGTTGAGTAAAATTTTGGATGAAAAAGGTCAAATGCTCTGCCTTGATGAAGCTTTTTATCCGTCTTCAAGCAGGGGAAAGTTTTGATATATTGTTCAAAATATGTATAAAATTACATGTTGTAGACATATTATTTAACAAATTTTCACTTTATCTTTACAGCCAGCCGGTGGTCTGGTGTCGGCGGCCAATGCAGCCGCGCCCACCGTGAATGACCAAGCATCAGCACGCAACATGAACCAGAGCTGTAAGGCCATGTCCAATGCTTTGGCTGAACTTCGGACAGCTGCAGCCAGGGCTCAGGAAGCATATGGGTCACTAGAGGTGGACAGTGCACTTGACCATCTGACTTCACTGGACAGGGAGTTAGAAGAATGCCGCAGAGCGGCTGAGTCTGGCGGGCTTGTTCCTCTACCAGGGGAGACGGCAGAAACATCGGCACAGAAATTAGGAACGACCTCCAAGTCCGTGGGGTCAGCCATGGCACAGCTTCTTACTGCAGCCTCACAGGTACAGCTTCTGTAGTTAAACCTTTCCTCCCTTTGTAACTTAGACTCTACCATGCATTGGTATGGATGAGTCCATTATGGTCTACAGTGGTGAAAGGGTTAAGTCCCATTCTGACATCATTTCTATATATAGCTCTGAGTAGTTGAGAGTATACACCAATATTTTACCCATTTAAATGAATGACTCTCTATTTATTTTCATTATATTTTATGATCGACCATTGATCATACGGGAAAAAGTGACAATTGATAAGAGATTTTGAACTGATTGCCAACACTAGGTCTTACTGTTTACGAAAATAGTCGTTTATAACCAGGACATCTTTACTTCTCTGCAGGGTAACGACAACTATGTAGGAATCGCCGCCAGGGACACGGCCAACGTGATGCGTGTTTTGACCGATGCCACCAGAGGCGTAGCTGCCACAACAGAAGACCGACAAGTACAGCTACTCGTGATCGACAGTGCTCGGGATGTCATCGACAAGTCGACACGTTTACTAGAGGAAGCCAAACTGGCTCTTAATAACCCGGATAACCCAGACAACCAAACCAGGCTAAACCAGGTAAGATTGAAAGTAGATCAATGATCATTTTAAACAATGATTTAATTGTTTCCAGTTGAATCATGGAATGGAAGTTTCATTAGAATAAAAATATCAGAAGCTATATCTACTTTGCTGAAGTAAACGGGCATTTATTTGACAAAGCTTTCAGCAGCTTCAAGAATATGTGAGATAATATTTCTCCTTTTTGCCAGGTGGCGAAGGCTGTATCGAATGCTCTTAACAACTGTGTGAGTTGTCTCCCAGGACAGCGAGACGTGGACAACGCAGTCCGACATATCATGGAGTCCAGTCAAGCCCTAACAACATCAGAGGTAAGGTCAAGGTCGCTGTAGACATCAGAGGTAAGGTCAAGGTCGCTGTAGAAGTCAGACATGGTGTCAAGGACAGTTCTGCTGTATTCCACTGCATAGGACCAAGTGAGGCTACTAATACTTAGCCCCTGCAAAAATCGTGTAGGTTTTTTTATGCATTCTGCTCAGGGGTTATTGAAGAAACCAACTTGATCAGCTATACAAATTGGTTACTGTTGCTTTTTATAGGTCGCCCATTACTACTTGGTTGGTAGATCCACTGTCATCAGTCTACCGAATTAGGGGGCAATCGGGCATTCCTGTCTTACAGGCGTATTTTGTTCTACAACTATCTGACTTCTGTGTTTATCCTATTATCCTATCATACCGAGTGTGTAGCCCAGAACTACATTATTGTGTTGGTGGGCTGTTAAGATTATCATGTAGCCATGTGTGACCTGGCTGTGTCGATGGGTCATGGACATTTTACAAACAAACCTTCTTGTGTTTCAGTATCCTAGTTCATCCAAGTCTTTCTTGGAGGTTCAAGGTGACATGAACGACTCGGCCGTGAACCTGAACCAGGCTGCGAGCGACATCGTCACCTCATCACGCTGTACGGCGCAGGAACTGGCGTCGTCATCAAACCGATACAGCAGCACTTATCACACCTTTGTACAGACAGGTATGTTAGGTCTCCGTTGTCAGAATTTACGCTATTATCCACCCTTAGTAGAAACGGGTATAGAGTATACATTTCCTTTGTAAGTTTATCCTTGTGTGCAATGGTCCGTCTGAAGTAAAAAGCTTAAGTACAAGATATTTCATAACCTGATGAACACATTTAGTTCATATCTACACCATAGTACGGTATGTAACATAGAGTTCTACACTTCATTGGCCATTGGTTAAGGTTCAAAGTTCATACTTGTCTACCTTTTAAGTAAATATATTGTGTTACAGATACTTCACGAACCCCTCAACAGATTTATGTTGTTAGTTACCATTATAGTGTGATAACATTAACATCAACTTCTATTTGCTGGTCACTGAGCGAGGTTAATTGTTCAGTGATCTGGTTTGAATATTTTTGGTGTTTAGCATATACATGTATCATTTGAGCCCCCCCCCCCCCCCTGCACACTTTGGCTTTATTGTTGATGTTTTATTTTTGCACGAAAAATGAGTTTGAGATTTAAATATCCCTGTAACTGTAGGTCTCACCATGGCCGGGAAATCCAAGGATACCGAAACACAATCGCAAATCGTCGGAGGACTGAAGAGCGTTTCCATGGTTTCCAGTAAACTTCTCCTCGCTGCCAAGTCTGTTCTGGCTGACCCTAACGCACCCAATGCTAAAAATCTGCTTCAACAGGCGGCCAGGTAAGCAACAAGTTTTAAGAGAACATTGTCTCTTTGCCAAGGATTCAAGTATGGAAATATGTTCAGTTGAATTTTGTCACGTGTTCTACTTAAATATTTTTTTGGGAGGATTGTGTGATGGTTGGAAGCAGAGGTGAGTGAGTTTTGACATAATTTCATATTTTGGTATACAGTAACCTTTGCTTGTCCACGTAACAGTCTTAATTTCAGCACCCAAAAAAAATAAATCAAATTACACAAATTTTTACAGCGGTTGTCCTTCTATATCTGCTGCAGCTACAACTTATTTTTTGTCATTTTCACTATGAACATATTTCTGCAAACAGGTTAAAAACATTATTCTCTGATAATTAAGGATCTCCGTTCCACTACCGAAAACTATAATTGATTGTTTGAAACATACAAAGCTGGAAAAATCAGTTTCCGATGCGTAGTTCCAGTTTTTGTCAGTGGTACAGGGATCCTTAAAAATAAAGTTTTACTAGAGTACCAATTTGTCCAGGATTTAAAAACTGAATTAATTCATTATGGCAAATGTTTGTGTTTCCAGGTCAGTGACGGAGAGTATCAATCAGCTGATTACAATATGTACTGTGTCAGCCCCCGGACAGAAGGAGTGTGACAACGCCCTACGTCAGATCGAGGTATACAAACTTTGTTATTAAAGGGCCTCGGAAATCGTAAAACATACAAATCATGTTGAAAGGAAATATAAATTGTTCATCACAACTGATGAGCTGTAAAATGATCATGTATACAAGTAAAAGTTTATTTGAAATCTGACTTTTCAAATCTGAAGTCTGAAGTCCAAGCTGTCAGTTTTATCCCTGTCAGTCCCGTCATAAAACTAGGTTGTTTACTAATTTGCATTTTGACCTTCTGTGGCCAGCAAATTTGTGTTTCTTATAACTTTGAAGTGCGAAGGACAATCATATCCATTTTGACCTTCTGCAGTCAAAAACTTCATATTTCTTATAATAATCGTATAGTCTGCAATGCCTTGTTTTACACTTTTTAAAGAAATTTATTGTTATCCAACTCACAGGTAATGAGAAGTCTATTAGATGGTGCAAACGAACCGGTGTCCGACATGACCTACTTTGAGTGTCTGGAATCTGTCATGGAGAAATCAAAGGTGAGTAGGTCACTGTGACCTAGTTTTAGTAACTGACAAGTCTTTGACCTAGTTTCTCTTGTCACAGGCATCCAATGCGGTGTGTTGAAATATTCTTATAAAAGTTTTGTTCTCACCAATTCCTGCATTTTATTTTGATTAATATTTATTTTTCATATACTGTATAAAGAAAGTTAGATGTTTATCTGTTTTCTAAAAAGTATCTTGATGAAGTTGAAAATTTAATGAAATGATGAAACAGTGTTTTGAAAAAAGTTGACTATTGAATCATCAGCATATTTGTGCTGAATAATGCAAATATAGTCGTAGCTAGACTTGTAAAAGTCAAAAACAAAAGTTCAAAACACAAACTTTCAAAGTGTTACAATAAAGATAACTAATAAGAATATATTTTGAAATGATATATTTTCAGCCAAAAACAAATGTGTTTTCAGAATTTTTAATAGATCAATGACAATATTTAACATATTTAAACAGATGAAAACAATGCTATAAAAATATTTCAAGATCTAATGTATGTGTCTGTGACATAGGGCCTGAAACACTTATGCATGTATCACTCTACCGCCAGACAGCTTTGTGTATTACTATAAGGACTGCTTCACTGATAAAATATTGATGAATGTACATGTATCTCTGAAACGAATGCAGGACTGACTGTTTGTGAAAATTGTAGCATGTTTATTAATAAAGCATCATTTATACAAAACATATTCACTTTTTAATGGTTTTGGTCATTGCTTCTTCTTAATCAAAATATTTATTGGCGAAATTGAATAAAAAATAATAAAATTGCTAGTAGTTTGTATGGAACATTTTCAACGCTGACTTAAAACCTTTCGGTTTGTTTAGAGATTATTCTATAGATATTGTATTATTAATTCATATTTATGATGTAATACAAATAAAATTCCAATTATATTTTGAGTTTGTTCCTTACATAAAAATAACGGAAAAATTGATGTGAAACCACACTACGTGATAATTCAACGAAAAACAATAAAATGATCTCAAATTTAGGCAGAATTGAGGCAAGAATGTTTTATCGCACAATGTAGTATGGTTAGGCTGTATCGATCCAATGAAAGATTATGCAAAGTATTTTAAATGTTGCCATAGAGGAAGACACACAAAGTATATTTCATAGCATGTCACTATATTCGTGTGTGCACAATTATCTTGCTTATTTAATAAGCACAAAATTAATGGAAGTGTCCACTGTAAATTTCCAAAACGATAGCAATTACACTAGCAATTGCAAGCATTCTGAAGGGTTTTGTTCAGAATTTGTATTAATTAACGTATTCACCCCTGATATTTTATAGTGAACTATTCCAACATTTGAATTGGAAGAGTTCAAATGTGTCTTCAGGGGTGAATGAGTTAATGAATTTTAATAGTAAATATGAACAAATATTGCTTTTCTGAATTTTGGGTTAAAATGTGATAAAAAGGTTATCAAATCAGTTTATCATTTGAGATTTTGATTGGTTTTAAATCAATTCACCCCTACATTTTTAAACTTGACTTGCCCAGTCTTTGGTATGGTAAGATTCAAATGTAACTTTAGGGGTGAATGGGTTTAATTTAACAATTCAAACATGAGTAATAAAAACAATTTTCAGATATGAAATCATTGATAGCATGTTAATTATTTAAGAAATTGTAAGCCAAGCTGTTGTTTTACAGTGTATTTGTATACCATAGTCTTTTAACTCCTTCACCCCTGAACACACATTTTAACTCTTCCAATTCAAAGTTTGGAATATTTCATTATGAAATTTCAGGGGTGAATAAGTTCATATTATAAGATGGATTTGCCAGCTTCTTGTTAGAAAATGAAATCACAAAGCTTGTTTATTTCGATTGTCTTGCATTAAATCTTGTTGAAATGTGCTCCTGTCTTGCTTGCCTCCGAAACTGTAGAATCCTGCTGCCTCTCGTATCATTACTGATGAAATACCATCTTCACATTTTAAAATACTATTTTTTGTCATTATTTTATCTTCTTTGACATATTAATTCTTTTAGTCTGAATTAATTTTTGATTTAATCTTTTGTTTTTTGAAATTTTTATTTTATCAAACGATGAAGAATAAGGTAAAATCTGTGTACATGTTTAGAGTAATGTTTCCAATATCTGTGTTTTTGTTATTTCTTACTTTTTAATACTACATAATGCATATTATATATTACCGAGACATTCACAATTTGTAACATTGAAAAATCTTTGAATGATTAATAAACCTTTCTTTTTTAATGAGCTGAAGTCAAAATATTTTCAAAATTGTGCAAACAATATGATTATCTTAATTATCATTACATAATTAAATTCAAAAATTTTAGATGAAAATTTATTGTTTATGGGTTTCTACACTGAAATTACAAGAATGTTTTGGTGTTATGATATTTAAAATAGATCTGTCGAAAGAAAGCACCCAATTTCAGTGCATGCTTTAAGACATTTTGTTAAAATATTTCATTTTTTGGTTAAAAGAATTATATATATATTCCAACCTTTGAATTGGCAGAGTTAAATAATTTGTTTCAAATAATTATTTGTCGTATAATATTTCAGAATTCTAATAAATTAGATTGAATTTAGTAAGACCCATGTTATGACCAATGGAATGATATTTTGGCTGGTTTTGTAATATTTCTTCTGATTGGTTCAATGTTGTATATATATCTTTTGTGTTGTGTGTGCATTTTTGATTGGCTAATACTCTTTGTGTTCTGCTTTTTCATTGGCTAACATTCTATATTGTACTCGAGCCTTCATCTGTGATGTGTAGCGTTTGAAGACATTTTCCAGGGGCACATATGGGTAACACTTTCAATTTTCGTTTTGTTTTATTTCTTTTTCTTTGTTGTTTTTCCTTTTCTTTTGTAGCGCATAAATATTTCCTTCTTCTTTAAAAACACAACAATTCCATTCCGCTCTATTTTGACTTAAAACAACCCATTTCCATTTCCTGCTCCAAAACCCGAAATAGAATTGAACTTTGAACTGCCACTCCACCACTTGGTGACAGGTTTGAGGCCTAAGTGGGGCATTCACAAGGCACTGGCCACAGGTCGGTGTTTTGTCTGTGGGTACTTAAACTTTCCTCCACCACCAAAACCTGACACTTCCTTAAATAACCATAGCTGTTAATAGGACGTAAAACACAAACCAACCAACCAAACTGTGATAGTTTTAAATGTTATGTTGAAGAAAAAAAATGAAAAAAAATATGATGTATTGAAATACTTTACAAATTAATTAATTTATTAAACTCTCATTACAAATTCATTACACTAATCAGGAATGTCATGCTACAACAATTCCGTCTTTGCGTATTGCAGAGTTATCTTCTCTTGGGAGCAGGTATTGATTGTTACGTCATTGGTTTGTGCGAGAAAATTACGTTGTTTTCTCAAAAATTGATGACGTTACTCTCACAAACAAGTGACGTAACAATCAATACCTGCCCCCAAGAGAAGATAACTCTGCAATACGCAAAGACGGAATACATCAAAATTATAGAAATATTCTTAGGTGTCAGTCTTATTAGCGTTGAATAAAATCTGTTTTCATATTAATTTGGAAATTGTCTGTATATCTGTCCCTTACTGGGCCTCATGGTTCTCCCCCCCGCCTTGACCTAGATCCCCTTATGGCCATCGGCTCCCTGCCTCTTTGATCCTCTTCCCAGCTCCCTACACTCAGATATTTTTCTGATCCATTCACACACAAGGACACACTTAATCCATTCAACCCTGGAGATACATTTGACTTCTTCCGATTCAAAGGTTGGAATACTTCATTATGAAATTTCAGGGGTGAACGAGTTAACTTCAGGTCTTTCGACCTCGCATATACACTGCAAAAAGCATTCACCTAAAACATGAAGTTTGTTTTGAACACAACATGTTAACTCATTCACCCCTAAAGACACATTTGAACACTTCCAATTCAAAGGTTGGAATAGTTCATTATGAAACGTCAGGGGTGAATGAGTTAAAGTTTGTGCATTTCTTATCCTGCATGAAAAGACTGTTTTGACTGAACTTTAGCTTCTTTTTTGTAACAATCTTAACAAAATAATTAAATAACAAGGGTTACTATCTTCTTCTTTGACACTGTTGTAACACTTCATCTTAGATTTCAGAAATTTAGATGAAGTATTATCGTAAACTTGGCATTACAGGGCAGTGTCAAAATAGCTTCGCTTTAATTTGGTGATGGTTTTACTTATAGCAAATATAATTCTATTTCTTGCAATAGGCAGATAAATATTCTCTTAACTCAGTCACCCCTGAAGTTTCATAATGAACTATTCCAACCTTTGAATAGGAAGAGTTCAAATGTGTCTTCAGGGGTGAATGAGGTAATATATCTATTCTGGCAGCATAGAATCAAGCTCCGTCTATGAGTGAATTTATTTATATTTTCATGAATATCATTTTGCTGCAAAAATGGGCCTAATATTTTGTCTGTAATAGCAAAATATATCTATATGTTTTGGTTGAGTTGGCTTGTAAGACCTCATATTTTATCCTTATCGGCAATTTAACAAAGCTAAAATAGTTCACAGTGTGTCCTGACTGAGAATGATGGATTATGGTGATATGGCGATGGGAATGAAAGAACGAGAGATGTTTTTTAATCAAATTTTTGTTTGATGCAGTTTGTGAGAAATATTAAATTATCTTTTAATCACTTCTTATACCGCTTGTAAAGCACTTAGCTTTGTTATAATCTATTGTTTTCACATAAAAATAATTACATTATCCCGCTTTGTTTTCATTATTAATAAATCTGGGAATATAGAAATGAAATCATTTTCATCCATGTTGTTCGGTTTATTTCTGACAGGCTCTTGGAGAAGCTATGACGGGAATTACTAACCATGCCAAACAGGGAGAGCTGGACGACTTTTGTGTTGCTGTACACAACTTTGCCGGGTCAGTGTGTGGCTTGACCGAAGCCTCATCTCAGGTAGGAAAAAACCCCAGAATCTTAAACTTGCTGTACATAACTTTGCCGGGTCAGTGTGTGGCTTGACTGAAGCCTCATCTCGGGTAGGGAGAAACAGAATATTAAACTTGCTGTACACAACTTTGCTGGGTCAATGTGTGGCTTGACCAAAATCTCATCTCGGGTAGGGAGAAACAGAATATTAAACTTGCTGTACACAACTTTGCTCGGTCAATGTGTGACTTGACCAAAACCTCATCTCTGGTAGGGAGAAACAGAATATTAAACTTGCTGTACACAACTTTGCCAAGTCAGTGTGTGGCTTTACCGAAGCCTCATCTCAGGTAGGGAGAAACAGAATCTTAAATTTGCTGTTGTTTGTCAGAATGACTTGATTTATACTTGGTGATGATCAGAAAAAAAACAGATCTATATATGTACACACAAAAACACACATCTTGATGTAAGGTGTGTGGCTTGCATAAAACTGGAGATATGATGAGAGAAATAGAATCTGCAACTAGGTATAAATATATTGAAGAAAGGTTATATTGCTTAAATGAAAAATTCCAAATGAGAGCAACAGCAACTAGGGATAATTTCATATTGTACATGCACAGACAAAACTTGATTTGAAAATGCATTTAATAAACAGAGCATGTCAATATGTGATATTTAATGTCGGTACAAATAATAACTTTTCCAGAAGATTAATATCTTGACAATCTCGTTATCACTTGTCTTTTGCAGGCTGCTTATCTCGTCGGAGTTTCCGATCCAAACTCCGAGCCGGGACGACCAGGATTAGTTGACCAATCTCAGTTTGCCAGAGCCAATCAAGCCATTCAGTCGGCATGTGCAAATCTCGCCAATCCAGCTAGCTCGCAGCAACAGGTAACTATGACCTTTGCCCTTAATTGTGTTGTCAGGGAATGCAATATGATTGGCTGTACAGCTGTTTAACATGTCACAGGACTACTAGGCTTGGCTACGTTTACTTTGTATCCCTGCAAATTTTACATAGGCTTCATCAGTTAGTGAATGTGGTTTACCAATACACGCCCACTAGTTACCTCCCTTGGTTGGCTTATGCCTATATGTTAGCTTCTTTGGTAGGCTTTCACCCAAAGTTACTTCCCTTGGTAGGGTTATACCATTAAGTTATCTCCCTTACACCCCTAACTAACCTTTCTTTTTAAACTCAATTATCCATAAGTTACCTCCGATAGTATGCTTACCTCCATAAGTTATTTCCCTTGGTAGGGTTACATTAATTAGTTATCTCCCTTGATAGGTTTACAATCCTAACTAACCTTTTTTGTTTGTTCATATATCCATAAGTTACCTCCATTAGTATGCTTACCTCCATAGATTACTTCCCTTGGTAGGGTTACATTAATTAGTTATCTCCCTTGGTAGGTTTACAATCCTAACTAACCTTTTTTTAAGCTCATATATCCATAAGTTACCTCCGTTAGTATGCTTACCTCCATAGATTACTTCCCTTGTTAAGCCTACACCCTTTAGTTACTGCCTTAGGTAGTCTTCCATCCATAAATTACCTCCCTTCATATGCTTTCACACTCAAGTTATCTCCCTTGGTCAGGTTTATGCCCTTTAGTTATCTCCCTTGGTGGGCTGAGATCTGTTGTTAGACTAACAGAAAATCCTGAAACATAAATTACAGCATTGATGGAAGCCAGATGTCATTAAATTTATATTGATTGACAAAAACCTTTCAGTGCATCAACTGATTTTTACCCAAAGTGACCCCATAAAGCTTCAGGTTTCTTACATTTCATGGGGTGATGCAGATAGGACTTGCAATGACAAACTTTCATTGTGATTTCATCAACAGTATTGAGTAATATCTAGGCCCAAAATATTAGTCTTAGGTTGAACAATTTCAAGGGAGAAAGCTAAGAAAAATACTTTCATATTTTAGTTGAAATTTGTGTATTTAAGGTTGATTCAGTCTGTGTGTCTAGAAAATGTTTGTATTCGCTACTAACAATGTTTCCGAGTTATCTTACATGTATTATCTCCCCTTGCTTTTTAAATAAAACGTAGGAGAGTGGGGAGTTATGTTGTGACTGAAAGACCATTCAGTATGTGGATTAAATTTTCAATGACATGTACAGTGTTTTAATAATTATAAGATACTGATGCTGGAAGACACAGTGTTGTAAATAAGTTTCAGATGAAGGAGAAATGAAAATATGTTCAGTATATCTTTTTATATAAATAGAAGACAAATTTTGTCAACTTTATTAATAAAGTTCAACCTTTATTTGTGATCATTGTTCAAAATATAAATGCCTATTTTTTTGCTGATGGTCAATAAAATAATTGCTGACAAAGAACTGATATATGTTTGCAGTTTTAAAGACAATTATTCAATAAACTCAATCTTCTTTCTTCTTTTTATTTTACCAAAGTACTATGCCCAATGGAATTGTAGGTCTTTGGTAGGTTAAACTTCGACCTTTGACCTCTGACCTTATGCATTTGAATGTAACTATGGAGACTGTTGCCTTAGTTACCTGCCCATGTTATATTTAGATATGTATTCGTATATTCGTATTCATAGCCTCTTTGTGGCCGATTAGGCTGTGTGTCCAGTTTGTTTTATTTATTTGTGAAAGTTTCTTTAGTTACGAGTTTCTTGAAGTTTTTGTAGCTTATGACATGTCCCACAGTGTTCGTTATTGTAGATAAACATTTAGTTCTTTTAGTTATATACCACCTGAGTCTGTTTGTTTAGTTGAAATCCCTAACTCAACACCTTGCCATGTTTAAGCTTCAATCAAGAGGTTGATTTGTTCCTTAAATTTTCAAAAAGATTTTTTCAAAACAATATTTTCATCAAAAAATGTGTAATGAAAATGAAAGAGAGAATGCAAGCTTTGAAAAGATAAAAAAATAAATAAAAAAATCCAGAAAAGTTTCACATTTTACTTTTTGACATTACCTTGCACTTAGTGTAGAAGGACTATCAATGTTTATTTGAACATTTTTATATAAGTATATTTATATATATATATCTTGTAAAAGAAATTTCAAAATTCATCCATAATTTATTTTGAACTTTGATTTTATATATCAGATTTTTCGATTTTAATTTATTATTTAATTTAAAAGATATTATATAATTGTTTTAAACCAAATAGAACACCCCATTGGTGCAGTGTTCTAGATGTTAATAGGTGTGAAGTTCTAAGTGGCTCTAGCTAGGTACAACAGTCTCCTGGATTTACTTCAAAATATGCTTCAAATTTAAAAACGGAATAATTACAAACTAATTCAATACTTTCTTGATAATTTTGTGTGAAAAGAAATACAAACTGCATGACCTGACAAATCTGCCTTTGAAGTGATGATTTCGTTTTCAAAAAAATAATATTTTTATTGAAGTAAACTTATCAGAAGAAAACTGCATGGTTTTGGGTAAAAAAAAAAAATAATATTAATGAGGTCAACAATTTTTATTTTTATTTTTTTTCTTAATCAGAAAAAGCATTGAGACATTGTATTAATATTTATCTGGATATATTTGTGTTTATATTATTAATTCGACGTCCATTTACACAGGAATCAGTTTTATGGGTTTATTCCATTTATTGTGCAGGCAAGATGAAAAAGGCACGCTTTACATGCAGATGATATAAAGCAAAGAGTGTATATGCTTTTTTATTGTGGTGAAAATATTTAATTTTTCTTGAAATGAAGAATCGTTTGGTGGGACAAAATGTGTACAATACTGAACAGAACAAGTCAACCTCAGCTTGATCACAAATGTTTGCAAATCGCTGGAAAATTCTTGGCAAATAATACAAATTTTACTTCTTAGTATTTTTATTGAAAACAAATTCTGTCTTCCAAGAATATAAAAATGAAGTAAGAAAATTTGCCAGGAAATATCCTTCATATTTTGTTCACCTGTGCAGACTGTTTCACCTGTGAACCTGTTCTACTGGCTCAAAGTGGATTCATCCATTTTGTCTAGTAGGGGTGTTTTGTATCAGTCAAGTATGTTTCTACACACATTTTTCAAGAATTTCACACCTGTTTTCCCTCCTATGTGTCACCACCCAAATTCCCTGGCACCACCTTAAAATGTTTCAACTTTATTTTTACCCACTTTCTATTTATTATTTATATTTTTGAAAATTTTTGTTGTCATTTTTTAAGCAATAATAGGAGATGATTGCTGTGTGAAATTCTGTTTAGTATCCATGCTGTTCATGTTAATGGCAAAATATAAGAGGAATCAATGGATAATTCATTATCCAATGAAAAGAAGTCTTGTATCAAAGGTTGAATATGTATTGACCAATAGCAAGTCTTGTACTGAAATGAATTAGATCAGTTGTCTTGTTTTGTCACAAGGTACAAATATTGACCAATCACGTATATTCTTACATATACATCACCAATGACAGGCCATGTTACATTTGATTCTAGCTTGCAGCATGCCATGGAGAGGAAATAGAGAAACTTTTGAGTAGAAAGTCAAAAACACATTCTATGTGCTGCAATACTCATGGAGTAAGACTCACCATTGATGTTGTTACATTGTCACTGATTGATCCATTCTTCCGATCAGTTAATTTTCCCCATCAGATCTGCAAAGTGTGTAAAAGTTTTTCTTTATATTTTTTTTTTTCAAAGATAATTTTATCAAACTTGAAGAAAAACAAATATAAAACGGGAAATGCTTATCCTTTCATCTTTTTTTTTCAAAGACTATTTCATCAAAATTTGTAAGGAAAACAAAAGGGAAAAAAACATTCATATATTATAGAATTTAATGTTTTGTGACTGTCCATAGATTCATTTTTTCACATTTTTTTGACCACCAGGAAATTTTTCATTTTGTCACTGTTAAAATATATACATACACTCAATAGGTCTTAATGTTAATTTTTCAATGTTTTGAATTATAAGTGACTAGGACATGGATTTTGCAGCATATTGAATGAATTATAACTATAAAATATACTGATCCCATCCTCTGTGTATATATGTTTTATATATCTGTATAATATGTACAAACTTGTCTGTCTTTCCTTTACTCATTCACCTACAATTTTAAACTGGACTTGCCCTGTCTTTGATTTGGCAAGGTTCAAATGTGACCTCAGGGTTGAATGGGTTAAAATACTCGGTTTATAGAATCATTCAAACTTCTGTTTGCTGATCAAATTGATTGGCCATTTTTACAAAATATGTGTTGCCACTTTGTGTTTTCTATAATGATTTGAGAAAAAAGTTCACTGAAATAAAAAGAAAAATTCTGTTCGAAAGATCAAATAGGAATTTTGGTAATAGTTTTAAATGAAATATGTCCAAAGCATTTTTTTGACCAACATGGACATTTAATCATGTACAACAGAAAAAAACTTGCTTGATTGTTTATCTTACCAAATGCACAAAAAATAGGGACCTTGAAAAAGTATTTTATTGACTAACGTGGATATTTAAATTGCTTCTAAATACATTATATGAAACAGATCAATTGATAAGACAGTGACTATAAAGGTCTATGTTATACTCTACAGAGACCAGATTGGCTTTAATGCGAAGGTCATTTTTTTGTTTTGATTTATTCAAACATTTATTTCATTATGGAGAATAGAACTGTAAAGTTAAATAAAAAAAAAAAAAAGACATCGGAAAAATAGAAAGTTTTTAAAAAAAATAAACAAAAACAAAAATAAAACCTGATAAGATTTTTTTTTTCAAAAAAAACATATATGTAGAAACGGTTAACAAAAATTAAATAAATCCCCTAAAGCAGGATAGGCTTAAACAAAAATCAAAAAAAATCTGAAAGTAAGAATTGTATTGTAGGAACGGTTTGAAACAGAATTAAAAAACAAATAAGAAATCCAAATGTAGTGATAGCTTAAAAACAAATTCATAAAAACAAAAGAAAGTTTCGGGGAGTAGTAACATTTTAATGTAAATTAAAAAAAAAAAAAGACGAAATCCAAAAGTAGGAACAATTAAAAAATGATTTTAAAAAAAATTACAAAAGAAGTAATGTTTCATTTTAAAACTTAAAACAAAAATCTGAAAGTAAGAATGGTTTTACTGTATGATTGTAGAATGTGAAACAGATATTGAGATACGGTGATTAGGAATGAGTCGTATTCTGGTCACTGATGTCAAATATAAACAATGCACAGCATACACGACTGTATAATTTTACCAAAATTGTATATATGTATGGAGAGAGTAGATCATCTAGTAAAGATATATATGTATGGACGCATATCTGGAAGTATACACCGAATATTCACTATATTATCTATACTACATAATTATGCATGATCTACAGACTTACAGACACCTGTTTTTCCCCTTGTTTGGCTGAAACATCTTGTGTAAGATTTCAATTAAGAAAAAAGTGTATCCTATTTGCCGATAAAAGAAAAAAGAAGAGAAAAATTATTTATTGGATAATTCTCAACAGACAAAAAATAACATTTTGGGAGGGGTTTTTTTAAAGAAAAGAAATGGGTATTGGGAGAGAGAAACTACACTTCCATTTCAGCCAAACAAAGGGAGGTAATTTGTTTGAGTCGGGCAAAGAGAAATAAGGTGTTCCAGCCAAACAAAGGGAGACAATATGTATCAGTAATATATGTTTACAACATATTATAGTAAAAAACAAATAAAGCATATTATAAAAAAAAAAAAATGTTTTCTAAAAAATTTAAAAGTTTTTTTGTCTTTTTTTATGATTTTAAAATTTCATTTATTTATTGAGTAGTACATTAAGACTATAATGAAGTTATTCATATTTTTTCTTGTGTAGAAATATTATACATTTTGTTTAAACGAAAAAAACATTTATGTAAAAATACTATACATTTCTAGAATTGTATAGGTGTTATTATTTAAGCCATTTGCTCTCTGTGGTTTTATTAACAAAATTTATTGTTTTTCAAGACATACAAATCTTGCGATAAAAAAATGAAAATTATTAATGTTTTGAGTGACCAAAATCTACCATATTTATCCGGCAATAAGCCCATGCCTGGTAATAAGCTCACTCATAAATATTGAAGTTCAATAGAAATGTAGTTAGACCATCGCTCTACTTTCAATCAGGGACTTTCTGTTGGCACCTGGGCTTATTACAGGATAAATATGATAATGTGATATTTGACTTTTAATTTCAGAAATAAACAATGTTTTTTTGAGGCTTAATATTTTAATCAATTTTTGCTTGAAGTTTCATCGCTGACTGATAACACACTGGGATATGGAGAAAATAAACATTAACTCATTCACCCCTGAAATTTCGTAATAAACTATTCCAACCTTTAGATTGGAGTAGTTCAAATGTGTCTTCGGGGGTGAATGAGTAAAGGAATGTTATTTCAGTAACAGAGTTAGCTGATATTTCACCTCTTATTCTATTCCAGACAGAAGTTTATTGCATGAAATCTCCAGTGCCATATGTTTGAACATAATTATTTAATGTCACTTGAATGAATCTCGAAAAAGTATTTCATAATTGTAAAGAATTAATGATACAATTAATTAAGTGAACAGATATATACATCATATGGAACTATGTTTAAAAACGATTTTTGTTTTTCCTATGTTTGTTGTTTTTTTCTCATTATTTTATTTTAGCTGTGTGATTGTTGGAATTTAATTCTTTCCTATGTTAAAATCAATGTGATACAGAAATTTCTTCGCATATTTTCTCATGCAGAAATTAGAAGATCTGAATCTATCAAGTTTATTATTTCTGAATGCAACTGGGAAAACAATAAAACTACTTTCTATGACACAGCTTCGTAAATATCGTAACTGGAGGGCAATGGCACCTGTTGTCATACTAAAAATTAACACTACAATAGATGTAAACAAGAAGTCATTGTTCGAATTATTTTTATTCAATTTTCGGTCTCTTTCTGTCATAGGTCTTATCGGCTGCCACCATTGTCGCCAAACACACATCGGCTTTGTGTAATGCCTGTCGCCTAGCATCATCAAAAACATCCAATCCTGTCGCTAAACGACATTTCGTGCAGAGCGCCAAGGATGTAGCTAATAGCACAGCAAATCTCGTAAAAGCCATCAAGGTATGTGACACACAACTTTGACTTTAACTCTTTTAACCCTGAAATATCATAATGAACTATTCCAACCTTTGAATTGGAAGAGTTCAAATGTGTTTTAAGGGGTGAAGGATTTTCATTTACGCTATTTCCATAGTGTTTCATTTTATCTCATTTTGGAGGAAACATTTGATACTCTATTAATTTTGAATACAGGGTTCTTCCCCTAACAATATGAGGATCATATTCCAAATATCAATAACGATATATACTATATTGTCTCAGTTTATGAAGGGAAAATTTGCTAAAATTTCAGATTTTAAAAAGTACATAATTCTTTATTATTTACTTTGAATACTCATTGGTGACAGATACTTGTGTTCATATCACAACCCTGGCAGTTATACACCCACTGCTTCAAACTTAACTAAATAACTTTGTGATAGAGTTATGTCCCTTCTCTCACTCCTCTGTCTTTTCCAACAGGCTCTCGACTCCGAATTTACAGAGGAAAATAGAGAGAGGTGTGCAGAAGCGGCCAAGCCCCTCATTGAAGCCGTCGATGAACTCACGAAATTTGCTTCCTCTCCTGAATTTGCCAGTGTGCCAGCCAGGATCAGTCCACAGGTATGTACCAGACTCTTTCACCCCTACAGACTTCTTTAGACTTACCTGGATCAATAGACAGAAGAGTCCATATTAGTTATGTAGGGATCAAATTTCAAATACCCAGGTCGACTGAGCTGTCAATGCATGTAAATTAATTTTCTACAGGTGTATTTTGGTACATATGATGTACTGACAACCCAATGCTTGTTTATCGAACTGATGCTCGGAAAGATTTGATAACTCATTTTCCATTTTCATGTAATGTGTATTTAGAAAACAATCAACCAGTATCTTTTCAAATGTATTGTTTGCGTCTAACATTCAGCCATCTTATAACACTTTAATTAAAATACTACCTAGAAATTTACTAGATTTATATGTGAAAAGAATTTGTTGTCGGCCTGAAGGTACCGCTGTACAATCGCATGATGATTGTACATAGAGACTGACAACTAACTAGCATTAGAGTTGTTACCAAAGACTGATTTTTACACAACCACGACCGTTGGATGATATTTACAAAACCGCGACCGTTGGAAGCCCTAATACTGGACTTCATCTCAGCCACTCCCAGCCATCTAACTCAAACAGCATTAACCAGTTTCTTCAAGTTACCGAAAAATTAAGTGTCACAAGCGAGAAAAGTAATTTATTTCAAAGTTAATCATCATTATAACACACACATTTGGAGCTGTTTGTATCACTAAGACTTGAATAACATCAATATAAAAAAAAATACTTTCAAACACTTACATTACTTGCAAATTAGTGAAATGTTTGATGGTGTCGAAACTGCCCGCACCTTTGATCAAAACGACTGAAGGCCAGATGAAGTCACATATGTTGCTGCACGACGTCATTCAGGCGTTTAAACAACATTGTTTATTTATAGAAATTTCAGTCAAATCTTCTTTTGTACTGGTGCTAGTCAGCATTTTGATACATGTGTATTTGGACGAATTATTAACTGAAACCCTTGCTAATGTGACAAATTTGCCTGCACAAACGTTATTTCCCCTGAGTTTTTCATCCGATGTTAACCCTTTCACCACTGTAGACCATAATGGACTCCTCCAGATCAATGAATGGTAGAGTCTACTAAAGTTACATAGGGGTGAAAGGGTTACTTCCTAGGAGAACAAAATATGTAATGTTGATTCTATTTCCCTGGATCTGAAACTGTTTGATATACATTGTACTAGGCCAAGAAAGCTCAGGAGCCGATCACATCAGCGGGCAATGCTATGATTTCGGGGGCGTGTAGCATGGTGCAGGCCGCTAAACAACTGGCTGTCAACCCTAAGGACCCGCCCACGTACCAGCTGTACTCCAACTACTCCAAGAGTGTGTCTGACGCTATAAAGAGGCTTGTGTCCTCCATCAGGTACGTGGTACTTAACAGCAAATTAAATATACATAGACTTGAGATTCTTGGACTTTTGTGATNCCCCTCCTCTCTCTCAAAAAAAATAATAAAAGAAGACAAATCAACTTCATCATTACAAAAACACATAAAAATTGACTTCATCAGTTCAAAGAAAAAGAAGAAAAAGAAAAAAAACATGATTTGGATTTCAAAATAGTAGAAAATAGAAAATAGAGTTACATCATCACTGATGCTATATTTGATACAAAAAAAACTTACTTAAAGCCTGCTTTTACTGTGCTTCATCTTTTACATACAAGGCTGAGTACTTAAAGTCCAATAAACACTTCTGAAGTAGAAATCTTCTCCGCAATAATAACTTTTGAAGTAGTTAATTAAGTAGCAAAGTGCTCTTAGTTTTAATTGTGTGGTTTTTTTTGCGTGTTTAGGGACAGTGCCCCAGGACAGCGAGAGTGTGACGACTCCACGGACAAGCTGAACCACTCAATTCGAACACTAGACCAGGCCGCCCTCTCCGCTATCAGCCAGAGTCTCCAACAACGTCAGGACAAAACTCTCAAGGTAAGTGTCCAGTACACCAAGGTCATACGCCTGTACTTGCGTAACCCGTACTGTCGGCTACCTCACTTTGTTATCATTTCCAAACCCCTGATACTGTGTGTCTCTCCTAGCCCTTTCATTACTGCAGACCATAATGGACTCTTCCAACTCAATGCATGGTAGAGTCTACTAAAGTTACATAGGGGTGAAAGGGTTAAGTATCATTTGAAATACAGCCGAGACAGAAAAGTTTACATGGGTAGGGAATACTGCAGAGGCAAAATGGTCGACACGGGGTGGGGAATACTGCTGAAACAGAAAGGTTGACATGGGTGGGGAATACTGCTGAGACAGAAAGGTTGACACGGGTGGGAAATACTGTGGAGAAAGAAAGGTTGACATGGGTGGGGAATACTGCTGAAACAGAAAGGTTGACATGGGTGGGGAATACAGCTGAGACAGAAAGGTTGACACGGGTGGGGAATACTGCTGAGACAGAAAGGTTGACACGGGTGGGAAATACTGTGGAGAAAGAAAGGTTGACAGGGGTAGGGAATACAGCTGAGACAGAAAGGTTGACAAGGGTGGGGAATACAGCCAAGACAGAAAGGTTGGCACGGGTGGGGCATACAGCTGAGACAGAAAGATTGACACGGGTGGGGAATACAGCTGAGACAGAAAGGTTGACAGGGGTGGGGAATACAGCTGAGACAGAAAGGTTGACGCGGCTGGGGAATACAGCGGATACAGAAAGGTTGACACGGGTGGGGAATACAGCCAAGACAGAAAGGTTGGCACGGGTGGGGAATACAGCCGAGACAGAAAGGTTGACACGGGTGGGGAATACAGCCGAGACAGAAAGGTTGACACGGTGGGGAATACAGCTGAGACAGAAAGGTTGACACGGGTGGGAATACTTCCAACCAATCATTGATACAGTTTGACTGTGTTTACAGGCTTTCCAGGAACAGATGATCAGCAGTGCTCGCCAAATCCAGGAACACGTCGACCAGGTCCGAGTCTCCGCCAAAGAGGAACCAGAAAACCTCGGACACAGGGTAAGATTGCAATCACTTTTATTGAAAAAAATAACAAGAATTCATCTAAAAAAAATTGGATCAAATTTATGATGGTACATATTGGGTTTATACTATGTACCTTTAAATTATGACTATTCAGGCATAGCTCACAGTAACTTTTTAACCAGACACCTCAGTGGCCAATAAAAAAAAACATATGGAGAGTCTCGTCACATTGCTTTGGTCTTTATAAGTGTTTGTAGTGTAGAGAAATACGAGAATTCGTAAATGTTTAGAAGAAAAATCTTTTCTTCTTGTGGTTGTCATTTAACTGGCTAAATTTGAAAGAAATTTGAATTTGAAATTTTTACAAGCAAGAAGACTTATGAGCCAACCTTTGGTTGTCTTTGAGTAATTTTGGTCACCATAACAACTTAAATAGGTTTGAGTCTTAATTGTGAACAGATTGTAACAGGTCGGTTTTAAACTTGAGCTAATTGTTAACCTTATGAACACCCATAGTTAGGAATATTCGCTGTCGGATGATGTGTAGAATCTGTAATCCAATTTCTCCATACACAGGTTACCGTGATGGCGAGCTATTTCGACCCCCTAGCTGATGGAGCAGTGGGCGTGGCTTCTTTGGTTACCAACTCCAAACAACAGACACAGATAATAGATTTGACAAAAACAGTGGCCGAGTCTACACTACAATTCGTTTATTCATGTAAAGAAGGGGGAGGCAACCCTAAGGTAAAAATTAGATTTTAGAGATTATATTTTTCAAATTTGTAAAAATGATGAAAATAAGATATTTTCCCAAATTTCAAAGAAATGGTAGAAATTTGAGACTATTTTCTCAAATTAAGAAGGGAACTGATAGAACATACTTTTGGTGGGTTTTTTTCAAGTTTTAAATACTTTTGGTGGGTTTTTTTCAAGTTTTAAAGAATTTTTCGGAAACTCGATTTTATTGGACCAAATTTAAAAGAAATAGTTGAAGTTAGATTTTATATCTTTCAAAATATCCCATTCAAAATCATCTTTAAAAATATGAAAACTTTGTGTTCATTGCAGGCTTTCCACACACATCAGAATATTGATACAGCTGCTGAGAACACCAAGGATGTACTTCAGGATCTGCTCCAGTCTCTTGAAGAGGCCGCCTCACAGGCAGGCATGGTTAACAGTATGATAGAGAAAATCAGCAAGTCCATCTCAAGGGTAAGAGTTGTGTCCCTTAGTGTATAGTTGTCTCCCTTAGTGTAGAGTTGTGTCCCTTGGTGTAGAGTTGTCTCCCTTAGTGTAGAGTTGTGTCCCTTAGTGTAGAGTTAGCTCCCTTGGTGTATAGATGTGATTTGGGGCCTGTTTGATGCAGAATAAGCGTTGTGTCTGTTTTTAAATGTAAACACATTTTTGGATATATGCAGGCCTTGCAAGGCTTTGTCAAGGCTTGCCTGAAAGCAGCATCAGATCACTAGGTCCGACCATATTTCATAATCAAACAACTCTGGTCCAACCATTTAGATCGCGATAAACGGAAGTGGTGGTCGGGGTTCCCCGATCAGACGAGAAAAAGGTATGGGGTTACTTGCCCGACCACGTCAGTTTTCTCCTGGTAATCCAGTTTCCTCCTTCAATAAGAATCTGAGCACACTAACACCCGATCCAACAAGAGTGATTAGTATAAGATGTAAAAAAAAGTCTCATACTTGTTGAAAAAATAAATAAAATTCATATTTATAAAGAAAGCAGCCCTGTAGTACAGTGCTATCCATCCTTAGTATTGATTTAACATAAACAATATAATGTATGGACTATTAACTTGAAAAGATAATTTTGTAAAATCTATATCAGGCAATAGCACCATGCCTGGTAATAAATCCTACCATGTCTATTACATTATTTTTCAATAAGCCAAGCCCCTACTTTCAGTCAGAGATTTTGTGTTGACCTCGTGGACTTATTGCATGATACATGCAATGCTTTAATTCTTGAAGTCAGCAAAATTTCAAAATTTATTAAACATATTTCAGAATTTTTTAGTTTATCAAAACTAGGCAAAAAAACCTTAATGATTTTGGCAGCCGGACGTATAAGCTTTAGTTGTGATGGTTCCCTTCTGTTTAATTTTGTGAAAACTTCCAGTGCTATCATGAAATTTATATTTTCTTTGAATGTTTTAGACGGATGAAAGAGTAACTATTCAAGAAGACAGGAACTACGTAGATTATCAGACCAACATGGTACGCCTCGCCAAAAACATTGCCATGACAACACAAGACATGGTTGGCAAGTCTTCTACCAGTGTGTCGGAGCTCGGAAGATTAGCCAATCAACTCACACGAGACTTTGACCTGTTAGCAAATGACTCGCGTGGAGCAGCCGCATCGACAGCCAGTAGTGATGTAAGATTTACTAGGACAAACAGTAGGAGTTAAAACTTCAAAATTTTCTAAATTTCTACCATGACAAACACAGATTGGCCCCCGTCATGTGAGAGGAGTTAGGCATTAGACAGCACCTCAGCATTTAAGCTCCTGGCTTGTATTTATGAAACTGCTCTGATGCTCAAATATAAATTCTGTACTCAAGTTAAATTTCTCTCAACTCATTCACCCCCGAAGACACATTTGAAGTCTTCCAATTTGAAGGTTGGAATAGTTCATTGTGAAATGCAGGGGTGAATGAGTTAATACCCTTAAATCATATAACATGGTCAACAAGTTTATACATTGAAAACCGTTTTGTGTATTTTTGGCTCTCCGAAATTCTTCCTAGTCAAAGATGAAAGCTATTTTTTTTAATTAATTGCAGGAATAAGAAATTAGATTTGAGTACAAACTCAGAGATTGAGCATGATAATGGTTTCATGAATACTGGCCCTGGTGTGCTTGTAGGCACCAGAGTTAACTTGTGTCAGACCTCTAAAATTATATCTTTAAAATATCATCATTCTGATTTCTGTCAAACAGATATTTAATTCATTAACTCTTCTGTTTTGGCTGTTATGCAACTAATGTTGAAAATTTATTATTAAAAGGAACCTTTTTTTCAAAAAACATGATTTTCACTTATCAAAAACATTTCTTTAATACAACAAATTGTTGAAACTTTACATGTCATTATGTGTCACTGAAGTTCAGTAAGTGTGTTTTATTATCCCCGCTTAACGAGTTTGTTCGGGATATAGAAATGGGGCCCGTACACGCACCTGGTTAAGAATTGTTCTCATCTATATCTTTGCCTACTACAAGTGTTATGTTGATAATACTTTTTGATTATATCAATTGTGTATCTAGGGTTGCTCTATTGAATGCATATTGCAGATGCTGATTATGACCTATATTTTACGGTGTTGGTAATGACTTTTGCACAACGAGCGGGGTATATCGATGACAGCGTCTTCTCGTTAGATAATTTGATACAAAAGTTAAAATGATAACATTTCATTTTATTGATCTCATATTTTCTTCCCCAGGTTGCCAACCGAATCCGGACAACAGTGCAAGATCTTGGTAAATGCTGCATAGAACTAGTACAAGATGCAGGTAAACTACAGAGCAACTCCTCGGACACATTCGCTCGGCGCGACCTGGCTGACCATGCAAGGAGCGTCAATGAAAAGGTAAAAATAAATTTCTTTACAGTAAAAACTGATTGCGAAGTATTACAACTACAGCAGAGCCCATACTTGCCAACTATTTAAAAAAAACAGTGGAGGAGATTAAACTCAAAATTAATAACATAACAAAATGTGTGTATGTACCTCCTGGGGACAAAATAACACTTTAAAATGACATATTGTGAGTTGTTCTTTCAAATGAAACTATTCAATTTTAGAATATAGGAACAGTTTTGCAAATTCCCTGGTTGGAAATAATGAATTCAAGGGTTCGAAATCAAGAGTCTCCCTCACAAATAGGGAGAGTTCGCAAATGTGAGAACCTTATTGTACTGCCAGCTTTTGTCTTGTTGAGATTTTGTTTTATAGAGGAGTTTGTCAGTAAATTGAGATATGATTATAAAGTGACTGAGGGTATAAAAGTGACTGAGGGTACAAGTCCGCTACCACAATGCATGTCCAGCATTTGTTCAGAAAATAGGAAAAGGAACCTTGAAATACTTTAGTGGCATACAAGTTTGCATCTGAAGCTAAAAGCATTATATCAAGGTTTGAGTTGAGTTACTCCATGTCAGAAACAAAGTTTTAATGTCGAAGCAGTGTTACATATGTCGGTAAGGTATTTAATTTACCTCTTACCTAATTGTCCTTCCTATTTGATATCTGTTCTAATGTTTACCTCTTTCCTAGCTGTACTTTCTGTTGGAAATATGCTTTAATTGTTTTTCTGTATCCAGGTGTCCTTCCTGTTGGCCTCCCTCCAAGCAGGATCTCGTGGCACTCAGGCGTGTATAAACGCCGCCAGCACTGTGAGTGGCATCATTGCTGACCTTGATACGACAATCATGTTTGCCACTGCCGGAACACTGAACTCTGACACTGCAGATTCTTTCGCTGATCACAGGTAAAAATAAATACATCAGAATACTTTTATACTGTAAGAGCATAGTTGTGTATATAAAAAAAGATTCCAAAATTATGCGAGGAACTTTTCTATTTGCTCTTAGACGTTCTCACCCCAAAGGTCCAGTTCATTCATTGCGTTTCAAACGTTTGTTTGATTCAGACTTCAGAATTGTAAAATAAAATTTAGAAATTTAGAAATATTTTTTGTCAGAGAGTAAATGGATCATGAATGAAGCATACATGTGTATTGGAAAAAATGCAAGCTCTACTAGCACTTTTCATTATATTTATCATTTTACAGTTGTTTTGTGTGTTCAAAATACCTTAAAATTAGGGGGGGAAATGAAAAATTTAATATATTTGCCCTCTTTTTAGGGAGAACATCTTAAAAACAGCGAAGGCGTTAGTCGAAGACACAAAAACTCTCGTAGCCGGAGCCGCATCCAATCAGGAACAGCTGGCCGGTGCCGCACAGATGGCCGTAAAAACTATCACGCGATTGGCAGACGTCGTCAAATTTGGTGCTGCCTCGTTAGGATCTGACCAACCTGATGCTCAGGTAAAAATTAAGTCTTGACTGGTTTATACCTAAAGCTTACCTAGTCAGACGTTACAAATACTTCAGAATTTTAGTTGGTACCTGCAGTGACATTTTTGATATCCATGTTGTATATATTTTTTATTTTTTTGGTAATTTTTATGAAAATACAGTAGTTTAGATTTTTTGGCGCCTCAAATTAATGGTTTTTTTTTTTTATTATTATTATTATTTTTTAAGGAAGAAATATGCTGAGCTTTGGTTATGAGTTAAGGGGAGGTTCAACTTTTATAATAAAAAAATATGCCAGTCCAGACTGAGTTATGTATTCAAGGAAGGAAGGGTCTTCATTGTTTGGTATAATTAAGGTTCTTGGTAGGCATATGTAGGCTCAGCAATCTCTTCTCCAATCCCCTGTCCTCCGATCATTACATATCCATAAAATGTCATGGCATTAAGTCTCTGTCATTGAAAAACACAGTAGAGGGAGATTTCTCACATTGGCATCTAAGGAGGTTGGCAACCTAATCAATTCAAATAATTCACATCCAGGAAGCACAGTAGTCTAGTGGTAGGACGCCGGGCTCGTGACCGAAGGGTTGCGGGTTCGAGTCACGGCAGGGCACTGTAATGTATCTTTGAGCAAGATACTTTACTCCGCTTGTTCCAGTCTACTCAGCTGTAAATGAGTATGTGGTTGGGCAGTGCGAGAATCATTGAATGCTAGCTGTGAGCGCCGAAATGGCAACACCGGCTGTATGCTCCCCAGGGAGTTGAGAAAGATATTGGCTGGATGCAAAGGCCCTATAACCACGGATAATAATTTGTGAACCACTTTAAGATGACCTATGAACTAGATTGTGATATAGCGGTATATAAGAACCTCAGATTATTATTATTATTATTTTATCCAGCAGATAGATTTATATAAGTTCTAAAATATGTTTCCAAGCCTATTTCATCCAACATGTATTGCTTTATAGTATACTGTAAATACTTTTTATTTTTTTTATTTTTTATAAATATATTTAAGATCCATTTGACAGAAAATGTACGAATGTTAATCCTTTGTTTCCAGGTTATGATCATTAATGCTGTGAAAGATGTTGCCTCTGCTCTGTCAGAGTTGATCAGTGCGACGAAGAACGCATCGGGCAAATCGGTCCAGGACCCAGCCATGTTACACCTTAAGGAATCTGCTAAGGTTAGTATCGACTACACATAGCCTGACATCCCTAAGCATGACTAGCTATCTGTAATTCTGTCTAAATCTATTTTTCATTTTCTCTTTTTCTCATTTTTTCCCCCTTTTTTTGTTTCTATACCATCTGCAGTGTAACATGTCGACATGAACTCTGTATGCTCCTCGACTCCAAACATAAAAATAAGCGTAAAATTAAATCTACACTGTTGAGTGGTATGGGATGGTTCTTGCATTTATGATAAGAAGCGAGATGGGAAATTAAATTCAGAGAAGTACCTATTTACCCGGCATTAAGCCCCCTGCCTGGTAATAAGTCCATCTAATATTTATTGCAGTTCATTAGAAATAGGCTAGTTCATTGTTCTTCATTGTCCATTGGCCTACGTCAAGACAGAGGTCAAGTGTTGACCTCCTGGGCCCGTATTCATGAAACCGTTCTCGTGCTCAAGCATGGATTTTGTGCTCAAGCCTAATTTCTTGCTTCAGTTATAAATTTATATCAAAATCTTATTTTTTCAATGATTTGGAAAAAAATTGAAGAAACTTAAAACCTTAAGCTGTTTTCAAGGTTTACATTTGACTTTTTGGTTGTTTTACATGATTTAAGCGAGTTACAAGAAAGCTGGTTTGAGCACAGCTGAATCAAAAGCAGAAAATCCATGCTCAAGAATGAGAACAGTTTCATGAATAAATATGGTTATCAATTTCTCATCTGTCGGTATTTGTCAATATTATCATATAAATCAATGGTTAGGAACGTGTTGCCATGGAAACGCTGTCATGAAATCCATTTCCATAGAATCTCTATTTCAGGCTGAAATTTGTAATTATTATGAGTTACGTAGTTTCTGTAGTAGATCTGTTGTATGCATTCTTTATGGTTATAACTTTTGTATCAATATCTATTATATATATATAGTAATATATCACTAGAGTGTGAACTATTTATATTTACAAAATATATTATATATATACAGTATCGTATGTATAAAGAAATACATGTATAACTCAAATGACATTCTTTAGGTTTCGAACATGTTTACTTTTCTTATTCGGAATTTTAATTGCACATCTCCATCCACAATATATTATTAATCTATTCTGTTTGTTAAAAGTATATCGTTGACGGAGCTGTGCATTTAAAATTCTGGTGAAGAATGTAAACACGTCTTAAACGTTAAGAACGTCATGAGAGGGTTATTTTTCTAATATTCATGCAGAGATTATAAAATATATATATGCACTTAAATAGTATCTTAAGTGTTGTTCATTTGAGTCCTAATTTTCTGTAGGATATTCAACACTGTTAAAATAAAAGGTCATTTTGATTTAGAACCCATTTCTGAATTTGACCTTTGGCTCTAGACCTTTTATGGAATGTATTACACTGTAGAACCAAAAAGAAGGCAAGGAATTCATAAATATGGACGAGAATGTAATGAAGCATAGATCACTACAGCAAAGGTTTCCATGGAAACATAAAAGACCTTGCATATTTTTTGTTTCTAAATATTGATTAGAAGAATACAATTCAGTTCATCCAAAGAAAAAAGAATGATACCTGATTTATCATGATCCGAAATTTATCCAAAATGGCAAAAAGGTAAAATGGTATTACAGATTATGTTACCATGGAAACACTTCCTGTTATGTAACTTTCAATCTCGGAGATGTAGTACTTTTCTGATGTGTCCTGTTGCGGGTTTTCTTGAATTTCAGAGTGCAGATGATTTAATTTCGTCTATTGCCGGCGGGTATCATGTTTACGTTTCTAGCATGCTCTGAGTGAGCCTGTAGATCACCCAATGGCTGGAAACCTTTCGATTGGACGAAAATTTCATGCATCATCGTTGTCATAGTAACATTGCAACATCATCAGTGTTGGAATCAAATTAATATTTTGTTTTTTTCTACATTGTGTACCTTATCATCCTTGTAAAGTTTCGGACAAAAATTGTCACCTTGGAAACGAGGTCTATCGACATGGTTGAATGACATGTTTCCATAGCAACCAAGTCACATGATTTGACTTGATCCAGTTTCCTTTAGTGAAGAGGAATTGTGGCATATTTCTCATATATACCCAGTGTTTTTTTCGATATTTTGTGCCAATGTTTTTAATGGAATTGACATATCATAATTGAACAAAGGTCCCAGTCCAAGAGTTATGTCCCCTTTATAGAACATCAAAAATTTTATATTCAAATTATCAAACATTAGAGAGTTATGTCCCTTGGATGAAAAACATATCTTCATATTCCAATGTTTAGTTTAAGAAATTCTTCAAGTTAAAAAATTTAAGAACTTATGAAATGAAATCAAGCGTGATAATTTCTTCTTCTCAAATAAAAAATGACTTCTGTGTTTCTAGTTACAAATAAACTTTTGAGAGGCTTTGAAAAAACATAAAAAGATATGAGGATATTTTAATTAATGGGCAGGGACCTTTGTTCTGTATTTCTGCTACATGTTTTGTGATGTGAATTGCATGTGATAGGATGCGTATCGAGGTAGACCGTATACCAATTAACATTATCATATATATTTATATATCACTTATATAATGGCATAACGCTATATTGATCTTTGAAACTTTTCTCTCAACATCCAGATTTACATTTTTTTTTATTTCAATTAAAAAAAAAAAAAAAAGATTTGAAACCAAATATATCAAAAAAGTATTTCACATGTAAAACCATATTATCTAAATTTTCACGTACAGTTATAATTATATCTGAGATTATATACAAAGTTATTTTACTTGAAGAACAGAAAAAAAAGATTATTTAAGAGATAGTTGAAAAAACCTATATTTGGAATGTTATTTCGTAAACAAAATTCATTCTTAGGTAAAAGATACCGTTTATAGCTTAGAAAAAATATTCTTTTATATATATACTGTCATCCTTTCAGCTGCAATTCGCAATTATGGTATTTTACAATGAAATGTATTGATGTAGTGAAAGAACTGTATAATTACAATGTATGTACTGTAATCGCCGCTGTATTTGGTGCTATATCTGATAAAAGAAATATTTTGATTCAAATTTTAGTGGAAAAAATTATAATCTAATGTTATTTTTTATTCAGAGTTATTTTAAATTTCAATCCTGCAAAGTTTAAATTTAGAGTTGACTCTGTGAAGTGTTCTTTTTACACTTATTTGGAAAAATACAAACTTTGTCGATACAATATTTTATTTAAATTGCGGTTTTGAGATCGTCATGTTGTATTCCGTAATTCACATTATCATGAAAAACAAAGCTTTATAATAAAACAATGAAGGTAATAAGTAAATAAATCAAAATACAATTGCGTTTATGCCCAAACTATTTAGCAAATAACAATTTCTACAAGTGCAGTTAATACTTTACTCTGTTGACTTTGTGTTGGGTAAATCCATGTTTGAGCATTCTTTTTACTGCTTCACATTCAGGCGTAATTAACATTCTTAAACTATCGTGTTAAAAATATTGTTTCTTGCTATATATGTAAAGCATTGACATAATGTGCTGAAATTATAAACTTATTTATAATAACAGAGTTACCTCCCCTTGATGTAAATCTTTGGTGTTGTTCTGTGTCTTGGTTTCCATGCTTATGTTTCCTCTGTTTTGCCTCTGCATGGTTTTTGATGTTTAATCATCCTCCTATTTCTTTTTCTTTTGGCAGCAGTTCGGCTGGAAATTAATTGCTTTTCTATAATGGAAGTATATATATATTTCATTCAAAGTGTTTTAGTATTACAAACAGTTTGTAGATATGAATGCGACATTTTGATTGTGACTTCTACATTCATCAAGCTCAAAGATGAATGATCGATAACAGTCCAGAAATGTAAAATGCATCTTTACAAGTGCTTGTGATATTACAACAAATCCTAAATTTTCCCAAACTGATGAATCTCGTCAAATTTATCCTCCATATTCTCTCTGAAATTGTTTCGCATCGAGTTTGGACTGAGTTGTAGAAAATTGAAACATTGGCGAAAGGTATCATTCATTAGTTTCTTATGAATATCAATTATTGGGTATTTTTGGTATGTCGAAACATTAGAACAAATATTTCGGAATGAGGTTTCATCTGTTCTTTGCTCGAGTCTTTTATTCCCTCCGTTGTCTTTGTACCCTGTCTTGACTATTTTAAAATCAAAATCAAAAACGGAAAATTTATAACGTGAAATTGCCATAACTGTACGCGTCGGTTTTAAAATAACGCATTAATGCTTTCATATTGCAATAAATTACTATTAATATTAATGCAATCGTAATGATTATTATTTCTACTAATTTTTAAACTATTTTCGGCAAAATGCTGAATGACACTGAAGGAAAAAGAATGCTCAAACATTATTCAAACAATTCAGAATATTCTTTAATGTTACTGTGAATAAATATTTTGAATTACGAAATGTTTATTTCAGTAGCATTTTCTTCTCATAATCTCATGTGACCTGTATTTGGTCATCGTAAAAGAAATATTTTAAATTTTCATGTCTGAAATATCTTAATTTCACAACATATTATATGTAACATTTTCACCAAGTAAAACATTTACAAATAAGCAATGGAATTCATATTTGCCAAGTATAAATTTTGCCTTATATACTTCATATAATGTGTAATAAATTGTACTCGAATATTATATAATTACCGCCCTGATGAATGAACGCTTACGATGGAGGGTAAGAATAGTGAAAACGACGAAAGTTAAACCGTGTTGATACATTGTCATGTTTTAAAGTGTTAAATTAAGTGTGTTCCAGTATAGGTATTTTTTTCGTTATGGAATACACTGTCAACTCGTTTCGTATGCAGATTAATAGGACAGCATAATAATAATTTTGCACTAAATTCAAAAAGACATTATTTAAGTAAAATCTCATACACTGCAACCATTTGTTGATATTTTTGATATCGTAAGTAATTCGACAATAAATACTTCAGAAGCGAGATTTGACGATATGTTTTGCATATTAAAAACATTTTGTTGAGGAATTTCCAATAAAAAGGGAAATGAGGCATTGCAGTTTGTTGGTTACCATAAGTTTGCAATTTGCAAATAAGATATAAAGAACATTATATTGTGATTTTACCAGAGTTTGTTCAAGTAGATTTCTGTATGAGTTTAATGATTTTTTTTTTATAGTTCATATTTTTAAGAAATGTTAACCCTTTCACCCCTATGTAACTTTAGTGGACTCTACCATGCAGTTATTGGGATGAGTCCATCATGGTGTACGGTGGTGAAATGTTTAAGTTTGAAGTGCTATACATGACTGTTCACTGTCCGAGTAGATATATATGTATTGTATAGGTGTAAGGTAAGTATAAATGTATATCAGTGTTTATTATGTTGTCAAATAAAACGTTGTCTTTAATTATGTTTCTTTATTTATCTGTTTATCAGAAATTCAATCTTTCACTTGGTCTATGTTGGTACGTGTGAATTGAGTCAGTTAAGGATGCTCGTACCACTGCCAAAAACTGTAACTACGTATTGAAGATTGTTTTTGTGACATTACTAAAGCTTTGATAGATAATTCTTGAAAAAAAACTCGGCTTCTTTTATTGTAAATTGTTTTTTCCAGCATAACTATAGCTTTGTTAAATCATTTCTAAAAAAAAAAAGTTGAACTACTTTTATGAAAAATAAAACAGATAGTAGTGTTTTGAGTGTAAAAAAATAGCCGGTCTAGACTGAGATTTGAACCCTGGACCTTAGATTGTTGTACTATCGCTCCAAGCCACAGAGCTACCTGGTCAACATAAGTGTCCTTGCAAAACTAGGCTACAGTTGTTTTGAAAAATTAAATGAAGGGGAGGTTACTGTATATACAAAAAAAACAGTGGAACAAGGATCCTTAATACAATTATTTACACTCATCCATTATTACCATGGAAACGTGAATGTAAATACACAAGTTTTTGATGTAATACAGTAATGTTATAGAAATATTTTAACAAAAATCGGCAAATATTTACCTTGGAGACACATGAATACGAAGATCAAAAATGTCTGAAGTTGCCCAACTTATACCAACTCAACATATCAAGCAGTCAGGAAGTTCACACAAGATGGACGTGCCCAACTTGGAGTCGCTGAAGACACTCTGTTTCTGTTTTGTTCGACTGTTGTACAATTGATGAGTGGTTTTGTCAATTTCAACATTTAATTTATTGTATGGTTCTTATAACTTTCACTGTATATCGAGTTATTTTGACAAAAGTTTACTTCGTTGACACTCAGACCAGCATTGTTGTCCCTCCCTCTATCTGATTGGTCCTCTTTGTCGTTTCTAGGTAATGGTTACGAATGTGACGTCACTCCTGAAGACGGTCAAGACTGTTGAAGATGAGGCAGCCAGAGGTACCCGGGCGCTGGAATCGACTATCGAGGCCATCGGTCAAGAAATAAAGGTACATTGGGTATTGAATATAACAGATTACGAAAAAGCAGTAACAATGGGTCGTATGTGCACTCAGACAACATATGGTGGGGTTTTTTTATAACTGGATCATTGAAATAGTTGAACACTGGAAAATGGCTAAAAGTGGAAAATGGCTAAAACTGTAAATGGCTAATACTGGAAAATTATAGAAAACTTGAAAGTGGCAATGAGTTTTGATTAAGGTTTCCTTATCACTGTTGACAGTATGCATTCCTTCCATTTGAGTAGAATCTCCCGAAGGCATTTTTCTCATGCCTGTCCCATCTTTTGGTGACCAGTCAGTGGATCAGGGGTGGAGCTAGTATTAGTGAATATAATTAAGGGTGAAAATTCCCATCAAAATCCAATATTTGTTATTTATTGGATTTAGTTCAAAACAATTTCCTTCAACACCCCAACCCAACTCTTTGTAAAAGTTTTCAGTGAAGGTTTCAACAGCACCCTTGATGCCACATTTAGAAATAAAATCAAATAAAAAAATGCTATCATTATAAACTCTAATTTTATTAGCATTTCTTTTTGACCTCTGACCTCTTCTGCTTTCAGACATACGATACCACAAATGAACCAATGAGAAAAGCTACGGCCGAGGACCTTATAAGGATAACCAAACCAATCACCATGGCAACAGCCAAGGCAGTAGCTGCTGGGAACTCTTGCCGACAAGAAGACGTTATTCAGGCGGCCAACATTGGTCGGAGAGCCATATTCGATCTCCTGGCAATAACTAAGGTATTCAGATGGAACCCTACATTTTTATGTATTCCTCTGATCAGCTGAGCTCATTGGAGGAAGAGGCGTAGAAGTTGTTTGAAATTTATTGAAAGAAAATATATTTAAATCAAATCCGAATGTTGTGTTAGCTGTCAATATATTGATATTTGTCTTTGCTTAAAAAATGAAGACTCATCACAAAATATGATTGAAAAATCCCTTAAACTATTTGTTTTTCAGTCAGTGAATACTGGAAACTTTGATTTTATCTGTACAGATCTAATGACCTTGAGTTTTCTATAATTTTCAACATTTCTTTACAAATCTGAATTTTTCGTTACATAGGGGGCTGCTACTACTGCAGAAACCGCAGATATCCGACACCGAACGATAATGACCGGGCGAAATACAGCGTCCGCCTACAATCAACTCCTGGAGCAAGTCAATGTAGTAAGTTGGTGTCCAGTGCCAGTCTCACATCACAGTTTAAACGTTCTCGGATCTCAGTATGTTTGTTTGATAACTGCTGGTAACTTTACCTAGCCTTTTCCCCCCCAAAATGACAGTAACTCATTCACCCCTGAAGAAACATTTGAACTCTCCCAATTCAGAGGTTGGAATAGTTAATTATGAAAATTCAGGGGGGAATGAGTTAATGATGAAGGGAACAAATGTGTTATAATACTGTATATTTGCCAGTCACTGTTAAAATACATGTTTGTTCAGTGATAATTTTGCCCTTCACATGTAATTACTATGTAGGGTATGTTGCATACTAATATTCGCAGTAATGATAAATCTGGCCTCCTTATTGAAGGCCGAAAAGGCTAAAGTTAAACTACAGTGAAAATGTCTAGTTATAGAGTAGCTCTCAGAGTCTGTGATAGCTCATCATTAAAATGTGTACGTCATCTGTGGTTTATGTGTACATTGTCACAGATTAATGTGTTATATGTAGACAATTTCTGTGTTGTATGTGAACATTGATCATCACAGTTTTATGTGTAGTATATGTAAACAATTTCAGTGTTGTATGCGAAAATTATCACAGTTTTATGTGTGGTATATAAACAATTTCTGTGTTGTATGTGTACATAGTCGGAAGTACACAGACTTTCTCACCAAGTTTATTTTTGGATGTTTTTGTCACTTTTTGTGTATTTTGTCACAAATAGTGCATTCTTAATATTTTGTCAGCTTTAATGTCACAAGTTTGTGTGTTTTCCCATAAATATGAGCGTTTTCATTTTTGACACGAACTTTAAGTGCTATTTCCTCGTATTTCTTTTTCAGATTATACAGAGACCGACACCAGAGGGCAGGCAGTGTCTAGTGGAACTCTCAAGACAAGTTGCAAATTCGGTGTCTGAAATTGTTCAAGCTGCGGAGGCAATCAAAGGTAGGACTGTCTCAAAATATTCTGGTTCAACACCAGCTTTCTCACAATGTATAAGTATTAAGGTGCAAGTCAACTTTGGTTTCTCTCTATAACATAAGTTAATCGTGAAAACTCAGGAAATAAAAGCATTTCATCCTTTTGGCATGGTTTTATACAGAGAAACTCTTTTCTCCATCTTTACCATAAACCTGCTCTTAACGAACCATTGTCTTGTTGCCATTTCATATTTTGCAAAAAAAATCAATCTCTTCATTACCCATACACATCATAGGTATGTAACAATGAAAATCAATCTCTCGTTCTGGTTTCCATGTGTGATATATACCGTTCGTAAGAATTATATTACAGAAGTATATTGTCTGCAGAACTCTTTGCCTTTTTGAAAGCTAAATATGAACCACTTATCATCTGTGGGAAGTTCTACGTTTGATTCAGCTCAATTTTGCCCAAATTTGGTCTAATTATGTTACATATATGGGATGTGGTTTGACATTCTTACCACCTTCACCCCAAATTTAAGATTGTTGTTTTCCGGATAAGTTTAAGATTTGTGAATAAACTACTAAATCTGGCCATGATTTCTTATTTGCCAAAGAATGTAGGCAATACTGACAAAATACTTGTGAATCCAGTAGCTTGTTCACAGGTTATAGGTGAATGTCCAAATACCAACTGTTCCATCTTATAATATTTATTCCTACCAAATATAGGTATGCAGTTCTCCCTATGATAATTATCAAAACCAAATATGGTCATTATTCCTGCAGTCAGCCAAAAAAATTACATTATTACCAAATATATAGGTACATGTATGCAGTTCTCCCTAGGATAATTATCAAAACCAAATATGGTCATTATTCCTGTAGTCGGCCCAAAAAAAACATAGGCAGGCTGTGGTTTGTATGATAAATATCAATACCAGATATGGTCATTATATTTCTCTTTGTTAATTATAGCCAAAAATACTTCATTAGTACCAAATATAGGCATGAAGTGCTCTATATGATAATTATCAATACCAAATATGGTCATTATTTCTCTCTTTGTGTATTTACAAACTGAAATCATTATTTCCAAATATGGGCAATGCTTTATTATTTCCAAATATGGCCAGTGCTTCATCGTATTAAATATGGTGATTTTCTTGTTTTGTCTTTCTTTTTAGCATCTCATAACATCTGAGTCCGTTTTTCCCCAAGTAACAAAATATACCCATTTCTCCTAATATCAAAAAAACAAAATCAGTTTTGAAGTGGTCTAAAAATAACTCTTATTGCCAAATATATTAATAATTTCACCCTTTACCAAATATCCAGAATGAATCCATTATTTCCAAATATGGTCATTTCTGTCTGTATTATCATATTTGGGTTGTTTTTCCTCCTGCAGCGTCTAAAGAAATCAGATGGTCGTACATTGTGCCAGGTAACTTGGGAATGTCGATGTATAACCATTGTAGGCCGTAGCAACCAGTTTTTGCAAGGAGTTACTTTATTTCTGTTTATTTTCTTTTGATTTTCAGATTTATTGATATTCATTTTACCTAACTGAAGTCAAGCGATATGAAACTAACATGTTTGTGAGTCTGTTTAGTTTAGGCCAAAACAAAAAATTGTTTCGGCTTCCCAACCTACTTTAGTTTTAGTGCATAATTATGTGAATTCTTATTTTAGCTAATTTTCTAAACAAGCACTGTTTAAGTCTAATTGCAGTCTCTATATAACCATTATGAAAATTATTTGTGTGAAGCGAATTTTTCGCCTTCCTACCTACCTTGATTTTTGTTTGTATTAAGGTCGTAAGTGGTATACCTAACAAATGTTTATGTATAGCCTAGTTGTATGGCTTAGTTGGCCAAAGATGATCTTAAGTTTCACAAAGGTGTTTTTTCTACTTGTTTAAACTCAAACTTAAATTTATTTGGATGACAGTGACTGCATCCTTTTTAAAACATCTTCCTTAAAAACATTTATGTAATTACAGAAAACAATGGACATTGTTTGACCAAATGAAATTTAACCTAGTTATCAAAATGGTGTCCACAAGTTTGTTAAAACCTTGTTATACACTACAGAAGCTTTACAATATGACTGGGAAATGATGAAAATTAATGAGATTCTGGAATTAGTTTGTCATAGAAAATAACTTTTGAAAGTTCAAGTTCTAGCATTCGGAATGTGTCAATATGGTTTATTATTACTACAAATGGATAGTGTTAAATGAAAGGTATGAAAAAGAATAAATGTTTTTGTCATCAAACATTCTGTGATGTGTCTATCGGTATTTGTAAAATTAAATTAAAACTTAAAAATCATGTTTTAGGTTAGATTTGAATTGTGATGGATAAAGGATGGGTGCACTTTGTACATCATATAGCATCCTTTCTAAAGTGTTTCATGCAATATATGTAGTGTCCTGCATGAGATTCCACTTCATTTGAAAAGTATGAAACAATTACGTCTCAGAAGTTTTGAGCAAGCTGTTGGATGAATACATTTTGATTCCTCATGAAATGGAAACTGGAAACTTATCAAACATGCTATTTATGACTTGATTAAGAATTATTGTGAATGTATTTAAAAAAAAAAAAAAAAAAGGATTGTTGAAGTCTAAAATTCTCAAATTTCATTTCATTATATAATGTTGCCATTTTTGTGTAATTAATATTATCTTGGATTCTACAACGCCATTTCATTATCATCAAATGACATCACATTAGGTCATATTTCATGAGCTAATTCATACGCAAAACTATATATGACATGGGTGTTTTCACTGAATAACACAGCAATCTTGTGATGAAATTTTATACTAATTAACATGTTAATGTATGTTAGATTTTAAGTAATGATGATGAAAATCAGAGATCTGTCTGGTTATATTTACGATGTGCCACGCATGTTTGAAAGATGTGAAAGATTGTCCGAGTCCACAGTCAGAATTCGTGTTTTTGTGTCCTGTTTGTCAATGAGTTTAGGTGAAGAGGTCTGCTTTGTTCAAATCTTTCAAAAGCGAATATATATTGTCTTTGAAGCTATAGATCCCACATTTCTTCATTATTTTTACGCAATTGCCAAAAAAAAATATGTAAAAATTATCAATTAAGTCTCGGGGCAAAAAAAACACCTACTATATAAAATTTATCAAACTTTATGATTAAATCAAAATTAATCATGGTGATTTAAAAATATGTCAAAATTTGCAAAATAATCTAAATTTATTATGCTAATGATTTCTGTATGAAAATTATTGTGATATATCAGCAAATTTTGTAAATTTATGAAAATGCTTCCAAAGATTTTATTTTCCCTCTTGTTTGATTTGAATGGAAGCAGAGATTCACATTGGTACTCTTGTTACACGTTTCTCACAGTTTTGGTTTGTCGTCACAGAGTAGGTAGCTTGATATGTGTAGGAATGGAGTTTGATGTCCCCGAGTTTTACATGTGTAACTACCTAGAAACACTAACGGCATGACGCGTATTATGGAAAAATTGACATGTTCATAAACCTATAGCTAGGAAGGTGTACAATGTTGATAAATCCAAAATATTTCATAATCCTCGGAGGTCGTAACATTGTGTTCTTTTTTATCGGCTGTTCATTTCTACTCATGAATAGTCAAATGTAACTTTTTAATGAATTAAAGTATATATATGTAAGAGAAAAAAGCAATATTAAATTTGGATGTCTTCAGTAACTTAATTATTTCTAAAGAACTAAAACATTCTTTTTAAATTATTACACTTTTTTTGTATAGGTCACTGATAATGTAGGATTAAGGATTATAATTTGAGAATTCCATGGAATAATTCATAATTTTTAAATACATCTCATGAATGAAATCCTGAATTAGGGTCCAGTACCGTCCGGATATTAGTCAGCACTTGTCACTTGTCAACACTTGCGGTTTGGGTGGGGGAGGGAGCATGGCTTGGTCCACATTAGCGCATGAACCCAAATGTTCCAGTAAGTGAAATATTTCTATGGCAACCAATTTTACTGCAGTATATATATCTGAAAATTGATCAGGATATAATGGAAAATTTCTGTTCGCTGTTTCTTATAAAAATTTGAACAAATAAATATTGTTTTTCATCAACCTGTTTCTTTAATTGTTTACCTTAATGTGTTATTTAGTATGGTAAGTAGTCTTCTACAGATAAATTATCTGAACCTTCTTGTGACGTATTTCTGTTGGCCTCGGTTCGTTGGTCGTACTGATCGTTGCTAATTATAACTGGTCTAGATCTATTGTTAACGGCTGACCAGACAAACTTGGGGTGTCATCAACGTAATCCAATGCAGTCAAACTTACCTGTACAGAATAATTTACCTGTGCCCCAAAACGTATACCCAATCATGTATTTGTAAATTACAAACACATATATTAGATTCTTAAAAAATATTTGACTGGGATAAAATGGTGTCGCCAACAAAGATGGCCATATACAATTTTGGGTAGCAAAGCGTAAAAAATATGTTGTCATCTAGGGACTTTACGATAGTTAGTGTGAGCCCTGCTTGCTATCATTTGATATGGTGGCAATATGCTTTAAGTCTCGTCGTCACAGTATGTGATTTTTTTATCAATAAAACTTTGGCTAACTTTGTATTAGATTTAGTTTTGTGTTAAAAATTTAAAAAACATTTTCACATTTAGTTACATGAAAAATACATCTGGGTCAGCCATTCAAATGAAACCATTTCAGTTAGCAAATTTTCTAGTATTAAATTAAACATGTTATTTTCAACTTTCTAGAACACCAACAGTTTGATTCAACCCTTTCGCCCCTGCAGCCCATAATGGACTACTCCAGATCAATGCACAGTAGAGTCTACTTATGTTACATAGGGGTGAAAGGGTTCAAGTCCCACAGCCAATTCCCCATTTTAACACATTCCTATTTTGTTCTCCCATGTTGTAGTACAGTATGTTTACCAGTTGATGTTAACAGCCAATGATAAATGTGGCTGTCATTTTATTAAGTCAATTAACATACCTTCTGATACAAATTACATTCACAAATTGCATATTTCATGATTTCCTGAAAAAAAAATCCAAGTTGAATTTGTGTTTCACAGATTCTAACAGTTGCCAGTGGTCTCAGACTTATGCAGTATAAATTAGATTCTTAAGTAAACATAAAATTTGAATTCCATTGAATTTCCTGATACATATTCATATAATATCTGATACTCGGCATGTCATGTATGACCACCTGTGATCACACCATCCGTGTCATGGCAAAGCTTGATTTTGTCATCTGTATCATCACAAAGCTTTATTATATACTATCTGGATATCACTAAAAAGCTTCATTATAACATCTATATCATCACAGAGCTTGATTGGCCTTCCTGTATAATTGTGTTTAAACCCAGATATATATATTAATCTTGTCATCAATTTCATATTGAAGATGTTGAATTATTCAAATTTTTTTTTTTTCGTGCAACACATACCAGGAAAGCTTTGCAGATGTCATTTTAGTTTTCCATCAATTTAAAAAAATAATAATTGAAATATGAATATCCATTCAATGAAACGCAAAATACCCCCTCCCCAATTGGTAAAGCTAAAATTATAACAATTTGATAAGTTGAAGGAAGAAGAATGTCTGCAGAGAAAATCCTGGTATATGTGCTGAAACTATGCTAATTTTCGTGTCCTTTATTACATGTTGTTTTTATGCTTTCAGGCTCAGACTGGGTGGATCCACAGGACCCTACAGTTATTGCTGAAAATGAGCTCCTCGGGGCTGCTAACTCCATTGAGGCAGCTGCGAAGAAGCTGGCCATGCTGAAACCACGCCCCAAGGTTCAGGTACAGAGGAAGATTCGTACATTTTCTTTATCACTCATCTTTATTTATAGCACTTCAAATTTCCTGCTTCCTCGTCTCTATATATAGCACTTCAAATTTACTGCAACCACATTCTCCTTAGAAATGTTTTTCTGTATTTCAAACTGAACTAGATTATTATAAACGTATTTTCTTTGCAATTCATGGATATTTTATTTCTCCAAAACCCAAATATATATTGCCTTATTACTTAAGATAATTATTAGCTCATAGGCTTACCCTTTCTGCAACAACTGTGATTCAAGTGTCATTCTAGAATGTTGTATTTCTCATCAGACATTGACGTTGTTGGTTGTCTTTTTTTTTTTTTTTTTTTTGTAATTTGGTATTTCTTAGAACACTTTAGTTTTTACTAGATTTAAATAAAAAATATGACATTACAAAGGGGTTTGACAATAAGTTGACGGGAACATATTAAGTAATTTTAAGAAAAACAGAAAAAATGGATCGTGAAATATGATGGTGGTAAGCAAGTTGGCAAATGAAATGAAGGGCATTGTATCAAGGTTTTACTGTATTTTGTTCTTGTATTTATCAAATGGATATGAGAGTTATAGAAATATTGAAGACATAAGATTTCAGGCAGATATGTCATTGCTACAACTGTTTAAGGTAAACTGGGTCTTAAGTCAGTTCTTTTAAGAAAGGGAATATTGATTGGTTGAAAAAGAGTTGTGTTTTGTAAGGTGTTCTTTGATTGGTCAAGATAACTTACAACATTGGCCTAGCTTCACTAACAAGACTTTCCATTGGTGGAGGATAACACTGCTAGCTTCTATGAGATATGTTTGATATATTTGGTGGTGACCTTAACCTTTCCACCAATTATCAAACATGTCAGCATAGCGGCCGGCCCTAACAACACAGCTGTTACCATGGCTACATGTGTCAGCACAACAGTTCAACTTAACAACAGAGTGGTTACCATGGCAACAGAATTAACAACAGAGAGGTTACCATGGCAACATAATTAACAACATAGTGGTGACCATGGCAACAGAATTAACAACAGAGTGGTTACTATGGCAACATAATTAACAACAGAGTGGCTACCATGGCAACATAATTAACAATACAGTGGTTACCATGGCAACAGAATATTATTGGACATGGAGCTGTTGGTGTAATTTCTAAAAAAAAGTTTACAAGATCAATCCCAGGAAAAGTATTGTTACATTGGTTCTGATTGGCTATGTATATTTTGTAAACAGCTTTCTGATTTGACCTTCTGAATTTGAAATATTCCTGTTGCTTATTGAACAGATTTGTTGGTTTTCAAAGGAATTTTGATTTTAATTTGAGATTTGTTCCTACAATCTGTTACATAAAATGTGAAGTGTTCTAAGTTGGTCAACTGTTATTGATTTGGCTTACAATTAGTATAAAAGTCTGGTTCGTGTGTAATTCTTTGGTTATTTTCATATTGTGTATCTGACTCAGGAATGTTTGCTGTTTGACATTTAGGTTTTTGACACATGTGTTAGGTAATTCAGGTGTTTAAGGGATCGAGTAAACTATGGTGTTTGCTTAACGTAAAATTGTATTTTCGACACTTGTCAGATTTGGTAAGTGTTTGACATTTACACTAACATTGAAATTCTTTGAAAATAGAAAAAAAAAAAAAGTTTCTATTTATAAAACAGAATCATGACTTTAACAATCTTTTCTATATAATTAATTTGTATTTGTATTGTTATCATCATCAATATTTGAAATGAATAATTATTTTATTTTAGAAAAAAAAAACCGATATTTACTTATGTAACACAACATTCACTTACTGTTGTTGGTCTGTGCATATGTTTACAAAAAATCATTAACTGCGATTTATTTGCTCAAATTCACGCTTAGCAAAATAATAACAAAGTTTATGTTAATGAAAATCCAACTTAGCATATTAATAGTGAAAATGTATGTTAATGAAACGGTTTCTCATTGTAAAGCTGTGTAAAAAGTACCCAAAAATGTCTGCTGTTGTGAGGCATATATTTATGAAAAGTTGTTTTTAACCCTTTCACACCTAGTTAACTTGAGTAGACTCGACCAAACATTTTTCTGGGTGAGTCCATTATGGTCTACAGTGTTGAAAAGTGTTGAAAGGGTTCAAGATTGATAAATTTATTATCTAAACCATTTTCTTGTTACATTTAAATGTTGTTATATATTTCATTCCTAGGAGGCTGACATGAGCTTAGAGTTCGAGGAACAGATCCTAGATGCCGCTAAATCTATTGCCGCGGCAACAGCAGCTCTGGTGAAATCAGCGTCCGCGGCACAGCGTGAACTTGTGGCTCAAGGAAAGGTAAGAACATTAACTCTGTTAAAAAAATCAAAACCCTGCATTTTACAAATAGTAGATTCAAAATGTTTGATTTGATCAAAGATATGTTTTATTCAAAATTTGTATTACTTCCTTGTTTTTAAAGTTTGGAATATGTGCACTAGTGTGAATTTTAAAAAATAACGGTAAGTGTGAATGCGTTAGAAATAGCCTCTTTATAGAAGAGCTCCTCAGGTGCATGGTAGAAACCAGATTTAGTTTTGAGTTTAAATATGATTATATTGAATTTCTTCAGGATATTCAGTTCTAACCTTAACGAAAATATTGAATTTGCATTATTGCTGACTGTTAATTTTCATTAGTTGCTTATTGTTTTAAAAATGTTAATTTATTTTGCTTCGATTTTTGTGTGAATCAGAAAATGCTTAAGAACTGAATTAAAGCTGCATTTGATCGCTTATATCAGAAGCAACTTCTAATAACGTCTGATGAAAATAATGCTTAGCTCTTATCGATATTCGGTGCCGCACTAAATGAACAGGTTGCTCTAGTGCAATTTTCTTCATTTCATTCAATTTTATTGTTCATATTTCGTGGTAAAATGAGCTTAAAATTACCTTTGTCCTCAAGCGACTAACAACTTTGAATAAATACTTTCCTTTTCATATATTTATCATACCTAACAGTTTAGTTATAGTAAGGTTCCTAAATCCAGCCAGCCAATTTACTGTCTTATATTTAATTTAAAACTAGATCAAAAGATTCACAGTCATTAGGGAATGTTATATTGACATTCTTACCTTCGATTCAACTGAATCGCTGTTACATTATCCCTTTCACCCCTATGTGACTTAGTAGACTCTACCATGCATTGATCTTGATGAGTCCATCAGGGTCTACAGTGGTGAAAGGGTAATCTTTTCAATGGAAGTTGGATTGAAATCTTTCGCAAAATATCCATTTAAGTTCCTAAAAATCTAAAAATGTGTGATTATTGAAATCTTTCTAAGTATTGTGTGTGCTTTCCAGGCTAAGCTTGTTTGTTTATGAAAACAAATTACTTTTTATTTTCTATTTATTTCAAGCAAAATAATTTTCTTATGTCAACTATTGCATGTTTCTGTGTTTTCCCCAAAATAAATGAAAGTATTTTAAATACATTGTAATCTTTGAAAGTTTGATAGTTGGTTCCATGAAAAACTATTGGAGCGGAAAATTATTAATAATTTCATAGCTTAAAGAATCAAAAAAAAATTCAATGTGAAAAGTTTAACAAACAGATTTCTATGAGGTTAGAAAAGATGATGCCTCAAAAAATGTCAAAATGTTTGTATGTAAAAAAAGAAAATTTAAAGACACACTGCTGTCTTTTAAAATTATTGAAATTAAATAATTTAAAATTCAATATTGATAAATGTTAAAAATTACATTAAAATTTTGTGAATAAAATCTAAAAAATAAAATAATAAAATGAATTAAATAAATTAAACGACTGACGAGGTTCAAATGATGAGAGTGGACAGATAAGAAGGTAGAGTAACAGGAATGATGCGCTTTGCCTAAATTTCCAGGTTCGGCCACGAATCCAGGTAACACCAGTGCTAGTTGCTTGTTCACCACCCTATTTCTTAGGATGCTTGTTGGTTTCTATGCAATTATTGAATTCTTGAAATCTTGGAAACGGTTGCCATGACAATAATACAATTTCACGTAAAAAGTTAAATCAGGTATGGAATAAAGAGAAAAAGAAAATCGTTTACAGTTATTTATTACATACTTACTAATAAATAAGTATTATACTGATTTTTTGTATATGCGATACGACACAATTGCTCTTACCAATATCAGCACTCGCCGTATCACACCCCAAAACCTGTATCAGCCCGCAAAACCTGTATCACACCCCTTTTGGAAATTTTTCGTTTTTCAATATTTCTTAAGAAGATAGTAGCCCTCGGGCTGATATTGCAGTCTTGGGTTGATACTGTGTGTGATATGGAAACAGGCATGAATTATTCTCTATGTAATTATCATCAAATCTAAAGAATGTTTTAGAAAAAATGTTTTTCATATGATGATAACCACTGTGTGAAGTAAACGGTTTCAAAAATTACGTGACATAGTTTCTTTACATGACAATGGTCTTCATGTAAAACAAAAACAAACTTATTGTCATGGCAACTGGATTTGGTTTTGGTGACAAACATTTAAAGAACAAATTTAAACAGTTATGATTGCATATTTATTCGGTCAAAATATCATATTTCATAATGTTGGTGATTTGTTTGGTAAATATTCTCATGTTTCACAGTTTCTCATTACAGCATTTCTTCATTCACGTTATTTTATTTCTTTGAAGGTCTTGAAATACATTACTGTATAAAAATTTTATGAATCTTGGAACTTTCTATGTTTTAGATATAGATATAATACTACATAAGTCAAAAGGGTGTGAAAGTTATTTTATCGTTCAACTTTCACAAGTTGTATTTTTTTTTCCTCTTCGGGATATATTTTTTCCTCAGATTAAGGGGAAATGTTTTGTTTTATTCAAAGAAATTTTAATTTAAAAATTTTTTTCATTTTTTTTTTTTTGGATTTATTTATTTTTTTATTTTTAAAAATTTAATTTTATTTATTTTAAATATTTTATTTATTTATCTACACAGTCCTATTTGTCCTTGGTTTATGCGGTAATATTTCATTTCCTAGTTTGGTGCATCCCATCAATTTTTTGGTGCCCTGGTGTGAACCGAATTTGTTGATATTTTTGTTTGCCCCCTTTGTTTGACCATTACTTGGATCCCCAGCCCCGGGCTTCAATATCCCACAGTCTGTTTCGTGATTTCCCCAGATGTGCTGATTGTGTTTAGAAATATATCTGTCAGTATTGATTTAATTAATACCGATACAATAATTAAAATTATATTTAGAAAACAAAATGTAAAGAAACCTGGGAAAAGTTTATCAGGAATATATTTGTATATTGTTTTTTTTATCCAAATTTGGGAAAATTGTTGACGAAGTGAGAAAAATTAGAAATTTCAGGGTTGAATGAGTTAAAGAGGCGAAAGTGCACGAGGATTATTAGTAATCTTCAATCTTGTACAAAAGATCAACACTTGATGAATGAAAAGAAAACTGTACTCAATATATCCTACTCAATATTTATCAGTATACGTGGATTATGATAGTCATGAGCCTATGTGTATGTTGATGAAATGTTCTTGCAAGAGATTCACTTATTATTCAGTGTGGGTACGAGTTATCTAACTCATTCACCCCTGAAGACACATTTGAACTCTTCCAATTCAAAGATTGGAATAGTTCATTATGAAAGTTTAGGGGTGAATGAGTTAACTGGCAGTTCAGTTTGACTCTTTTTCTGTCCAAGAGAAATATTTCAAAAATAGTTTACCACTAATGTGCAGGTAAATGTTTTACACTACCGCCATATACATGCTTTTGGTTCATGAGTTCAACTGTATTGTCAGTAAAAATGGTTATCAATTTACAACATAATATACAGTATTATAGTATGCATTGAAATAATACACAGTGAAAACTGTCTAATCTGACACCTGAGTATTCTGACATCTTGCTTTATTCAACCCCTTAGTATTCTGACAACCTTTCAAATTCTACCCTGAGTATTTTGACTGCCTATTTAATCTAGTCCCTCATTAATGAAATACCTTGTCCAATTTGAACCTGGCATATTCGGACATCCTGTGTTATCCAGTCCCTGAGTATTCCGACCTTCTGCCAAATAAGATGTGTGTTCAAACATACCCTGTCAAATGTCACCGCTTTGTGTCCCAGGACAGATTGTCAGATTAGACAGGTTTCTCTGGATTGGTAAAAAAATAGTACGTTTGCGATGAAATATTTGATATTTATAAGATGACATTGGGGACCACTTAACAAGTGTTAACATTTTTTTAATTTTTTTTTTTAATTATTTCACCAGAAAACCACGGGCGTTGGGGCTACCCTTGCCGTGTTTTTTGGTTTTTTTTTTTCTTAACACATGTATTTTTTTTTATATGAATAAGAAGATTTTGTTTGTATATTTTTGAGGTGCCATTAATAAAAAAAAATGTTGGTGTCAGGTACACTTGTTGACATGTGTTCCCCGATGTTGGCATCAGATATGTGGTTGAGGTGCTGCACATTGTCTTGATGAAATGCTAGCTCATGTACGTGTATTCTACCAAAATGTTTGAAAACAAAATTTGTATCTCTCATGCATCTAAAAATACTTAGTATTTACCATTCAAATGGCTAGAGAGTGTTTACATGCTGGTGACTGAAGGAGATAGAAACTCAACTCTCTGAACTTGTGTATGCTGTAGTGACGATTGTTTTCCTGAGATGTGAAATATGAACTTTTTTCATGTTGAAATAAAGTTACCAAGGTGAAATTGAAATGATATTGGTTAACTCATTTACCCCTGAAGACACATTTGAACTCTTCCAATTCAAAGGTTGGAATAGTTCATTATGAAATTTCAGGGTTGAATGAGTTAATGTGCATGTAAAACAATGGTTATGTATGTAACCACATATACTGTATATTTTAGAGATTACAAAAAATGGTGGTACAATGTTACATGTTAAAATCTACATGGAACTAAATACTTCACTATTTAAAATGTATTTAGATTGATTTAACCCTTTCACCACTGTTAACCATAATGGACTCCTCCAGATCGATGCATGGTAGAATCCATTAAAGGTACATAGGGGTGAAAGGGTTAAGTATTTAGAACTGGTCATGGCCTTCAAAGTTTAAAAGCAAAGTTTTTTAGACTTAACTTTCCCAGATTTGGTTTGAGAGTAATCTAAAAAAAAAAGGAAAAGATTATCACCTATGTAAATATTTTCAAAATAATCCTTATTTATAACAGTATTTCTTATAATGTTTTCTTTTTTGTGTGTATGCATGGTTGAAAGATGGACAGAAAGTGACTGAGCGATTTTTTTGTCTACATGTGCCTAAGCCATCAAGAGTTATTTCCCTTTATTCCATCACGGTGACCTGAATTCTGCCTTACTTTCTGCATAGGTTCAGCACATAAATACTGAATATTTAAACACAGATAGACCATTCTGGGTCACATTTGATTATCTTGATTAAAAACTTAACAAACGTGGTATAGTAATAATAATGTAAGCACATAGTGGTTTCTAGTTGAACACAATCTGCACTGGCAAACTGACAACATGATGTTAATCTATATGATGCTAGTCAATTGAATCTCTCTCAACGCTGAGGGTGACACAAAGAAATGTCAACTGGAGGAAGTTATCTAGGGAATGTTTATTGTCCTTCTAGCCTTTATGATGTTTTCGGCAAAAATGGAATGTTGTCTGCCACAAGCACTTAGCTAGAAGAGGAGAGGCCTTAAATAGGCCATGCCATATGTCTTTTGATAATAAAATTGTTTGAAATTGAAATTTAACCTCCAAGTTATATAATGTCTGATTTTACTGGAAAAAATATCCTAAATACACTTTATTTCGTATTGATTTATTACATCTAAGCTTTTCTATTGCCTAAAGATCTTCATATACAGAGATGTCAATTTTAGCTGAAAAGGGAGATAAGTCTGTGAAGGGTTGGAGAGTATTAATCTGTATATATGTATTGTGTCAAAATTCATAACATCTTTGGTTATATATATATATACAGATGAGAGAAATTCTTTAACAAACGGGAAGCGACCTAAATGATTTGCGATAGATTTAATATTTGGTTTTGTTTTCGTATTTCAGGTCATGCACATGAGTAAAGATGATTTTCTAAAGCATATGAAATTGCTTTCCCCAGTTCTAATGTAGCCATGCTTTAAAAGTGCATTTATACTTGTCACTAACATTTAATGTTTCGGAAACTAATACATAAATGTTGTAAACCATCGATTTCTTGAATTATCTCCCCTGAACAGGATCTGTATGTATTTGTACCATGTATAAGAAAACTGTTTACCTGTGCTAATGATATTTTGTGTTTTTCAGGTGGGCGCTACCTACAGTCGGATGGACACAGACGAGGATGGACAATGGTCACAGGGACTTATATCAGCTGTGAGTTTGTCTTATTATTTTAAAATTTACAGAGAATGAATTCAAGTTGATGGCAACCTCTGGTTAGGCATTGACCCTTTCACCACTGTAGACCATATTGGACTCATCCAGATAAAAGCATGGTAGAGTCTACTAAAGTCACCTAGGGGTGAAAGGGTTAAGTTACTAAGCTTCATTGGCCTTAATGACCTCTCGTGTGTTGACTGGCCATTAATCATGTAATAATAATGACTTCATTAAAATGAATTTCATTAATCTCATGTGAAATAGAATTTTATTTTCAATCGTGTATGCGTTTTAATATTCCCCAGGCACGCCTAGTAGCTACGGCAACCCACAGTTTATGTGAATCGGCCAATGCAATGGTCCAGGGAAATGCCACAGAAGAGCGACTCATTGCGTCATCCAAGGAGGTCGCGGGGTCAACTGCAGCCTTGCTGGTAGCCTGTAAGGTCAAGGCGGATCCCGGCTCAATTGCCATGCAGAGGTTACAGGTAAGGGAGATACAAGTGATGCTGCCAGATTTTCAGCAAAATGTTAATACTCTGAAATTGTGCCGCTTCAATTAATAGCTTGATTCGACTATTTTGGTCAAAAAGAGTGGCCCCCCTCGGGGCAGAAGGGCAGGGCCCAATATGGGAAATTTAGGTAAATCTTTTAAATCCTTCTCCTTCTGTACAAATGGAGGGATTTTAACCACTTTTGTCTTAAACAAAGGGCAAAGGGAACTCAATTTTGTATACTAGTAGATAGAGGGTATGGTCCCCTGGGGGCAGAGGGGCGTGGTCCAATAGGGAATATTTAGGTCAATCTTTTTCTGTATGAAATTTTGTTTAAAGCATCCTTTGGCAAGGGGGATTTAATTTTGTATTAACCAAGAGTGTGGTTCCCCTTGGGGCAGAGAGGTTGGGCCAATAGGGGAAATTCAGGTAAATCTTCAAAACCGTTCTCATTCTGTACAAATAATTAATATATGAGGCAAAATTCAGAATTGGTCCAGAAAGTGCGACTTCCACATCAATATTTCAGAATGTTTTTTGTGTTATATTTAGCATTTCTTGAAAATAATTAATAAAAATATTTTGCCATGATTTCTAAACAGGCCCTCTTGGTCTCTTTTGTCAGGATTTATTCGCCCTTTTTTTATGAAATTTGGCAAACACGTTTTTTCTCTCCATGCCATCTACAATTTTAAGCCAAATCATAAGTCTGCCATTCTGGTGACAGTTCTAGTTCAATGTGTTTATTTGATCAGAATGGGTTTTATTTGGCATTCTCATATTGGAACCAGAGCTTTACATTTCTTAGGGTGTCAACACAATTGAACAAAGGTGTGTCATTGTTTGACCTTAATCAAATAGCTTGGTTAAGATTCAAGTTCAGAATGAAATGTTGTTAAATTCAAGCACCAATACTGATTCAAGCCCTTCTTACAGAGTTTCTCCATTGGCTCTGTACTCCGTTTCTTAAAGAGGGTTTCTGGGCTGGCATCTTATGCAAACCTTTGCTGAAAACATCCCAAACACCCTCACATCCCAAATAGAGCATAAACTTTCCGTATCAGCTACTATATAATTATTCTAAAGGCTAGACCACTATCATCTATCATCTGTCATCTTTAGCAAATATTTCCTCTTGGAATTTTAGGCGGCTGGTAATGCAGTTAAGAGGGCGACAGACGCGTTGGTGAAGCAGGCACAACAGTCCAAGGACACGGAGGAGGGAACACAGCTCACCATCAACAAGAGAATGGTGGGAGGCATTGCCCAGGTCAGTGTCACTCTGAAAATTAAAAATTAAAAAAATTGGTGGAAAAGTCATAACAGATATGATGATTGGTTACATTTTGCTACTGTACACTGGGAAACTTTCACCCATGAAATCAATTTTAGCCCATTTAAACTTTCACCCATGAAATCAATTTTCACCCTGTGTTTATTTCGCCCTTCCTTATAATTACTATATAAACATTATGCTGTGTACTTATGTTCGCTGTAACAATGAAATTCAATATCAAAACCTGTGTTTCATGGATAAATTAATGAATAGGTGTTTTATTATTCCGTTTCATTTTCGATTTCAGGAACTTCAAGCGCAAGAAGAGATCCTCAGAAAAGAAAAAGAATTGCAGATGGCGCGACAGAAACTCGCTGGTATAAGAAAGGCCAAGTACAAGGATAGGCCCGACGAATATGACTCATCTTCATCATTTTAGTTTTATTTTATAATAATTTTTATTGATTAACTCAGTCACCCCTGAAATTTCAGATTGAACTTTTCCAACCAGTGAATTGGAAGAGTTCAAATGTGTGTGTAGGGGTGAATGAGGTAAAGAGGAATGGATTAGAAGGAATATACGCAAGCAGGAAATAACTGTTTAGATGTTTCAGAAGTTTGAATAGATATTTATTAAATATCTTATGTGCAAGTGGCCCTCCGACGTGTTTAGGGGAGGAGTTGATACGCAAACCAGAGAGCAGAGATGACAGAAATTACCATAAACGCTTATTTTGAATGGTATTGGTATTTAGACGCAACAAGATCAGGAAAAAGTTTTCTGAAATGGGAAGAGATACGATGAAACATTTTACAGAATATTTTTGCTAGTTGATAGATTTCCCGAGGAACAAAACCAAATCAGCACTGTTCATACTTATTTTCTTTTTCATGGAATTATGATAATGAAAAACGTTTATTTTAAAAGTGATATTTTAGTATTTTTCACTTTATTTGGAATTTTTTTCCAAAATGTTTATTACCTGCAAAACATATTTGCTGGAAAAGAGTCGCTGAAATGGGATACGGAAATGTTGATCCCAGCTACAGGAGAGTTAATGTGACATTTTTCACAAAACCAATTGTTAAATGTTTATTACTCAATTATATAATTGTATTCTGTGAAAGGGAAATTTCGACAAAAAATTTCCATCTTATTTTCATGTGTCTATAAAACTACCATATATGGTATACCATGGAATTATGACTCATTTTCAAAGGATTTTGGCAGATAAATATAATAACAACAGTATTTTGAAAATAACTAATCGTGAATAATGGTCTTTTCATAAATCTTTCCCCCTGTACAGTTTATAAATAAACCTGGTTTAACGTGTCTGCAGTACTTTCTTTGTCAAGTGTTTTTGTACATGTACATGTATTATAGATTGCACGCTGTGCTAAGAGTAGAACTGCTGGAGAAATGCAAATATTCAGAATGTGCCTAAAAAGACTTGTGATGTTATTTTTCATATCCGTGTGACTGAAGGGTTTTTTTTTCCGATGTTCAACAGGCTGGCTCGATTTATTGTTCTGTGAAGAGTTCTTCAATATAAAACGATTGTAGAAGTCAACTTTTATTTGCTATGCCAAATTTGATTGGTTTAGAAGGCCTAAGAGAGATATATCCATCCAATCAGAAGAGTCCGTTTGAAACAGTTTCAGTATTTCTGTTCTTGTTTGGACTTCAGTATAGGTTCCCCCTTTCACCACTGTAGACCATAATGGACTCGTCCAGATGTATGTATGGTAGAGTCTATTAGAGTTACCTAGGGGTGAAAAAGTTCAATTCAATCGTGAACCAATCCGAAATACTGGAGAAAATTTTCACTATATCATAAACTCATTTATTTACTGGTATACGAACGATCATTTACAAGTTGTAATCAAATTACATATTTACAATAATCTTTTCCATTTCTATTCAGGAACACATTTACTACCTGAAATTATATTTGTAGCTGTATTTAGATTGAGACCAATAATTAATGTACAATTATGATATTTTGAAACAACAATTATACTATTTTGATCAATTTTATGATAATATTACCAACAATTGCTTTTTTTTTTTCAATTCATTTTTTTTTTTTTTGTGTGATATGTATTGAGACGATTACTTCCTTAGTAGCGATACATTTTTCAACAATTCATCCCCGTTGGTGGTCCAGGATCTCGCAAACAACATAATTCTGGTCAAAACGTAGATATCTGGTCATGTTGATACTGTATGCCGGTGTATTTAACTCATTCACCCCCGAAATTTCATAATGAACTATTTCAACCTTTGATTTGGAAGAGTTCAAATGTGGTTTCAGGGGTGAATGAGTTCAAACCTACAACCATTCATGTAATCTTTTTTACCATTCATGAAGATTCCCATCCCATTACCTTCATTGCAAAAGTAATTACATGATAGTGTGCATCAGTAAGTCTAGCTGTTGCTTCGTGTTTGCCGATTTATTTTGAAGTGTATTTTTTCTGGTGTAATTCTGTGCGTTTGTAAAGAATTTCTCCATATTGCTTGATCGGCTTAGCTTTTTTTTTTTTTTTTTTTTGGAAAGAAATAAAAAAAATATATACTTCATCTGTGGGTTTTTAACTCATTCACCCCTAAAATGTCATAATGAACTACTCCAACCTTTGAATTGGAAGAGTTCAATTGTGTCTGCAGAGGTGAATGAGTTAAAACATCACAGAGCACAGAACCTTGTTCGTCTATACTCTATGCTCAAAAACTCACAACTCTCAAAGTATCATATCCTGCAATAAGCCCATGCCTGGTAATAAGCCCACCCAGATGTGTTGCAGGCTAGTCGAAATGTATTTCATTGTCCTGTATAAAGCTGTATTAGCCCCCCCCCCCCCCCCCCCCTGGGTTTATTGCAGGATATATACAGTAATCACAAAGTTCATTATAGTGATGGTGAACAAAGTATTACATTGTAATTTACTGTATAACACGAAATGTTCGTAGGTACTTTCCTTGGTGGTTTGAAGCCATTTAGATCGTTTCGTAGAACAAACTTTCGTGGATATCCTATATTAGCATACAGTAGACATGTATATCATTCAAATTTGTGGTATTTAATTTTGAGGTTCAATATATATAGAAACCACGAATGTTTATACACATCGACAAACACGAAAACCACGAATGTTTATACACATCGACAAACACGAAAACCACGAATGTTTATACACATCGACAAACACGAAAACCACGAATGTTTATACACATCGACAAACACGAAAACCACGAATGTTTATACACATCGACAAACACGAAAACCACGAATGTTTATACACATCGACAAACACGAAAACCACGAATGTTTATACACATCGACAAACACGAAAACCACGAATGTTTATACACATCAAACATTTCATGTTGTACAGTAAAACTCACCTGGACTAACGAGTTTCCACTGTGCAGGTGGAATAAGTGTAAATAGCGAGTAGATGGCTAGATAAAGATTTGTATACATTTGTATGTTCTATGTATATACGTGGATTGTTTTTACTCGCGGCTTTTTCTGTATAAATACACTATGTGATAGAACAGAAAGTATTAACTATTTGTGTGGTATTTTTGTACTCGTTAAAGGAATGAGCTTTAAATTATACAATGGATCTGCAGAGCACAAAGGGAACGACTTTCAAAGAGAAATTTAAGATTTCTGTCAGAGCTGGTTTCTGAAAATTCACGAACTTAATTTTGTTCCCCTCACAATATTTTTTTTCTTTTTTTTTCTGCACATTTTGCCGAATTTGTGTACAGTTTAGTTGATTTTGGTTGAATTGATTTAACCTAATTTGCTATTCTGATTTCATTGAAGTCTCAATTTGAATTATTTGGTGGGGGAGGGGGGGGGGGATTTTAGACATAAAATAGAAACCTATTTAGCATTATTAAGCTCTCGGACAGGAACATTGATTATGTTGACATATTTACATAAATTTTAGCTTGGTAAATATATTCTTTTTATAAGTCTGAATAATTTTTTTAATCATTTGAATCACTTGATAAAACTGCATTAGATATGCAGTCTATTCATATTTTGTTGCAATACAGTTTGGTGTATTTAATTTCTGGCACTACAACCAACTTTTTTAGGATAAATTTCCTACAGTAAATCAAAGTTCATGTGTTTAGTTATTGTAGTCAAAAACGTTTCCTCTAAAGTAGTTTTGAATCAATATCTAAAACATTGAGATAATCATAGTAGCTACTAGTTATTGTTTTACTTTGGTAAAATCTCTTCAGGAAATTACTAATTCACTTAAGACATACATTGTATGCTACCTTCAACTTCTGTCACATTAAAAAGGGGTCCATGGGCTTCCAAAAAAATTGTAGAATAGTTTTAACAAAAGTGAATCATATTTAAAAGATACTGAACAATACATACATTGAAAATAAGTCGTGGAAAACAAAAGTGAATCATATTTAGAAGATACTGAACAATACATACATTGAAAATAAGTCGTGGAAAACACAAATGTTGAAAGGGAGACAACTCCTGACATATATGTTGTATGCATGATTTATAAGGTAGCTTTATCCAGAATCTTTGAGCAAATTTGAGAATCATTAGCAGTATTTACTCGTTAGTCATTCTACAAATGTCAGGTATATATATTGAATTGGATTCTTCATAACGGAAGTGCTTTTTTTGTGGTTTTTCTTGTTGAGAGATTTTCAAGTGGTTTTTAAGTGTATTTTTTGTATTTTGATTTAGACATATTTAGCTAAATATTTATCTTTTTATTTATACACAGACAGGAAATACCTATATCTTTCCTGATGATGCCCATAACGTTCAGATCTATTTTATATATATATAGCATCCTTGACCCCTGTTTCCTGCTTGTCTTGTGTAAGGAGATCAGAATTTGGTTGGTCATTCAACAAGTCATGAGTTTTCAACCAATCAGAAATCTTGTTCCAAGTCTATTCTGTGACATTAGAAACAAAGAATTTGATTGGTTGTTATCTCGGCCAACCAGGTAATCTTTATTAGGTTCTTGATAGGAAATTGGGCTTTAATGAAGCGTGTAGTACTATTGTAAGTGTATGAAGTAGAGAGTGTCCAATGTACAGTCGCAATAGCAGCGTCTGTACGAATAATTTGCATATCATGAATATTAAATTTGCTTCAAATATAATGTAAAAGATATTATGTTGAAAAAAAACTGATTAAGTAAATTAATCTATTTAAAGAAAGTTGTTTTGTTTTCTTTGTCTCAGTATCATGACAGCTTATTTCTCTCTGCTAGTGGCCAAGTGGTTAAGGCGTCTGACATTCTGCTACCACTAGCCCTCCACCACTGGGTCGCGGGTTCGAGACCTACATGGGGTAGTCGCCAGGTTTTGGCTGTAGGTCGGTGTTTTTTCTCCGGAAACTCTGGCTTTCCTTTACCATCAAAACCTGGCACGTCCTTTTAATGACCATAGCTGTTAATAGGACGTAACACAAATCTTACTGACCCTCTATGGTTCTGTAGAGGGTCAGTAACTGACTATATAACTAATAATAGGACGTAACACACAAACAAACAAGCCTAAGTTCTCTCTGCTATAAATTACATCAGTCCAAATCAGTGTATTACTGTGTATGGGAATCTTTCGCCCAGTCAAATGTTTGCCCTCCGTTAGTAGAATATGTTTACTCGCAGTGCTGTTTAGCCCTTCACATGCTAATACTAAGTATAGCATGTTGTTATCTTATTTTGACTATCACGATAAGTTTGTCCTATTAAGGAGGGCTAAAAAAGGTGAAAAGGCAAAAATTTAACTGCGGCAAAAATTCCCAGTACACTATTTGGCCCCCAATGACACTATCAACGGAACTTCAGTGTTGCACATCGTTCGTATGTGAAGCACAGTTCCAAAAATAAGGCCATGTGTGCAATATAAAGTAATGTGTGCAATATAAGGCCATATGTGCAATATAAGGTAATGTGTTCAATATAAGGCCATATGTGCAATATAAGGCCATGTGTGCAATATAAGGCCATGTGTGCAATACTTGGGCTGCAACAATACATTGACATGACGGTACGATACATTGACACGACGGTACGATACATTGACACGACGGTACGATACATTGACATGACGGTACGATACATTGACATGACGGTACGATACATTGACACGACGGTACGATACATTGACACGACGGTACGATACATTGACATGTCGGACGATATGCATCACGATAGTAGCGGTAGCAGCAAAAAGATAGGTTGCAAATTCTTAATGACAATATTACACCTGGAAATAGACTTGATCCAAAGTGGGATTGACTTTGAAGTTTCACACAGTAATAGGCTTACAAATGCTGATAAACAGCAGCCAATAGTTGCCTTGCTTTCAAATACAGGTGCAGACAAAGACTAATTGCTATGGAAACTTGTAGGTTGTACCATAATTGTCCAGACATGCGCACCATTATTTCTTCACATGCGCAATACACATTACAAAAGCGAGTTTGATTGTAATCTCGTTAGACTAGTCACTTTACAGCGGATAATCAAACTACCATATAATAAATTCCAAAGTTTTTGAACAGATTTGGCTCCTAGGACCTTGAAAATATGTCAAGAATATCTTTTCTAAAATTTTGTAGCTCTCTGCTTTTTTCTGATACTGATTAGGTGCTCTAACATATTTGAGTTGAATAAATTCCAGGGTAATTTTTCCCCGAAATATTGTAGCTGTCATTTTCCTGTCCACATCATTATTCCAGACATTTTGGTTTTTCAGGTGAAGCTGTGAGAATTTTAATAGATTTAACCTGTGACCTTAACGATTGGTCAAGGTCGACATATCCAGACATTTTGGTTCTTCAGGTGAAGCTGTGAGCATTTTAAGAGATTTAACCTGTGACCTTAACGATGGGTCAAGGTCGACATATCCAGACATTTTGGTTCTTCAGGTGAAGCGGTGAGCATTTTAACAGATTTAACCTGTGACCTTAACGATTGGTCAAGGTAGACATATCCAGACATTTTGGTTCTTCAGGTGAAGCTGTGAGTATTTTAACAGATTTAACCTGTGACCTTAACGATTGGTCAAGGTCGACCTATCCAGACATTTTGGTTCTTCAGGTGAAGCTGTGAGCATTTTAACAGATTTTCTAAAATTGTGTAGCTCTCTGCTTTTTTCTGATACTGATTAGGTGCTCTAACATATTTGACTCCTGTTTGACGTTGAATAAATTCCAGGGTCATTTTTCCCCCGAAATATTGTAGCTGTCATTCTCCTGTCCACATCATTATTCCAGACATTTTGGTTCTTCAGGTGAAGCTGTGAGCATTTTAACAGATTTAACCTGTGACCTTAACGATTGGTCAAGGTCGTTTTCATTTCTGTTGCCATAATTTGTAGCACTCATAGCTAGCAAGCTACCGACCATACATCATAACTCTTAAGACCTGTTTGTACTAGACTCATTCACCCCCAAAGTTTCATAATGAACTATTCCAACCTTTGAATTGGAAGAGTTCAAATGTCTTAAGGGGGTAAATGAGTTAAGAAAGGCCCTTGGAAGTGTTTGAACAAATTTGACCCTTGTGACCTTGACTAGGGTTATTAATTCATTAATCAAGCATTGTAGCAGTCTATGCCAGCAAGATGCTGGGATTTATCATTAATCTAGGTCTTTTGGATCTTCAGAAAAACTCTCTGCATGTTTCAAAAGTTAGGTTTAACTTTGTTTAACGTCTAATTAATAGCTGTCATTTAAGGACGTTGTTTCAAAAGATGTTGAAGATTGACCCTTTTGACCTTGAATATATATATATATCAAGGTCATTTCTTTTCTAAAACAGCGTAGCAATCATTGCCAGCAAGCCACTGGCTATATATATATATCATGTTTTAATCTGAAAACATTTCACAAATAAACAAAACGCTAAATAAATTCTTTTAACTTTAATAAACATAAAAAATAATTGAAAAGGTTACTTGGTAAAGTTCTTTTATGTATAACAAAACAATTCTCTGTAAACCTGTTACAGATAATGAAATAAATTAAATATGGCAATTAGAAATTTTTAATGGAACATATCATTATACATAGAAAAATTGTTTAGGCCACACCAAAGCAATCGACAGTTTAATAGTTTGTTGTTTTTCATCATTTTAAATTTCAATTTAGAAGAATTTAGAAAGTTTTTTTTTTATCTCATTTTAAACTATTTTTCTCAATTTTAAAATGTGATTAATCTCAAAGAACTACAAACTAATTTGGTGTTTATTGCCTTATATTCTTTACACGTCATATTCTAATATCAATAGTTGCATACAAAATAACTGCATGAACCACACATTTGCCCCATTAAGCAATTAAACGATTCTCTCACATAATGTGTCATACTACGCGAGACGATTTACCTAACCTGTCGTCGCATCCTGATCGTCATACAAGTCTGCGAACATGGGATAAGTCTTCTTGGGCCTTTGTAGTTTTCGACTCAATATCAACATCCTGTTAATTTTCTTTTGGACATTTTGTATCATGCACATGTTGACCATCCGCATCTTCATGTTATCCTTCCAAACAAATAATACTTCAAAAACAAATAAAACAACTAAACCAACACTACTCATACTCGTCTTTGGGAAGACAAAAACATAATAATCTATTAACCCTCTCACCCCGATGTAACTTTAGTAGACTCTACCATGCATTTATATGGATGAGTCCATTATGGTCTACGGTGGTTAAAGGGTTAACATCTAATAGCCAGTTATAGTATTTATCTTCTTCAAAGGCCACGATAGATAGTATCATGATTCAGATCTGTCGACAAATATTAATACAATTTGACTGCATGAAATGGCAAAATTTCAAATATGAAATGGTATACCTGCCAAATCCCCTACATTTGTGCGGGTCAACATTGTAGCACTCACTGCCAGCAAGCCACTGGCTACATAGGTAAACCTGTACAAACAATCTCCATAACCTGCACAGATTGTAATATATTTTGAAAAGCTTATTCCAACATTGAAAATGTTAAAAAAAAAATCAACCTTTAAATCTCATAAAAAGGCCAAGTCAACCATCAGCATCTTCAAGTTATCCTCCCACAAAAATAATACTTCAAAAATCAAATTTGACAAGTAAACCAACACTAGTCACCATCATCTTCATAAAAATGTAATAATCTATTAACATTTAACCCTTTCACCCCTATGTAACTTTAGTAGACTCTACCATGCATTGATCTGGATGAGTCCATTGTGGTCTGCAGTGGTGAAAGGGTTAATAGCCAGTTTGAATTTTGATATTGATTATCCTCAAAGGCCAACAAAAAATATATCATGATTCAAGTATTTTGACATTGAAAATATTTTAAAACAATCAACCTTTGTATGACATAAAGAGGTTAATTCTAACATTTTAGATACCATAATACTGGTCTTGATGTTTCTGTACATTGAACTGAACTGTTTAAATTAAGCAGTTCCCTCCCTTTGTATCTTATTAATTACCTCCCTTCCTTGCATTGGGACTTCGGTAGAATGATGACTGATGACAATTTAACCATGAGGTAGGAATAAAATGCAATAAACTTTCTGTTGAACGATCGATTATAGAGTATTTTACAAGAATTGTCATGGAATAAAAGTTACCCCTCACTCAGAAAACACTTCAGGTGCCTGAATACAAAACAATGACAGGGTTAGCTTCCATAGTCCTAACATCTGTGTAGTTATTGTGCAACGTTGGAAATATTCAATGATTTAGTTATCGGTCTTAACTAGACCTCAGGGGCTCCAATGTCAGCTTACTTTTCAAGATCTGTGACGGAACTTTAATGTCTACAGGCTTCTCCGCACTCATTCAAGTTTTCACTGTTTTAGGCTTGTTCTTAGTCGATGTCTGCTTCAAACTAGCACTTTTAGATGCACTGCTTGCCGTCAAATCTTCTTGACTTGAAGATTAGGACTTTTTCCTACCTTCCAACTCCCCTAAACCTGAACTTTTAATCTTGCTCCGTGCTGTAGACACCTCTAGACATGCACTTTTCCCAGGCTGTTGACTCCTCTAAGTCTGCACTTTTGGACTACTTCCAGGCTGTTGACCCCTCTAAGCTTGCACTTTTGGACAGGCTCTCAGCTGCCAGCTTTTCTAGATTTCCACTTTTGGACTTTTCCCAGGCTATTGACTCCTCTAAGTCTGCACTTTTGGACTACTTCCAGGCTGTTGACCCCTTTAAGCTTGCACTTTTGGACAGGCTCTGAGCTGCCAGCTTCTCTGGATTTCCACTTTTGGACTTTGCCCAGGCTATTGACTCCTCTAAGTCTGCACTTTTTGACTACTTCCAGGCTGTTGACCCCTATAAGCTTGCACTTTTGGACAGGCTCTGAGCTGCCAGCTTCTCTAGAATTCCACTTTTGGACAGGCTCTGAGCTGCCAGCTTCTTTAGATTTCCACTTTTGGACTTGCTCTTTGATATATAAACTCCTTCAGACTTGCACCTTTGGGATTACTCATTGGTGTTGGCTCCCCTCGGCTTCCAGGTTTCTTTGTTTAGGCTAACTTTGAAACGTCACTGTCCAAAGCTGAACCTCGCACCACTGAAGCAGCAGAACCAGACACTTTCACCTCAAGGTGACCTTGATTGCTTTTGACCTTTAAGGAATCCGGAGCAATCTGATGTTGTCTTTTTTGCCCTTGAACTTGAGACTGCATGTTTGGAACTAAAAATGATCCTCCACCTTCAAATGACGAACAGTAAAATTTGTCCAAGAACTCAGCCATTTTGGATGACTTTGGGCTTGGCTCCATTACCTGTTGTCGTTGTGTTTTTGTTCCTGCACATGAATCCTCTTTACCAACTTTAGTTGAGCCCTTTTTGGAAATATCGGTCACATTCTTACTGTCTCTGCCTGCCATTTCTGTCAAAGATTTAGATGAAAACTTCCTAACAAGCTTTTCTGTGTACAAACTTATATCCTTTCTCTGAGACTTAAAATAACTTGGCAATGGTTCTTTGATGTCAGCAACAGAACTTGCGCAAACTTTTTCGGGTTCCTGTTTCGAGGCCTTGTGTTCCACAGCCGAAGTCACAAACTGTTTTCCAGGAGTGTTTATCATAAAATCTGAGACTCTTTGCTGGTGGTCACTTTTCACCAGTTTTTGACTCAGTCCAATCTGGACATTTTGCATTTGTCCACTGTCTACTTCTGTTCTGAAATTGACTGTGTCTTGCGACTTGATTCTTTGTAGCCGTCGGTAGGTTTGTTGTGCCTTGTACAGCGACCGTGTTGTTGGCGAGCTCTTCACACTACAATCTATTGTCTTTTCACTCTTGCCTTGTGGAGGGACACACATGTTGCGAGAAGACTCGTTCAAAGTTTCAATCGGTGTCCTTGACCTTGCATCATTCTGCGTATTATTCAACGGCATTTCCGTCGTCAAACCAGTGTTTCGCAGAGTTTTGGAGTAAGGATAATGTCCACTTGCTCTGTGCGAGTTTGATTCTTTCAATACACTTCTTTCCTTCTTGCATCTGGTCTTGGAAGGAGGTTCATCAGAAAGTTGATGCCAGTATTTGTCGTCGGGCAATACATCTTTTTCCACACAAGTATCATCAGTTCTCGGCTGACAGTCATCGGTCCGAAGGCCATCACAAAGTTGACTGGCAACAACATGCTCGTTTTGTGACCTAGAGCCCTCTCCATCATTCTGTTTTGGTTCTTCGGTATATTCCAATTTTTCAGATTTGAATTGTCGTACTTGCTGACCTTTCCTGTGAGCATTCATGAAACTCTTCAACGAACTATTTTGAGGTCCTTTTAATTTTTTACGAAATTCAAAAACAGGAAATTTGGATTTTTTCTTCTTTTGAACAGGACTGATGCCGACTCTTCCTTGTTGATTAGCTTTTGCCGTCATTGGAGTTATCTCCCCTCTCCGTTTACTGCTTACATACACTCTTGTTTTCTCCCTTTGAGACTTTTCTCGGGAAGCGCTTTCAGATGTCACCAGTTGTTGGTTTGCGAGTGTTTCAGTTTCGTCCGTCACAGAAATTTTCAGTAATTCAAGTTGTTTGATGATGGTTCCAATTTCTGGGGCTCTTTCTTTTCGTGTTTTGCGGCTATTGGGTACAAAGCTTTGAAGTATTTTATCAATTTCTGATTTTGTTAACATCTCTGTACTGTTACTAGGATCATTGCTGTTCTGGTCAGGTTGATCAGTCATCGATTCCATCTCTCTTGGTCTAAATCTCCAATCAATGGTTTCTGTATCAGACAAAGTCATCTGAGTTGTCTCCCTTCTATCACTGACTTTACTTTCTGTTGACAGATCATGAGCACCATCTTTCCTTGAAACATTTCCTTTTCCCTTCTGAAGAGTTCCACTTAGTAATGACACAGACAATGGAGTGATGTCCCCTTGGTTAGTGAGCTCCAATGACCTTTTAGAGTAAGCCCCTTCTCTGCTGAGATCATGATTTATCTCCCCACGTGTGTCTTGTTCCGAGGACTGCCACAGATGTGATGTACCCTTTCTGTGAGAATGGTTAACTCTTCCTCCTCCAAACTGATCTCTACTCTTCGATAAATAAGCTTCTTTGACACGGCTTCCATCATCAGGAGCCTCAGACAGCACAGATCCTGTCGGCTCAGCCAGTGAATGCACATCTTTACAGCTTTCGATACAAGCAGTTTTACTACCATCAAGGCTTAAACCAACAGAGGATGACCTATGAACCCTACTTTCCCTATTCAGACAACTTGTCCTTGGTTCAAAGTTCACAGATTGCAGTTCATGTCCATACACACTTTCTGGCCTTGAAAGGAGGGATACATTTTTACCTGGATTAGGTGCAGATTCATGGTTATCCTTTTTCAGAGTCCTTAATGCTTTAGCTTCTTCAGCCTGTCGACGTGCATCACTGCAGAGAAGACGTGATATCCCCATGAGAAGAGTTTTATTGGTTTCTTTCTCATATTGTAGTGCTGTTGATTCTTCAAACTTCTTGCAATTGTCATCTTTGTTAGTTGTCATCTTTAACCTCCCAAAGAGAGATAACTCTGAACTCTGTCCAAAAGGAGAACACTCTGCACTATGTCTGAAGGGAGGTAATTCTGAACTTTGTCTCAAGGGAGATAACTCTGAATTTTGCCTCAAGGAAGATAACTCTGAACTTTTTCCTAAGGGAGTTAACTTTGAACTTTGAATCAAACGAGAAGAAAATGATTTTTGTCTCAAGGGAGATGACTTTGAACTTCGTCTTAACTTTTGCTCTTCCTTTACAGCCACTGTTGTTTGTTCCCAAGATTGTAAGCGACTTTGTCTGTCTGCAAGAACATCTTCAAAATAATTGCATTCTCCACCCACTTTTAGCTCATTTAACTCCTCCGATGGACAATTAATTTGTTTCTTCCTTAAATCATTGAGTTTCTTCATGTAATGCATTTCAGCCGATAGTGCATTTTTCTTGTTCGACATTTTGTCCTTCAGATAATTCTTGGACACCTTCACCGAAGCATCTCCTCGTTTCAATGAATTTGCTATGGCGACATCTACAGCAAGGGCAGATAACTCCTTCATCAACGAGTCGGAATACTCACAGGCGTACATGAGGATATTTGTGAAGCAGTATGACAGTTGGTTTAAGCGTCCAATCGGAAAACGGCCCTGATGTACCAGAAGGAATCGTCGACGACGTTGCCATGACGCTTCACTCTCCTGTTGGCCTCGGAGGTCGTCTATGTCTGGGTCTAGGGTCATGCCTAGGTCATCTGCACTAAGTTGTTTGGATAGTTCCATGTTTCCTCTCAAGCTCAGTTTATTGATATCTGTAATTAAAATTGAATCAATTGGTTATAGTTTTTCACAATTAATTTACCAAAAATATTAGGGTGAACAATTCTACTTGGTCTTAGCGTAGGACTAGAAGATGTTTTGTCAGACCAAGTGAAAATTTTCATTAATTACAAAGAAAACGTGTGTCAGGCTAGCAGTTTTTTTTCAATGCTCCCTTTTCATAATTGGATACATGTACCTCTGAATATGACAAGTTTGTTTTGATCGAAATCACTGAGGAACTATTCTTGGTTATAGAGCAAACTTCCTCGTTTGTCTTGAGGAGAACATTTTTCAGATAATGGGGAATTTCCCTGCAATTTTGTTCAATGACAATATATATATACATGTATTGTCATTGTCAATACTTTCAGGGCATGTACAAACAAAGCATTTTTTTATTGATAAAATTATCATTGGTAGATACTGCTTCTTCAGGGGAAAAAAAGATCTATTTCACATGCAATTGATTTGCATCGATTGATAAACAACATGCTTCAGATATGTGGTTTAGATACACTGAAACTCGCATAAGATCTGAATTAATTTGGAAATTCATGACGCGGAAATCATACACAGTTTGATAAATAATAATAAATAATAAATATGATTATTGAAACCTCGTAATGCAAGAATATGAATATGCGACGTCATCACCAGAAAGGTTTACAAAAAATCTATTTGACCGATATCGTAATATCTGTATGCATACAAAACTTTAGTTTGACTTTTAATGTTACAATTTATAATTCAATATTGATGCATTTAAAAAAAATCAGACCCGTCAAAATTTGAAGTCGATTGTGAAATTATTGAATGGGGGGAATAGGGGTGTTTGATTCCCCTGGCCTGCCCAGATTTCTATATCAGGTATAGTAAAGAATTTCAATAATTACTATGAAAAAGTTGCTAAGGCAAAATTGTCAAAAAATCGCTAAATCAAAGTCTAAATCAAGATTTGAGTCAGGAAAACTTCAGGCTGGTAGATCAAAATTAGACTCTATAAGAACCAAAAAGTATAAAAAAAAATCAGATAAAGTGTCATTTCATAGCAGTCAGTTTTATTATAAGACCAAAAAATATCTATATGTGTGTTTCAGGTACATCCCAACCTTCTCCAGATTATCATTTTCCTGTCGACCATAGAAACTTTATCATTATATATTTGCCAGGCAATGCTCATAGCCACTCATAAAAACAATAAAAAAATCTTCCTGTTCTGCGAGTCTGTCAGACCTTATTCTTCACAAATAAATAGTCAGAGTGATCTGTGGAGATTCATTGTAAATTATTTGCCTACATAAAATGTACCAACCTACCCAGTTTTCCTCAGGCATATTACCTGAAGCACACATATTACTTTTTTGAAGTTAACCCATTCACCACTGAAGTCGCATTTGAACCTTACCAAATCAAAGACTGGGCAGGTCCAACTTAGATAAGTAGGGGTGATTTAACTCCTGAAGACACATTAGCACTTCCACAATCAAAAGGTTACTGTTAGAATAGTTCATTATGAAATTTTAGGGGTGAATGAGCTAAAAGAGATTGACATGTTTTAATGACTTTGAACTGGCCTATGTATTTGATGGCATTAGCATAAATATTTTGAATAAATTCCTTAATAAATACAGACTTATTACAATTTAATATCATTTCAGTGCAAATGGCCAAATTCAATAAGTGTTAATTTCAGTCACTCTTTTAAATAAGTTTCGAATTCACTAAATAAAACTAAATCTATCTTCAATCACGTCATTTTAAAGAATTAGACAATTTACCTGAATCTTTGTCAATGAAATTTGTCGCCATTTTAGGAAGGAAACAGATGCGTGAAGTTGTAAATCATTCACATGTAGACCATTCTATCAAAATTTAAGTTGTTGTATGTATTTCTTGAATATTGTTTCTTGTAATGTAACATGTAAAAACCCAATTGTAACATTAAAAGTCAAACTAAAGTTTTGTATGCATACAGATATTACGATATCGGTCAAATAGATTTTTTGTAAACCTTTCTGGTGATGACGTCGCATATTCATATTCTTGCATTACGAGGTTTCAATAATCATATTTATTATTTATTATTATTTATCAAACTGTGTATGATTTCCGCGTCATGAATTTCCAAATTAATTCAGATCTTATGCGAGTTTCAGTGTATCTAAACCACATATCTGAAGCAAATCATTAGCAGCTTATTGATCTGCATCCGGTATGTAGATATGTAGAATATTAAAGAGTATTACCTTCCCTACTATACAGTATAACTTATATATTAAAGGGAAGGAAAGACTATTAAATACTCTACATACTAGATATATACTTGTACAGGTGGATACTTGACAACTTTTTGAAATTTCGATGGGGGAGATAATGCGTGCACAAAATAAAAAAATATATAAATAAAATGTGTGTTTATTTACAATGTACCTCTTTGGACAAAAGAAACACTTTAAAATGTCATCTTTTGAACTATTCTTTTAGATGAAATCATCAGATCTTAGAAAATTGGAATAGTTTTAAAAAATTACTGGTTGAAAATAATTACTCAATTTTAGGGTTCAAAATTTTGAGTGTCCCTCCTAAATAGGGCAAGTATGCATGTTGTTGGATTCTTATTCCGAAATGTCACGACATCTCCGTTGATTACAATGGTACAAAACTACGAGACACTCTCAGTTTCTAATTTATAGCACGTTGTCTATTATTCCAAGCGTCAATAACAATTCAATTTTAACTGCTTTCGCATTCTGAGCCTTGCCTGTCACATGCCTGATTCTGTCATTATTCGTATCATTTTTATTATACAAACCTGATCAACTGTTATACTGCAATCTCCCGTAAATTCAGCCTGATACATTGTCTATCTTTTCACATTGGAAGCATCAGAACGTTCCCAACTTCTTCGACAAATTCGTCTGCCATCTGTCGGTCAAAACACGTGCTTAATAGTTTACCGGAACTCCTCTGGTTTTATCATTCGGATACACTTTCCGATGTCACCCGAACAACAACAACGCGCGAAACTTGATTATTGACTCTACCCGATACAACGGGGTGCTCCGATCAACTAAACGGAGAAATCTACAACACCAGCCATAGCGTTGCTACTCTCCCGCGAAATGTAAATAGGCGAAAACTTTCCCTTAGCATGTTTAAAGCTCAAGTTATGAATTTGCAATGCAAACAACCTGTTTAGTTGCCATTTCAAAGTAATTTCGATTTATTACTCTAATGTGTATCTATATTATAGAAGCACGAAATGTAAGTTAAGACCGCTCAAAGTTTCGAAATTATAAAAGCCAAATTTACAAAAATCTGTTCCCGGACATGGATTGGGTTTGCTTACCAGTTCAGAACATACGTATTATTCAACAATTGACATAAAACATGTAACCGGGATAAATGTATGACGCCGTATAATGTACATATATCATTTCAATATTTAAATATTCGAGTGTATGCAAGTCATCGTTTTGGCACAGGAGTCCGGCGTTTAATCAATATAACTGAAAAAAATACCTCTTATACTATGGTAAAATAGAACAGGGGGTATTTTTTTTATATCCACTGTACTTAAACAATAAACTGCATAGATGTGGCAGACCAACTGGTATAACTGCCACATGTGTCACAGACAAACTTATCATGGTGCGCGCTAGTTATACCAGGTGGCCTGCCACATCTATGCAGTTTATTGCTTATATTTATATTTCCATAATGATAATTCGCAAAAAAAAATGATGTACGCAGAATTTCAATATTTGGTACGTACTAAAATATATTTTGATGATTTAACTAGACTATACACATTATCATTACTACCCGGCCTATTTTTTATATAGACTAGTCTATGTAAGATTTATAGATTATCACACTGTATTTTCAGAGTTTGTGGTGGGAAAACTGTGTGATAAAATATTTATAAACACCATGTTTTCCAAATGACTTCTTAGAGTTTTGCACGGAGGAATACAATGAACCTTAAAACAATGTAGAAAAAATATATTTTTAAAACAATCCTTTCGTCATTGGCTTTTTTCATATGTACATTTACACCTAAATGGTGTTATTATTATCACAATATGTTTTCGTAACTTTGTATTGAAATATGGTTATGACGGACTATTTTCTTACGCCGATCACTTTTGTGTGGACACTATTTCCGGTTTCGGACGTCATCTGACGTTCTTTTTTGAGAAAATACGTTCCCAAATGCTGGGAAATGGGAAAATCCGTTCCCAAGTTCTCAACTTCTTCTCATACTGACAACCAATGATAATGGTTGTATCATGCTACCGGTAGGTGGTATGAAGTAGGATATAGATGATAAAGAATAATATTGGATTTTTCATTTATCTGTCATCAATCGTTTTGTTTGGTATACTAGGCTTATGTTCAATTAATTTCAATATAGATCTTCTGTATACAGATATTTTACTGTATTTAAGTTTGTTACAGCTAAAACTACGCCAGATCTACATCATATGTTTCAACTTAATACCCTGGACCCATTATTTGGGAAAGGACATGTATTTTGTGCGTAATTCTATATTTGGAATGTACACTGTATACAGTGTTTTTCACGTTTTCGTGACCGTCGTGTTTCAAAGTTTGCCGCATAAATCTACGTGTTTGAAGAGAAATTATCTCAGAAACTCACTGAAGGACTTACCTGATTTTTCAGTACTTCGTTGCATGACCCTTAGCAGTAACTACATCCCGTCTTCGTCTCGGCAGTGTAGAATTGTAGAATAAAGTAGGGTTTTTTTAGCTTGGATGGAGAGACTTCCATATCAGATGTTCAGCTTCAATTAGTTCCTATCGTGTTTTGATGTTACCTATGTTGCTCTCGATGTAGACAGATTTGAATTATTCTCCGCCCATTTCTATCAAATTGAAATCAGGAGACTGTAAAGGCCATGGTATACAAACAATATTGTTTTCAGTTTTCCATTGCTAAGCCCTTACAGACATGTGGGTAGGGCATATCCTCTTGAAATATCAAAACATATTGTTTCTTCAGAAAATATCACAAAAATCCAGTTTTGTTTAACAGACTAATTTTTACCACTCCATACGTCTTTTACGGTTGACCGCTGAAATTGTAAGGTCATATCTCTGACCTCCGAGATAATCATAAAAATGAAATCTTCTCTGCACAGTTCTTTTTAGAAACATTAACATAATTGGAATGATTGAACTTTGTCGTCGAATCATTCAAAGATTGCCTGCGAACATGTTTTACTAAACAAATCAGCACCCGGTCACCAACTTCAAAAAACCAAAAGACCTAGATTCAAGATATTTGGCTAGTAGCTGCGTGGGATCGAGCCCGGCAAGCACTGTTTCAAAATATGTGACAAATGTGTTTAAAATTTGACATACTTTTACTTTCAAGGTCTGAGTGGTCAAATTGGTGAATGAAAACTTTAAACCATTTCTACTGACGAACCAAAATTCTAAAAACTATGACATAGGCTAAAACATAACATTGCCCTTCTTTTTATGTCATAGGTTTCAAATATGTAAAAACAAACTTAGGGTCATGATAATAGGCTAGTATATTCGTGGAAGGGAGCCAGGCAAACTTTGTCGTCCTTTCCATGTCATATAAATTAGGTGTCTAATGTGTTAAAACCTTCCATTGAACGACTTTCCTGAATAGCAAAGAGGCAAATGTTGATGATATTTCGCTAGTAGCATTTTGGATGAAGGATTATCAAGTTTGTTCAAGTAAATCACCTTGATCTACTCTGGAATGTCATGAAGCTCAAAATGTTTTTAAACAATTAAACAACTTGTTTTTAATAAGATGAACGTGGCACACACACATGTGACGCACCTTTCAAATTAGAGAATAGATACAGAATGCCAAATATCAATTACACTGCATCATACAGCTGTTTCGTCCGTCTAGAACTCGTTGATAATGATAGGGACCGAAATGATGGAAATCTATATTGTCTAAAATACTATAGAAACTAGAAAGGCAGGTGGGAAACCCCTGAATAAGTAAGTTGTCTATAGTGTTGATATATGACCTACGTATTGGTATAAAGGGTATACAGGGCTATCATGTTTTTTCTTTTGAATAACTTGGAACCACTTTAAGCAATTTCTTCTGAATAAACACGGACGTCTAGTTGTCTAGGGTGTTGATGTTTGACCTACAGCATACTGGTATACAGCGCTATCATGTTGTTCCTTTGAATAACTTGTAATACACACGGACGTCTAGTTGTCTAGGGTGTTGATATTTGGTCTACAGCATACTGGTTTAAAGGGCTATCATGTTGTTCCTTTGAATAACTTGTAATACACACGGACGTCTAGTTGTCTAGGGTGTTGATGTTTGGCCTACAGCATACTGGTTTAAAGGGCTATCATGTTGTTCCTTTGAATAACTTGTAATACACACGGACGTCTAGTTGTCTAGGCTGTTGATGTTTGGCCTACATCATACTGGTATAAAGGGCTATCATGTTGTTCCTTTGAATAACTTGTAATACACACGGACGTCTAGTTGTCTAGGGTGTTGATATTTGACCTACAGCATACTGGTTTAAAGGGCTATCATGCGTTTTTACTTTGAATAACTTGGAACCACTTTAGGGAATTTCTCCTGAATAAAAACGGACGAAGTTGACTGGCTTGTAACTCAATGGTTTATTTGCTGTGAATAGTGTGGTTTAAAAGAATGGCATTGACTAACTTTAAACGTCAAATTATCTTTCTTTTTAAAATGTTTAACAAATCTCTCTTTGAAGACTCATAAAGTGTGAAGGAATGAAAACATCCAACAAAAACCTAAAATTAGCATTTTAAAATAAATTTGACCATGACCTTTTTTACAGTCAAATATGTGAGATAAATAACAGGTGATCTTTACAGACCCCTATGACCTCTTATTATATAAGTATCTTATTAGCTGTCATGACCATTTTGTACACGAGTTATATAAGTGGTGTATATGTACATGTATATGCCACTGGTTGATTGACCAAAAACCCAATCTTCTAAAATGGAGTTGGACGTTTTTAATCGATTTCTGTCTATGTGCACACCACGTCTGTATTGCAACATAAATTACTACATTATGTTGTTGGAAATTGTCCTGTTAATTGAGCGATGAATCTTTTAGCAAATGATGTTATTATGTCATTTTTTATGTTTACATTTTGATAGAGTACTTATGCTTTTTTTCGAACTGTTCTTTGAACAGCAAAGTATGTGTTGACAATAATGAAATTGATGACGTCACAAAAGAGATCGATGACGTTACAATAGCAAATGTTGTTATGGTCTCACAACAACATTTTTCGTCTTAATGTATTGCAATGGAAGGATGCAGACCAAATGTCAATATATGACAGTGAATTTCACTTTAGATACTGTACTGTCATTTACAAACCATGAAACATTGTGAAACAAATCTTAAGTTGAAAACATTATCAGGTCAGACATTGTGGTTGCATCTACCAAAACCTGTCGTGGTCCCGTAATGAAAGTAAAAGGTTTTATTGCTCAATTCCCGTGTCAGAGTAACAGAAAACTGTCGAAGGGGAAATTATAGCGAGATGAACTGTTCGCGTCGTGCATCTTTACATGTATCGTGATGTAGAAATGTTCGCGTCATGAATCTTTACATGGATCGTGATGTAGAAATGTTCGCGTCGTGCATCCTTACATGGATCGTGATGTAGAAATGTTCGCGTCGTGAATCCTTACATGGATCGTAATGTAGAAATGTTCGCGTCGTGAATCTTTACATGGATCGGGATGTAGAAATGTTCGCGTCGTGCATCCTTACATGTATCGTGATGTAGAAATGTTCGCGTCCTGAATCTTTACATGGATCGTGATGTAGAAATGTTCGGGTCGTGCATCCTTACGTGGATCGTGATGTAGAAATGTTCGCGTCGTGAATCCT